AACCAAAAACAACCTTGTAATTTATGATGAAGTTTACAGGTGAGAAAATCCACAAAATATAAAGCCGTAAAAATGAATATTATTTAACTCAACCATACACAATGGTCAACATATTGTTGGCCTCATAACAATTGCCTAGGACTTATTTTATTTTAACATTTCTGCAGACAGACAGGGAGGCAGGCAGGCAGGCAAGCAGGCAGGCAGACATACACACAGACAGACAGACAGGCAAGCAGGCAGAGAGACACACACAGGCAGACAGGCAAGCAGGCAGAGAGACAGACAGGCAAGCAGACAGACATACACACAGTCAAGCAAGCAGACATACACACAGACAGACCAGCAAACAGGCAGGTAGACAGGCAGACAGACAAATAGGCAGGCAAACAGATGGACTGACGGACAGACAGGCAGGCAGACATACACACAGTCAGACAGCAAGCCAATAGATACACACTGAGATAGGCAGGTAGACAGGCAGACAAACACACAACAGGCAGACACAGACAGGCAAACAGGCAGACATACACACAGACAGACAGGCAGACACAGACAGGCAAGCAGGCAGACATACACACAGCAAGCAGGCAGATGGTCAAAATATGACTTTTATGGCAATAATGGTGAGGCTATTGATATAAAAACTGGACTGCTCTATTCATGTGATATTTACTTTGTCTATTAACTCATGTAATGCACTCCTTTAGGATTTGCGTGATTAAAATTATCCATTTATTATGTGGGGTCTGGGCCCCGGGGCCAGTAGTTTGAAAAGCCCCCCCCCAACACTCCGAACCCCCACCCCCGCGTCAACCTACCGTACCTACAGATTCTACAAAAGTTTCTTTCTGCTCTTCCTTCTTGCAAAGTCGTCCACTAACTCATCAAGGTTGAGCTGTCGAACAAACTCTGATTCTATTGCAAGAAGGGAGAGTGAATTCAACCCATTTTGGCACATTTTCATCCTGAGCTCATTTTTTATTCGAGCCAGTCTGGAGAATGACCGTTCCCCTTCACAGTTTGTTATTGGCAGGGTCAAAAACAGTCTGAGTGCTATGTAAACATTACCATGGTGTTTAGCATTGTATTTGGGCATTTTTGTTCTTCTGAAATGAATGATTTGTACTGAAAAAGCTCATGGTCAGATCAGTGGGATATGCTACAGCAAGAGATTCGGCCCTTAAAGTGAGCTCACTGTTGGTAATATTATCAGGCATGAAAATAGTATTCATGCATTATTTACCCCTTAAACAAAATCCTACTTCTATTACTACAACTACTGCTAATAGCAATTAAACTAGTACTTTGACTTCTACTTCAACTACTATTGCTACTATTTCTACTTTCTCTACTGCTACTACTACTTCTACCACTAGCTCTACTACTTTGACTTCTCCTATTCTCAAACTATTTCTACTGCTTACATGACTACTAATATCACTACTTTGACAACTTATCATACTACCACTAGAACAACAAATTAAACTTATGCCACTTTTCACCTTCCTGCCTTTAAGGGAATTTACTTCTTCATTCAAACTTTGTGCAATTTCAGTCATTTTTCTGGCCTCTTTCAGCATGAATAAAATTTCAATTTATGGAGCATATTCATACTGTTCGTCCTTCAACCATTTTCACAATTATTCAACTTCTATTTCTTTTCACCCCTTCAACAGCTTTTACACTTAAACTACCAACATTTCTGCCATGTGAGGAGTTTTGATAAAAGCAATGCCAAGTGTAATGTGGGAGTGTTGTATCGATATTGGATTTTCACTTGGACTTCACTTTGTTGGCATTGGTGTGTACAGTACACCCCTTTACGGTGGGGACATAAGGAAGCGAAATCTGCAAAGTGAAGCGGGGCGAAACTCAGTGTTCTGAAGGTGAATATCTACCAGTCTACTATTCTCCTCGAAGATAACTATAGGTTATAATGACACGTGAACCTGCTGTGTATTGTGACTGGACCACTGTACAGCCCGCCCCTGAGTCTAGCTCGGCTGTTGGACACTCGCTTCACGATATGGTCGAGACACGATAAATTTGCATGGTGTTGGAGATTCCTGAACTTTTGGACGTGGCGCAATGACAGTTTTGATGCACTCCAAGGACCATGTCGTATTATGTACACACAATACTGTGCGGGAGCGAAATCACTCATAGAAAATAGGTCCAGCTTCTACCAGCTGTCTACTGGGGCCAGCATTAGGCCCAGGATACGCTTGCCATATGCACATTTCATGCCCGAATACGTTGCCATGTCGATTTATGTCGATGTTACGCGTGGTAGCACACCTGAACACAAGGTATGCAGATATGTGCGCATGTTGCAATATTGACACAACCGCGAGGGGCTATCTTCCGAACTTCCATGTTGAGCTCGTGGTAGAGTCAAACAATGGTGGAAAATATTAATGAGAGCCCGGTTGGCTATCTGCCCCCTACATGATACCGCCAGTATCCAATGTTGCCAATTTAGGGACTTTGTCGCTAGATTTAGCGACTTTTGGCTGTCTCTGGCGACTAAAAATCATCTAGCGACTTAGCGGCTCTTAGGGGAATCTGGCGACTTTAAAAAAACACATCTCTTGAGTGTCAAAATCATTGTTTTTCAATGTAACAGCTCTGCACTGCCACCAGAAGGTTATTTCATGGTTAAGCAGCACTGCGCATTAGCCCCAATCTCAAAACTGTACCCTTTGGGATTGTCGACATAGCCATGTAGACACATTTTCTTGAGATCAGTGGGTCGTGCGTGATGTTATGACATCATAGATTACGTCATGACGTAATCTAGCGACTTTTCAGAGAGCCAATAGCGACTTTTGGTGATTTGTTTTTGGGAACACTACCAGTATCGTGCATAGTGCTCTGATCGTTCTGCTGCAAGTATGTGCGGTTGCGTACGTAAATTAAGTCACACAGCTAGCATATCCTGGGCCGTAGGGCTCACTGAAAGGACTTTTATTCAAAACCCTTGGTAAATCAGAAGCCCTTTAAGAACATTTGTAATCAGAGGGCTCTCTTAACAGTATGCTCTTCCATTAGGGCTCTCCCTAGGGCCCCCACATAGCCAGAAGTCACGACCTTAGCAGGGGCTTTCATAATCATAGGGCCCTCTGAAAGCATTCCCCCCTACTTCCTTGAACCCCTAGTTGGTAAACGTTAGGGCTCCCTTAGGAGTATTCATGAGAGGCACTACAGCAGGGCCAGCCTAGGGGCCCTCTGACTGCCGTCCCTGCCTAACATTTCATTTTCCTCCTACAAGCACAAAACATTGTCCACCCACACTCAAACAAGGCATTCCATTGTACGTTATTTCATTTCCCCTCTCATGTTGTTTTAGGCCGTGGGGTACCCAATCAACTAGCAACAGGAGGATGTCCGGCAAAGATTTCTGTGGAGCTGCTGCCCAATGCCTCTGTAGTGGCAAACATGTATGAGCAAGAGCTGCACTCCTCACTGACTTGGACATCAACCTTTGGAACGGACCCATTTTCCTCTGAGGAGTACAGGTGTCAGGCTGAGCAAAACTTTGCAGAGAACTACCCAGCCATCTCTGTTCTTTTTAATCATATAATCAACCATGATTACACTCCATTCGCAGATGCCTTGTTATACCTTATCAATGTTACCCAGAGATATGCTTAAAAAGATGTTGGATTAAATAAATGTAAAAGTTGTCTTGCTTCAATCTTTATTAAAATGTAAAAAAAAACAAGAAAATGTACAATCTGTACTGAGGTAGGCACACATTGTGCTGAGGTATGCTATTTAAACTATAGCTTTTTTATAAAATATATACAAGTGCAAAAACTATGCAAATTTGCTTAACAGTAGCTTACATTCTCAATGCTTACCAGGGCAAATTGAACCTGAACACAACTCTGTGTAAAGTGCATAACAGTAGCTTACATTTTGAACATTCTGAACTGTGCAAATCATTATTGCCAGAGAGCACTACCCAGTGCAGTCAAACCATCAGATCAAAAATCAGATTCAAAATTCTCCTCCCGACACTTAGGACAAAAGGTGGAAGTTTTCTTCCACTCCTCCATGCAGGTGCTGCAGCCAATAAGGCTTTTGCAGAATGCTGTCACCAAGGGATCACACAGTGGGCCTGAAATTTTGATTCAGAAAACACTTCATCAACAATCCCCAGAAGTAAAAGTCTATCTTTTGAAAATCATTACAGTTGTCAGATGAAAACACATTGTGAACAAGGTTAAAAAGGTGGGGGTAGGATGGAGAGAGACCAAATTGTTAATAACTGACCTCTGCAGATGAGGCATGCAAAAGCATCTCTGACTGATGTTGCCTGAGCCTCGGTCAGGCTCACTGACCCTCACATTCAATCAGTTCCTTGATTTGGGTGGTCACCTCTTCAAGTCCCTGGGCTGCAAGGACTACCTCTTCAATTTTGTCCATGACATTATTGAGGCCTGTGTCCTTCAGTTATTTGCAATCTTAGCAAAACAACTATCATGGCAATATGAATATCATTTCTCATCAATCACTTTGTATTCAGAGGCTGCGACTACTACCATTGGAATTTTGATTAAATCTATTCAATACTGTGTTTGGGATTCCGATAAAGTCTTAATCTGAATGTGAGCATCTGCAGCACTACAGTAGGATGGCCTGTGTTTGAAAAAAACATTGTATTGATCAAATGTTACATAAATATAAATATTGTAAAAAAATACAAGAAACTCAAAAATAGAACCCTACAAAGCTTTTCTCATACCTGCTTCTCCTCCTTTTTTGGCCGTGTAGTTCTTGGAAATCATTCTCCGACACTGCAAACACCTTCCTGGAGTTTTGCTCCCAGTACTGTGATCCTGAAAAGTAAATCAAAATTAAACTATAAAGAAATTGGGAGTGGCTGTGTGTTCGCTCCTCCTAGCATGTCAGTTTTCCTGGAATAGGCTCCAGATAGTGTTTTGCTCAAGGAAATCAGAACAGCTCAATGGTGCTGCTAACTAAGACTTAAACTAGTCAATGTAAGTATCATACAACAAGTGCATTTCATACAAAGGGATTACAATACAAACACTGTGGAGTGCGGAATGTGAAACTCTACCTTGGGTTCCTTGAGAGTCGAGGATTTGGTTCCCCTGTGAATCCGTGAGGATGAGGCCCTCGTCTCTGTTGAGGGCTTGTTTTATTTTGGCCACCATGCCATCAACTGAGGCTTCAAACTCAGAGAAGCGAACTGTCAGTGTCTGGTTGGTCTCCAGTTTTCCCTTGACCACTTCGGCCATGAAGATATTCCTAAATAAATATAAACACGTTACACGAAAATTGTTTAGAGATTACAGACACACAAATACAGCCAAGTAGCATCTACTGGACTGTTACTAAAGACCACTGACGGAATGTGTAATTGAATGACAAAGTAACTAACTGAAAGGAGGTGCTCTGATACTATCAATGTCAAACATGTCAAATCTTTAACTATATACTCAGAATTATATATATTTTAAATAAAATTATACTTAAATGGAGGGGTGATTTAAAGTCACTTTATGCAGTTATTTGGATTTTTTAATGTAATTGTTTTGTATTTATTCTTTCATATTCAGACAGCTTAGGGAATGCTACAGGCATGTATAAAAATATCGATTCCCTGCAACACCTCAAGGGTTGACAGTTCCCCTTCAAAGTTTTCCCTAGAAGCTTTGCGATCAGCTGTGAATGGTCATGGCTGGAAGACATCAACCAATCAGGAGGAAGGCTATTGCCCACAATGATTTACTACTGACATTTTGGAGGCAAACTGTGAACTCTGGAGGTGTCACAGAGAGTAGATTTTTTTTCTACATGCCTGTTATGGTCCATAATCTGTCTGAATATGATCAGACAAATTTTGAAAACTTGCATTAAAATTTGCCCCAATAACTGCTTACAGCCACTTTGATATAACCTACTCCTAATTGGAGTAGCTAGTATTCCCATCACCAAATATAGTATGACAGTTATGACCCATGTTTAATGCATCACCTTTGGAAGGTTTTTACAGCAGAGGCCCTTGGAGCAACGGTGGGAGTTCCTGCAGAACCTGAATGAATGATTGAATAAAAGTTTTAGTTGCTATATACAAATACATGTACAGGTATATTGGAATTCAATTAAAGTTCGACAATCTAACAGTTTATTTGGTCTTTAAAACAGTTTAAGTTAAAAACCTTGTAATGACAATCTGATAATCTACAAAACTATTACTTTAACATTCTAACAATATGGACGTGTGAAATCAATGTGATATCAACATGACTATAATAGCACAGGCAAGTATTGTATGTGCAATGTATGTATTCAGATGTGTAAAGTCGATTATTGTTATTATATAGGAAACTTACTGGTGCTAGCTGTGCGGTGAAAAGAGAAGCGATAAGGAGCGGGGGTTGGGGTTGGCTGGCTCTGGCTCTCAGTCTCAGACTCGCCACAAACCTCGTAGTGGCAGTTTGGCTCAGAGCAAATATATTGAATGACCCGTCCGGCATGGGGAACAAGGCCACGTTAGTGTGGTCAGTTAAGTATAGGCAGTCCCGGTTGACCTGAAAAAAAATGACAATAGTTGCTCAATGTAACGTTAGCCGTTAGCTCCGCACCATGGTTTAACGTTAGTGCCAGTTGCATAACTTACCTTAAAAATACGAGACTTTATCTACAGTCATATCGTCCGTCCTAAGTGTGACACGCTTCCCCTCTTTAAAAAGCACGTACACGTCTGCCATCCTTGACAAAAACGTTAACGAATAATAACTGTAAAAACGTTAGCTATCGTGCGGCTCGATTCACCCATCAATGGAATCACCCAGTAGAGACTGACTGACCTTCCTGAGAAAAAAAAAGTCAACAACTCCCGGGTCTTAACACATCGAAAATGACACAAACCAAAAACGAATAGAACAAAAATCCCATGATAATTCCATTCTCTCATATTCTATTTTTAATTGCAAAACAAAATCAAAACAGCGGAAAATAAGCCGTTATTTGTTTTCCAATTTTTTATTTGAAAACGAGAAATGAAATAACAAGTCGTTATCCGTTTTCCGATTTTGGATTCTAAAACGGATATGGAATGAACGAATGATACACTGATAGTGATCCAGAGGGAGTCGAACTCCGACGAGCACCACGTCTCTGACATGGGCGGTTAACTACACCTGCAGAGACATCAACACCGTATTAAGGCATATGGATTCATATCATAAACTAAAGCTCAATGCCATTCACGGGTATTTACGGCTGCTGTGACGGATTTATCCTCAGCATATTCATTTCTGCCTCCACAAAAGACATATTTCTCATATATTCTTTTTTAAGTCTTTATACTTGTGACAGTGTGTTGCTGATGTGCCAAAGGATGGAGTATTTCCATGTTTGTGAAACCTATACTGAAGCACAGTTCCTTTAAATGCTTCATGGCCCTAATTTTAACAACTCTCCTTTGAAATAACAGGTTACATTACAACTTTATTCTCATAAATTAATGACTTTATTCTCGTTAATTCACAACTTAAATCTGATGTCTTCACACGGCGCGAAAGGTGTCCCATTTGGCTTGAAATGCTGAGTGCGCTTCAAATTCGGTCTCAAAACCACACCACCCCCACCCATTTTCCAAGCGTGCAGTTATGCACGCTTTCGTGCCGTTGGTATCCCATAATTCTTTGCGTGCCGCTGCACAGCTGTGCATTTCAGGTAAGAGGATGGACTCGCTTGGACATGCAGCACGTCTTCAAAGAAAATAAAAGAAATCCAAAAACAGCAGACAGTCAGCTCAGGCTGCATGAGCGCATGATCTCTGAACTCACAAAAATCTGCAAATCAAACATTTAGCAGGGCACTTAGGAGACCTCCACGTACCCCCCCTTATTTTTTTTTCTAGTCAGGATTTTTATCATCCTTAAGACCTCTAAAAAAAGGATTTTGATGAAAGTTTTATTTCCCAAAGGTGTGTTTTTTAATGTTTTGTTACCCCTATGACACAAGCGTTTTTTCTGGCAGGATCACTGACGACACTGTCTTTCCGAGAGTGTGGCATGGTCAAATTTTGAGGTAGACAAAAAGTAAAGATACCATTGTATTCTGGACAACCACAGCTTTCCAATGGGAAACCCATGCCATGTTAGCTCATTGGGAAGGGGGATAAATACCTAATGATTCAAAGTTAAACAACTTTTTTGCGAAGGAAAAACGACCATCACCATATTCCAAATACTCCCTTGAATTGTCACCTCAATATATGTTAGTGGAAATGGGTTAAATGTGTTCCCACAAGCCTCCCCTCTACATACATGCCACATTTATGGCAAACACATGCAGTTTTGGGCAAGAACCATTCATTTCTTTGCATGCTGTACAAATGTGTAATTTCCACCTATTGCAAAAAAAGGTATTTGCCAATGTATGCACACAGAGAGTTCTTAAACAGTAATGGAATAAGGTAAATTAGTATGTCTTGACAGCTGAAGTAAGCTATTTATTTGTGATCTTTAATAGTCCCCATAGTAGTGTACATGTGTACATTTTCTACAAGTTACATATTGCTCTTTGAAATTAATATTAATGGTTTTATGCACAATATGTGTAGTGATAACTGATTTCAGGAACAGTAACCATGTTTGAAAGCAAAATCTAGAGTCGGCTTAATTTTAATAGTCCTCTTCATCATTATTCATGTCATCTTCAATGGTCTCATCTTGCTCTTCTTCCTCTTCTTCGCTCTCAGCCTCCACTGCAAGTATGTCAACCAGAGATGAGGGCATGATGGGTCCAGCAGTCCATATAGGCTCAAGTGCTCCCTCCTCATTTGTTTCCCATCCCTGGTGAATGTCAAAGTGTTATTTATACCATGGATGTTCTTGTTATACATGAAAATCCAAATTGAACCATTCTTACCTGATCTGAGTCATATGGTTTCGGTCGCTCAAAAATAGGTGCAGCTGCTCGCTTATAACATGCCACTCTGTGGTTGCAGCGATCAAGATGGGTGGAGAGACTGCACTGTGGTGGTGGGAGACGTCCAAGGTCCACCTTAGACTTGGCCGAGAGGGACTCATCGTCTCTGACCATCTTGCGAATCATCTTTACACACACTGCATCTACTTTCTTTTCCCGACCATGACCATACATGAGGCATGTGAAATGTTCCAGGTCCTCCTTGCAGCTGCTTGAGAGGCACCATTCCACACCAAGTTCCCTGAAATAGGAAAACACTGTTAACTTTCAAGTGTCATTCGAGTCAAGGAAGTGAAATTATGAACGAGAGCCATGTCACCTGAACGCAGCCTGGTACTTGGGGTTCTTCTGCAGCTTCTTCAGGGGTCCACCCTTGCCTTTGAAGGCACTGGTGCAATCTTCACCACTGAAGACATAGTACCCAAGTAAGGTCTTGCAGTATTCAGAGCCAAGATCGTTTGCCAGCTGAGTCACATTCACCAGTTGTCTGCCCTTCCCAGTACCGATGCCAATTTACACCGTTAACTTGATGTTATGCGCGTGGTACAGTAAGATGAACAAAACATCACTGTCCGGTGTGCGGACAACTGTCGAAGTAAACCCCAACTCAGCAGTGTGGTTACAGTAGATAATGATTCTTGTGTCCATTTCCTCCTGGTTAGACCGAAGGCTGTGGATCTCCTCAGATGTGACCTGAGACATAAAATAGCATTTGACTTTTTACTATAAAATAGTAACAACATGTGAGTAATTTATTTATATATTTACCATTTTTATTTACCTCACCACCTACTGCTGAGAGGGAGTGGGCCTTGCCTTCTACACATAGGATTGCTGTTCCACAACGTGCCAGCTGCTCTGCTGATTCAGCAGAGCAGCTCAGGTCACATCTGAGGAGATCCACAGCCTTTGGTCTAAAAGCGATCCACCTCCAAGTCCACCTGTTTTTTTCCCTTTGGAAAAGACGTATTTCTCATATGTTTTTTTTAAGTCTTTATACTGATGACAATGTGATGCTGATGTGCCAAAGGATGAAGTATCTCCTTGTTCGTGAAACCTATACTGAAGCACAGTTCCTTCAAATGTTCCATGGCCCTAATTTTAACAACTCTCCTTGAAATAACAGGTAAACTTATGACTTTATTCACATAAATTAATGACTTTATTCTCATAAATTCACTTAAATCTTGAAGTCTTGTGTAGATGAGGGAGACTGGTGATAAAGTTTATACAGTAAATATCGACTTCAGATCGCTGCTCTGTGTGTGTGTGTGTGTGTGTGTGTGTGTGTGTGTGTGTGTGTGTGTGCGTGTGTGTAATGTTGTGAAAGATCCTCGGTGTGTGAGCCTCTCTTCCTGTAGAGACTGATCATCACCGGTCGGTTGAAGCAGGATACTTGGTTGTTTGAGTGGCTTGGGCAAAATAGTAGGAAACTTTTATTGACACTTGCCATGCCGTGCTGCAGCTTCTGGATGAGGTTGGCTGTAAATTGGTCTATTTCCAACCGCTTGGGACTCTGCTACTGATTTGGGTGATCTGCTCATTGTCAATCAATTGAGACACAGCACGACAGTTGGCTGATAATAAGCAGAATACCTAAATCAGTTGTGTTGGGATACAGAGATGCCAAAAACCTGCAGACAGGTGGCTCTCCAGGACCAGGACCTAAGAAACTTCTTTTAATGCTTCAGCAAAAGACAGTGCTTTAGTCATTGTTCTGCTGGTTGATACAGATTATTGCAAATTGTTTGATGAACTTGCATATCATTTCTCTTCATTAATTGTAATCTACAATATTACCACGGTAGCAGAGATAAAAGACACAGGCAAGACATAACATGTGAATTACATTAGCGGCAGCTGGATTTTTAGTTTGTCAATATCCCAGGCCCAGTGCTGTTCCGTTAGCTTATAACATATTTTAACACATTTTCAGCCCACCTTGAAGAAATAGATAGATAGATAGATAGATAGATAGATAGATAGATAGATAGATAGATAGATAGATAGATACTAAAAACACTAAGTATATACAATAAATACAGACTAAATATAATAAACATCCTAAGAGAAAAAAGTGAGATATGGTGCTATAAATTCAAATAGCTAAATATGCAACCGTTCTGAACCATTTATTTTAATGAATGTTTATCCACACCATCCTGGATGGCACGTTTCTGCTGACCATGGTATCACTACTTCCTTAACATGGTGGAGAGTCTTCCTCAACATTTATTTTTTCAGCCTCCTCCTGCACCATAAGGGCAGTCGTAACGGGAACCCTTACTCTCCTTCAACTCACTATCAGACTCACACTGCTGAAGCTGCAGCAAACATCTGCGTAATTGTTTTACTTTTAGTAGCCTGTGCTGCTAAAGCTTTTCTTTTCCTTTCCCTAATTTTTTTCCTTATCACCTTTTTTACTTTACTTCTATATTTTTTTTTTGTGTGCTGGTGTGTTGTTGTTGTTGTTGTTTTGCTTTTTACCTCTCTTGCTCTCTCTCTTATCATTGACTCCTCATCAATAAAAGTGATTGGACGAGGGGGTCCAGATCATGCGTGGGTGGGACTCCTGGGCCTCTGTAGCCTCTCATATGGCCATTGGGCCAGGTATTCTGATTGCCTGTGTTTCTTAATCATGTTTCTGGAGGTCATTTTCTTCTTCTTTATTATTATTTATTATTGTGATGTGTGCTGCAGACCTCTTGGCCAGGTCACTCTTGTAAATGAGATCTCGATCTCAATGGGTTTTTACCTGGTTAAATAAAGGTTAAATAAAATAAATTAAAAAAAAACTCTGGTGGCTGAGCATTGATAGAGCTATCTTAGTACCAATAATCTCAGCTTCAACTCAATGGCCTCATCGGTCACGTGTGAAGGTGAGATTTTCAGTGATTGTGAGGATTTAGACTCAATGATTCCCTGTATGATTAGGAGAAGTCCTAAGGGCTTCTATGACACCTTCTTAAACTTTTATCACTGCTGGAATCTAAATTTCATAGAGAGTAGCAAGTTTTAGAAGCTTGTCTTTAGAAAATTGCTCAAGAAAACTCCTTTGAAGGTGCCTCAATGAAGTCTTAAAGCGTCACCACACTGGATTACTTCAATAAAAGCTAAATGAACAGTTAGCTTCAACTTAAGTCTCTTAAAAAAAATACTAAGGACAAAGTATTACTGTTACGACCCAGCTTATGAGGGGAAAGAGAGAAACATAAATCCCAGGTTCCTTGGTGTGAAAAGGGTTATTTATTGTGAAAAAGAAATAATGATGTATAGTTTAACATACAGTTGAGGCGAGGAACAGATGGATGTATACTGCTGCTCAAAAGAAATAAATAAACACAACAAAGGGTGACTCTAAACTAGAGCAGAAAATTTTCACTTTCTGAAATTAACTCACAAACAGCAGTTAAAATGAAGCGAGGGGTGACCAGCTCCCTGTCCCTTACAATCCCCTAAAAAATAAAAAAAAGATATACAATTAGATCACCACACCTCTACACATGAAGTACGACACAAATTTCTGTGTCCAGAGACAGTACTGATTCCTCTCCAAACCTCATGGATGTTGCTGTGTTGTAAATTCCTCTCTATCCTCTTTTTGTATTCCAGCTTTGCCATGTTCAGTCTCCTCTTCAACTTCTGTTGCACTTGTCTGAGTCATTGTCTCCGTCTATTGCTTTAATAATGTTCTCATTTGCCCGTGATGTGCAGATGCAGAGGGAGACTTTGTGACACTGGCTTGGTTGTTAAGTATAACTTTATTACAAAGACAACACCAGTATCCAACAAGCACTGTGGATGCTGAGAGACAACTATCAATGATGTCCTCCCAGATTTCAGTTTGAGCACCTCTTACATTGGGTTAGGAGGTGTTTACACGTCATACACTTCCCTCATAAGATTATATAAAAAAAATTTGTATTCATCCCACGATGGGGAAACCCTTTTTTCATGAGAACTGGTTTATAGTAGAAAAGCTTATGGCAAAATAATAAAGGAAAATTAAAACAACATAATATGGAATGCATTAAATACAAGAACTAAATCTAAGAATAATGTGAGCCATCTAGACCACTTTGTTATAAATGATAAAGAGGTCCATGGTAAGAATGAGATAGTGGAGGAATTTAATAGATATTTTGTTGAAGTGGGGCTGAAATTGGCGAGAGAAATAAATAATACTGAGCAGTCAGTTGCTGATACTGACATTTCTATTGATAGTGACACAGACAGAGACAAGTGATATTAAGATATGCAAAAACAAAATTTAAACTGATAAAGATGGTCTTGATATGTTTTTAATGAAAAATACAATAAATTCTATTATAGAACCCTGCACTCACATATTCAATTTGTCGTTCAGAATGGGGAGTATTCCAGACAAAATGAAAGTTGCAAAGGTCACTCCACTTTTAAATCTGGTGATAAACACTCATTCACATGCTGCAGACCAGTTTCTTTATTTTCACAGTTCTCAAAAATTCTGGAAAAAGTCTTGAACAATAAACCTGATAAAGTAATAGAAAAAAATAACACCTTGATGGACAGTCAGTATGGATTTAGATCAGCTAGATCCACTTGCCTGGATCTGATGGAACTAATAGAGGAATAAGCATTGATTAAAAAAAAAATTACACTTGGAATATTTATTGATTTGAAGAAGGCTTTTGACACCATTGATCATGAAATATTACTTTACAAGATGGAAAAGGGTCTATGAAATTAAGTTTTTGGGTATACTGATTGACCATAAGCTCTGTTAGAAACCATACATTAAATATCTATGTTCAAAAATTTCAAGAAGTAACAGAATCATCAGTAAATCAAAGTATTTATAACCACAAAAATCATTACACACACTCTACTGCCTCATGATCCTGCCACACCTCTCTTAACTCTGTTGAAGTCTGGGGAAACACAAACAAGACTAATCTCCAAAAGATATGTACATTCCAAAAAAAAAAGTAATCAGATCTGTACCACACTGGATACAGAGATCACACCAGCCCTCTGTTTCTAAAATCACAACTGTTAAATTTTTTTGACGATTTGAAAACCGCTCAAGTGCTGTATAAAGCAACCCAAAGCAAGTTACCTCGTTACTTACAAAAGATGTTCAAAACCAGAGAGGGGGGCTATAATCTAAGGAGTGAACATAGATTTATTAGTCTGTACAACTCTCAATAATACGTGCATTTCTGTTTGTAGTGTTTAAAAAGGTCTCAATTTATGTTGTAGGGTTCTTGTATTACCTGGGTTTCTTATGAAAACTGAAATTGGCCTTCAATTCGGAGGCCTTGTTTTTAACTGAGCTTTTGTTTTTATATCTTTTTATATTCATGCGCTGATGTTCTGTGCTTTGCAAGTGTTTGTCAAAGAACTTTGTACACTTCTGTTTTTAAAAGTGCTATAAAAATGAAGTTATTATTATTATTTAACTCTGGAACAGCCTGATTGTCATTTTAAAAATGTCCAATAACATAAAAATATTTAAATCATGCTATAGACAAGTATTAGAAAATTTATATAAGTAAACTAACAAAAATATGGTTTTATACTAAATTAACTTGATTGCATAGAAGTAATATCAATTTTAAATATTGTAACACTGATTATTATTAAAATATGCAAATAATTATATTAAGTCACATAAAATGTCGTTTAGAGTAGAAATCTTTGTGTATATGTAGGTGTATATACAGATTTTGTTTTTTATACAATTAATTTTTCTTTTTTCCATTCATTATTGGCATTGATTTGAAAGGAAGGGGCAGGACTAGATAAGCTCTTTGCTTCATTCTCTTCCTTCTCAAACTGTTTGTTTTTGACATACATATGTTCGTGTAGATTCATCTTTGACATATACAGTTGTTTGGTGTACATATGTATTATTTTGCTTGTTTCTGATTTTGTTTTTTTTTTGTTCTTAAAGTTTGAGATAACAGGGTGACTACAGGTATGAAGAACTTTTATGTAAGACTTTTTAAGACCATTATAATACCACCTCAAAGAAAATTGAAGACCAAACTTGCGATGGAAATACACACCAAATTGAAAATATATTCAATGCATTGATTAAATGCACTCAGTTAAAAATGCACAATAATGAAAAATGAAAATAATCAGTTGTTCAAGAACATTCTTCAAATGTGTTTATTAAGGACAGCGCATTTCTGCCTCTCTAGCTGATGTAAAATTGCTGGGTCAACTTTGTAATACATAACTAGTCTCAGTCACAACCAGCCTGTTCAGCAAGTTAGAAAGCTAATAAACACAAGCACATCCACATAGACTGTCACTTAGACTAAGGCTGTCATACAAGAAATTAAAATCTTGATTGCGGTTTCAGCCTTGACAACTCGCACAAAACGTCTCAAAGTTAGCCCTTGTGCGCACAAATAGCTATGAAACAACTATGCTGCACAATTAAGTCTCTCTTTTTTTTAAGTCAATTTCAACCTGTCGAAACATTCAGACTCATAGCCACATTATTAATGTTTGTAATAAACAAAACCATTTGTAAATCTGTCAAGATTTCAGCTAGTTAAGAGTCTTTTTGATTATGCAGATAACTCACCTTCCTACAGCTACCATAAAGTAAACCAGAATGGTATTCTGTGGAAAGATGGCCTGCGTACAGCGTACATTACACTGGCATTTTCCCATTTCACACAACCAAGAAAGTCAAGATGGCTAGGAAGGATACAACACAAACTCAATGCGTCATGTGATCTAAATGCCGGGGCGAGATGAGATGGGATGAGAAGCGTTTATTCCGTGCTCACCAGAAATTCTCACAGTGAAGTGACGTAAGTACATTTAAGACCTATCTGATCTGAATTTTTAGACAATGTAATACTTTTTAAGGCCTTGTATTTGTAAAACTGTATTTAAGACTTTTTAAGGACCTGCGGACACCCTGGATAAAAAAAAAGAGAAAGAAAGAAAGAAAGAAAGAAAGAAAGAAAAAAAGATAAAATACCAATGATACAGGAGGGAGACTCACAAAGGAAAAGTGAGGGAAAATTATTTATTGCTAGCTTTCCCCTTTTACACTATTCATTAGTTAAACCAGGTCATACAAACAGTTTTCAGTGACATAACTACACACCTTTATAATGACATTTAAGGGGACAAACCTACTAGAAGGATTAAATATCCTTGGGTCAAAGGCAAGATCTCACTGTGCCTTAGTTTTAATTATAATCAAAGGGTAACATTGAAAATACTGGAAAATATATTATAACAGTAGTAGAAAGCAAAAAGGATAAACTGGAGGATGTTGTAGGAGCTGGTATGAGAACAGATACTTTTGCTGGTGTTTGTCAATCATGGCAGTGGGCCAAAGGTCTGCTTTAAGCCATGAGCAGGCGATGCACTTTCTGCAGCTGCTGCTGTGAAAGGACTAGGCGGTGAACCTGCTCCTGTCCATGGATGCAGGGTAAAGCAACACGACCTACAAATACATGTCCTGTCTGCTTTTCTTCCTTAGCCTAGCAAATAATTGGGAATGAAGGTGTGGAATAAACAGTCATTAATCTCAACTAAATGAAAAAATATATAGAACTACAGGTGTACGTAAAGTATGATCTTACCTTAACAAAAGATGATACTGGAAAGGTGGCAAAGTCCGTGGAAGCCTTTGCTCCAGGCTGGAATGAGACTACATGTTTGGCTACCTCACCCTAAAACAGAAGTGTTATCATGGTTGGTTTTGTAGTCCAGCCATCTTATTCAAATAATAGGAAAACCAGCTTCATGCTGACTTTGTCACCTTAAGTTTGACCAGGGCATCACTGAGGTTCTGTAAATGAGCAGTCTGTTCCAACAGCTGGGCACTGGCACTTACTGAGAGTAAAACAGGAGAAGAAATAAAAACAGAAAGAAAATTAACAGCTGTACCCCAAATTAGCACAGTAACAACAATATACACACAAAAGCGTGTGTTAAAAAAACGGAGAAACAAAACATACTTGATGTTTTGCCGGTGACATCTACAACTTTGACTTCTGCACTAAGCTTGAGTAGTGTTGCCAGCAGTTGGTCAGTTCTGCGATAGATGCCTGTATTCGGTCCATCTGGTGATGTACAGTTTTCTCTGGACAACTGTGGTAGTCTAGGAGGGCAAAGTGGAGGCAGGGAGGCCAGCTGTGCCCTCATCTTATCAGCCTGAAAGAAAAATACAGTTTAGGTCAGTGCGGTTCTTGGATTTCCAGCATAATGCCACAAGACAATTAAACTTACACCTGCATACCTTTAGCCTGTTGTTTTCATTCTTGAGCTGTTTAATGCTTAGTCTCTGAGCCTCAACTTGCTTCCTGAGGAGAGGGGAGTCTACTACCTGTACCGGTCCCACCAAAGATTGCGGTAGACCTACCATTAAAAAGAACTTTTTTTTTTTTCTTGCAATTCAAGTAGAACATTTCTGCAGTCAAGAAAGTCAGGAAATCTGTGGTATGGATTTTGCAAGCCTGAATGAGCCTGAATTTTTTAATCAGAACGTTTTGCAGGCAGCAGAAAGATCTCTGTTCATGAATAAATATATCATTGTTACAACACTACCATTAAGTCAGGATGCCTTGGCAGTGGTGTGTGACAGTTTTTGTTCTTAATGCTGATTGCCTTTCCTGTATATCCCTTGGCCTGACTGGTCAATAGAATTGGTCAAAGCTATACTTTCTTATGTAAAATCTGCCAATACAAATCACACTAACATTGAGAAGTAAACTCACTATCATGGACTTCAACTTTTGTTTCATTTTCCCCCACTGCACTTCTGCGTTGGAGTATCTACATATTGCTCTGCAATACTCCACCTAAACAGTAGCCAGCAATATAATGACTATACTCACCATATCACCGGTTTCTGTGTGCAGGAAACCATGGCAATTTATTCTGAGAATATGTTTCAGATGACATATATTGTGAAGCTCCTGATCATGCTGCAATTATCCCATAGAAGAAAAGAGGGGAGATAGATAATATTCTTGCAGAGGAAGAGGATGGGGTACAGCAGTGACAATGAAAATGTCTACCTCTCAGCAGACCAATCATAGGGTTTGTGGTCTGTGTTATTAGGGCCACAGGGCAAACACACTAAGCCACTACTGTTATACTCTGGATTTTTTCTTATTCTTCTTCAGAACAAATTTTTATTTGCTACTCGGCCTACAGCTTCAAGAGTTGTAAAACAAATCATTTATCAAAGCATGCAGTTTAATCAGGATCAGTGTGCTATTACTCTCTCAATTATTTATGATTTTTTCCAAAAACTATGGAAATGTTTTTAGTCAATGGAACAAGCAAAAAAAAAAAAAAACTATTGGAGTTTTTCAAACATCTACTACTCAGTCACACTTTCATCTAGAGACTCCATTTAAACTTTGAAATGTAGATGCAAGCCTTGTCTATTGGTGAATTAATCGTCATTTTGATAGATACTATTGGTTTTGATCACCCACTGTTAAATGACCATGATCATTTTTGGATAAATTTTGAGATTGTAATGGGTTTGTTTTGCGGGGAATCTTTGTGCCACAGTGGGCAATATCATCGGCTAGAGTACACTCTACACGCATGTTTTTTCCACAGTCGAAGACACACTTATTCTGTATTTATTTATATCTTTAATTATGTGCTTATCTAGGCTGAGAAACTTACAAAACGGAAACACTGAGCCTCTAAGTGTAGCAATGTCTTCTCTGCTCCTCATTGACACTAATACAGAGATTTTCAAAAGGAAGCAGAAGGGACTTCTGTTTATAACTTGCAAGTATGTCCAAACTATTTACTGTAGAAACATGGAAAGTGTGGAAAGTGCGCTGAAAGCTCACTGATTCGAACCTGGTCAGCTTTCAGCGCAGGTGGAGCGCAGCTGGTCTAGGGTATTTTGGTAGACTGGCGGTGTAGTGCGTACACGTCACCAGTGCCTCATCGGCAGGTTTCCACAGTATCAGGCACATTTCTGTGTAATAAATAATCAGTAACAACCAATATCCAGTGCAACTATCTGAGTCAGCACATACATTTAGATCTATATCGATATATTCTGATCTATGTCTTATCTGATCCACCTGACTAAATTAGCACAACTGAAATCGCGTTAAATTAAATACCCAGTAAATAGTCACACATTAATAAGTTAACAAGACATTTAATTTGTCCCCGCCCCCTTTCTTTCTTCCTCTCCTCTTCTTTCTCGTGCAGCTCCACCCAGACACATCTCTGTGTCCTCTCTCCCTGTTCTGCTGCTGCTGCTGCGGCAACAAAGCTGACCAGATGATTTATTTTAGCGATCAGATGAATTATTTACTTAAAAAATAAAATAACTTCCATTCACAATAAATTGTTTATCTGATGTTTTCACATCCTTAAAATTTTCTGAATATTCAATCCGGAGCTACGCCTTCATAGGAATATTACAATATTCAGTTGCGTGAGCCAAATTTATTTTATACTCCATTTGTGAAAGAAAGAGCCAGGCCACAGAGCGTGGTGTGTCCTTGACACACAGGTGATTCCCATTTATATGCCATTATCAGCATTTGTTTATGTTTTGATCTGTGCGCACTACCCACCTTTGTCACGTGGGGTTAAAATAAGCGTAACTTGATGTGATTATCTTTATTTGTTAAAAAGGGTGTTTGTCCCACCAGTGGGTCCAACCTTACACACACCAAATCCCTCAGTCCTTATTTGAGAGAATGTGGAGGACGCCCTGGAGCGCTTACCAAGACACTTGTTGAGGGGCTGCCTCCGATGTCACCATTGTGTGGCATTGCTGTCTTTAGCCATCTCTTGATCTGTTTGGCTACTTAGTGAAAATTGTAATACGCCTTGTCGGTTGTCAGTTGTGGCTGATTGTGGTTAAATTGGCCCTTAAAGGGTTAAAATTTTTATTTTCAATGAAACATTTGCTAGTTTTGAACAGGGCAGAAGTAAAATAAGAGATGTATGAAAAAAATCTGAAAAAAATATTAATCCAATATGATTTTACAGCAGACAAAAAAGTGGCTTTTAACAGCCGGAATGTGCCGGAAGGGTTAAACCCACTCCACGCCTGCTCCCCACCCTTTTTCCAACTTACACCTTGAGGAGGAGCTGAGTAAGGGAGGGGGGATACTTATGCTGGGCTGTGCTGCTCACCAAAACATCAAAGTGCAGTTGGGTGTGCCTCAAAGGTGCAGCGGACCTGATTTATGCCGCACCTACACCACGCCACTGGCTAGGCATGAAAATAGAACCCTTAATGTGAGAACAGTGCCAAGCTAAACGTCACTACTTTTTTTTAATGTTTTGACTGCCTCAGACTGCGGTGTGTCTATTGTCATGGGCAACCAGCTCAAGTTGCCATGGCAACCTGTGAGCTTCAGGCCAGGCCCACAGCTGAAACCAATTGACTTATTAAGGGACTGCTGTAATATCTATGCATCATTTAATTAATTTTAGAGTAATCTGATTAACAATAAAATGCTCATTCTCAATCAAAATCCATAACCTCCTGGTAAATTCCTTCTGGGGTCAGTACCACCAGTTTGAAAACTGTTTATTAAAAGATGTCACACCCTTAATCAAATTAAAGAAAAATCACCTCCTGCAGACCCCTCAACAATGGAGGCAATTCCAGAAGATAATGGGCCCCTTAGAGCGTTAATAGTCATCTTAGATTGATTATTAACACGTTGTTTCAGCTCTGCCTTCTCTGCCTCCAACTGATCAATATCTGCTTGAAGGGCATCCATTGTCTCCTCAAACTCCCTTTGAATAAAGAGAAAGGAAAGGGGACAAGCAGTAAGATTTGTAAATAAAAGCAATACAAAAGGAGAAAGTAAGAATTAATTCCTTTCCTTATTTCCTACTTTTCTTTCTTCTTAAGCAGGGCAAGGTTCTCATTCAATTTGGTCTGAATTTTCTCCACCCGTTCATCTGCGTCTTTATTGGAGGTGTCCAATTTCCTTTCCAACAGACGCAGTCACACGTTGGCTTCACTGAGTTCCTCACCCTGTGGCAAAGAGAACAGAAAGAATCAGTAAAAGTTACCATTACTCATGTCATGTCGAAACAGCAGGCTTAATCAGAACACTTCCCCTGGCACAAAAATTAGAGAGGTTTTGATAAAATGTATTCAACTGGGGGGTGTCACCTTAATTTTGAGAGACTTCTTGAGCTCAATGATAACAGTCTCTTTGTCTTCTAGTTTCACTCCTACACCTTCAGCATCAGTCATCTCTCCTCTGACTGTGGATGCTCTGATCTCCACTGGAGGAGTCTGGGGAAATGTTAGGAAATATGACCAAATTAAAGCAGGGAAGAAATGACCATTCGTGACCATATGCCTTAATTATTACAACACCAAATTGGAAAGGCATACAAATACCTTTCCCTGGGGTTTGTCAGCATCAAACTCTCCTTCCTGCATAGCTATGGCCATCTTGTTCATGGTTGTAATGACAGAGCTGCATGACTGTCGCAGCCAGTCTAGACCAGGGGTCGGCAACCCGCGGCTCTGGAGCCGCATGCGGCTCTTTCTTCCCTAAGCTGCGGCTCCCAATGGATTTGGAAAATAAATAATAAATACTTAATTGCATTTTATTTTATTTTATCATTATTATTTTTTTTTTTTGTAATTCTAAATTCAAAGATTATAATGCTCTTGTAACATTAAATAAACTATTAAGGCTGCAACAACGAATCGATTAAGTAGATTCGTCGTGACGAAAAAATCCGTTGCCAACAAATTCTGTGATCGATTCGTCGGGTCTTTATATATGTCCATGGACACCGGCGTGTAAACAATCAGCAGGACGCACAGAAAAGAAACAGCCATGGCCGAGGCAGCGGCTGAGAAAAACATGGACACAACCCAACCCAAATCCCGACCTAAAACATCAGTGGTGTGGGAAAACTTCACCAAGACTGAAAAGGAAGGCGTTCAGTGCAACATTTGCAAAGACCGTTTTGCATGGCTCGGGAGTACATCGATGATGCGTGAGCACAGGGCTCTCAAGTCTCACGCATTCAGCGTATGACACACGCATTCCCACTCGTTCACACGCTCACACACCACACATTGTATTTCTCACGCATTTAAATGAACACAGTGATGTCCACCAAGTTGCACTTCTTCAACTATTGAACTGGGAGAAATCAACTGAGTTCCTCCGAGAGTTCAGAAGCTGCGTGCCACGCACAAGCCAATCAAATAAAGTATATCTACTGAACAGCCAATCAAAAAGCAGCATTGCTGTATCCGGGTAGATTTTGATATCTTGCGGTTTAACTACAGAAGAAGACAGACACTCGCCGAAATAGTTCATTTATTTCATAAATGCAACTCGCTACAGTTTTTTATATACTTTGTATAAAGGTAAAAAAAAAAGATATATGCAATGTTATCTTCATTTTAGATGTCAAAGAGGTTTTGCGGCTCCCTGTGTTTTCTTTTCTGTGGGAAACTGGTCCAAGTGGCTCTTTGAGTGTTTAAGGTTGCCGACCCCTGGTCTAGACAATTAACACCAAGAGAGCCATACACCTTGGATAAAAAGAATAGATGTAGTAATTCCCTAACCCACCTCTTGTCAAGTTTTCTTAAACAGAAAATTCTAAAAATAATTAGAAAACAAAAATAGCATCTTTAAGAATCTATTTCAATTTTAATCTTTTTAAAGGTACACTTTGTGCTTCATACTTGATGGTATACTTTCCCAGACAGTTTAAATTTGATAGATACACACTAATTCACATTTGAATTACCTGTTCAACAGCATTGCAGGCTATATCTTCCAAATTCAGAGAGTTAATCCCCTCCTGTTCTGCCAGTGGAGCAACCATCTGAGCTCCTGCTACTACCACCTTCTGCAGCACAGCCACCACTTGGGTCAGCTGGCGCCTGCTCTCTGTCAGAGCCTCTGACACCTCCCAGACAACACACAAGATATCAAATTTTTACACCATATCATTTTTGTGGTCATTGTGTCAGCAGAATACAAGTAGCACAAAGTGTGGTAGACATTAAAGAGATGAAGAGGAATTTCTTAGAACTTGCTTTTATCAAACCATCTTCGAGCTGTATCAGCAGTCATTTAGTTTATGTTGAATTACTCATATGTATTTGTGACTTAATTAAATACCTGTGGTCCAAAATTTATGGCTGCAGGTACCCCCACTACATCTGTTCCAGGCATGCGACGGTGGATCTTTTTGCAGAACTGTTTGATGTCAGAGCAGGAAGTGTTGAGATCTTTTAGAAAAATGCTGAAGCCAGTGCTCTCCTGACCTGCTGCCTGGAATGATCGTAGACGAGCTACCTCCACTCCAATGCAGTCTAGGGCACTCTGGGTGAACTAGAGGAAGATTGTGCGTGTTGGAAATTTAAAAAAAATCTCTGGTATATTCTGATTTACATTTTGCTTTCCACAGTTCATTTAATTAAAATGTGTGTCTTCTGAAAGGTTTTAGGTTTGCTCAACAGTCTTAGAAAAGGGATATGCTACTTGCTTGGAGGCACAAAGTGGAAAAAATTCTATTCACTCTGCAAGAAGAGAAAAAGTAATAAATCTCTGCAATGTAATACAGTAACTATGAAGTAAATTAAATACTTTTATGTGATCAGCCAGTTGCACTGTGCAGTCTTCTGTGTGATCCGACAGGTGGATGACCTGTAGTTGCTGAAGGACAAAAGAAAGAAAAACTGAAGAATGACCAAAAAAAAAAAAAAATGGCTTACGCAATTAAATGGTTGTCGAAAATGCAAGTCTGACGTCTGTACAAATCTGGATGTTAATGCTGGGGTAGGAACCAGGAGGACTTAATAAGATTTTAAAAGTATCCAAAAAGATTTCAGCCTTTCCTCAAGCCTGCAATAACACCTTTTCCCTAACAGCCACAGATACATAGATTTTTTTCCCAGAACAATAGTTGTAAAACTGGACTATCTTTGTTCAGGGTTCAATTCCATCTGAAGGGATGTTGCAAGGATGTACTCAACAGTTTCACATATCTATACACCAATGGTGGCTGCTGGTCTTTCAAGGAGGGGAAGCTCATTTTTCTGGCCTACATCATAATTGTATTTGTTTATTAGTATGTAACAGAACAGAGTCGCCAAACACAACGGCAGTCATTTTTAACAAAGACAAGAGTCGCTGAGGATCGGTAAGGTCTCCGGAGCAGTTAAGAACAACGGAATGAATAACTTGGAAAATGCTCTGGTAGATGTTTTATTCTTCAAGATCGCTGATTCGCTTGTTTAGCTGTCAATCAAAAAAGGATTTCGCCTCAGACAGCTCATCCAATCATGGATGCAGAAGCTTGGAGTCCGGGAGAAAGTCGGGACCGCCCTCTCGCCATAGAACTCCAGTGAAGCTGGGCTTCCGATGGGCGGGACAAAGCCCAGCATTTATCCAATGAGCGTCTAGTTTCGCTGCTGGAACAACCCACTTTAAGCTTCCACATTGAAGTCAGCAGAAGCCCAGCGTCCGGCTGTTTAAAGCGCTGAGGCGCTGCGAGGATGAATGAGAACGAAGTTATGCCGGTTACCTGTGATTATCAGCTTCTTATCACAGTGTCTGAACAAAAGATGAAGGCTTTCTAGTGCGTATTTAGTTAATGAAATGTACACACAACAGTACGTATTTCACCACTTTTTCTTTTTTTTGAGGGGTGACATTTTAAGGGAAGCCGAGCTTCCCTTGCAGTCTTAGAGCAATCGCCACTGCTATACACAACCTGTATCTATTACCTGATAGTACTTCATTGCCTTCTTCAAAGGTTCAACCTGCACAGTCTCATCCAGCTGATCTTTATGTAGCAGGTCAATGAAATAATCCAAAGAGCGTTCATGGAAGCTCATTTCCGTGTAGAGTGTTCCCATGCATTTAAAAATCTCCACGCTGCAATTATTCAGTGCCCTAGAACCACATCAGAGAAAAAGATAAAGTAATCACTATGTCACCAAATTAAGTTTACAGTATCACAGCTAAAGTAATCAATTGAAGACAAAATATTACAATTTTCTTTTGTAAAGAGGAATTAATCTGGATTTATTGTCAGAAGCTTGGGCCTCTGTCTTTATCTTTTCTGACAACAAATCATGTTAAAATAAAATTTAAAAAACACAAGATCATCTGCAGTGCTTACTGTTCGTATATGTGGAGAGTAACCTGCAACAAGCTTAAGGAGTACACCAATCCTGAGGCAAAACTAAGTTGTTCTCCAGGAGGCCCTCTGAGCCCAGGCCCATAGGCAATGTTCCCATCCAAGCCAAACTTGACTTGGGTCTGTTTACTGATAAGGTCAGCCTAGAAATTAATGGAAACATAGACACAAATTCGAATAGCCTTACTACAGAAACTAGCTGAAGAGATAAAAATGAGATGACAGTATACATGACTCAAAATGTTGTTGACTCAAAATCACACCACAGCTTTATACCTTAAAGATGAGCCTGGGGATGAGCAGGAGCACTAGAACACAGTCATGATCTCCACCATGACAAATGAAGGAGTCTGGCATAAAAGATGTGAGTAGAGATACTTGTCTGATGGACTGAGCAACTTCCATTTTTCTCAGCTCCATCTCAATGGCCTAGTTACAAAGATAGAGAAATTTCTCAAGGAAGTAAAACTGTTACACCACGATAAGCCAGAGAACCCAACATGGATAGAGCTTTTTAAGATTTCCTACCTTTGCATAAGCCTTGGTCTCTGCAAATTTAATCTTAAAGTCAAATAGGTCAGCAGGAGGATGTTGAACTTGGTCAGCATTCGCATTCTGCTGACTGATCAACTCTCTGTTGGCCTCCTAGTAAACAAGGGGAAAAAACAGACTGGATATCCACTCACCCACACCTCTCCATCCAGTACATATAATGCTCTAACAATTTCCCTTGGGATACATATTAACCTCCACTCCACCTACCTGTAGCCTGGTGGTGTGATCTCTGTATTTGCTGATAGTTTGCTGGTAATCAGCAACAGTCTCTTGAGCAGCCTCTACCCTTTTGTCAGCCTCTCGGACCTTTGCTGAACTCAGGTCCAGCTGCTCCCTTAGTTCCATTTCTGTCTCTCGGGCATTTTCCTGGAGCTCGTCATTCATGTCATTGATGGCTTCCTGTTGTCACAAGCCTAAATTAGGGTGTGACAACTTAATGTGGTAATATGCAAGTGGAGCAATTAGAAATCATGTAAGCAGTTGTACAAACCAGATCTGTTACTGTTTCCCTCAACTCTCTAACTTTCTCCTCCAGGTCAAGGTTCCTCTCAGTTAGGGTTTCTACCATCTCCTCTGACCCCAGGGCAGCATCCACCTTTTTCAAGAAAAACACACACACACACACACACACACACACACACACACACACACACACACACACACACAACACACGGGTGTTATTGTGGTTGCCGTGCTGGTGCAAAGGTGAAGGCAAAGCTGAATGCTAAGAGTTGGTGATATAAACCCTTTATTCCATCAATCATCATGGAAAATGTCAACTCTCTGCCCAACAAAAGCGATGAGCTTGAGATATTGGTGAAGACTGAGAAAGCATACCATGAGTGCAGTCTCCTTTGTTTTACTGAAACCTGGTTGAATCAAAACAACTCGGACTCCAGTGTGGATCTACCTGGCTTCACTCTCACATGGTCAGACAGAGATGCTCAAGCTAGTGGCAAGAAGAAAGGAGGAGGTCTGGCTTTATTTGTTAACCAGAGATGGTGTAACCCTTCACAGATAACTGTCAAGGAGAAGTTGTGTTGTCCAGATATTGAACTGTTGGCAGTTGCTCTTCAGCCATATTATGTTCCAAGAGAATTTAGTCATATCATAACAATAGTTGTTTACATTCCACCCAAATCAACTAAAGAAATCCCATGCGATGTTTTGCATACTAGTGTTGCCAGGCTACAGACTCAACACCCCGAGGCACTAATAATAATATCAGGAGACTTCAACCATGTCAGCCTCTCCTCTCACCTGACTGGATTCACACAGTTTGTGAACTGTCCTACCAGAGATAACAAAACCCTGGATCTTCTGTATGCCAATGTCAAAGAAGCTTACAGAGCCACTGCCTAACCACCACTGGGCAAGTCAGATCATAACTTGGTCCATCTCCAAACCTGTTACAGACCTTGTGTACTGAGGCAGCCTGTGACCAAAGTCAAAATCAGAAGATGGACACCTCAAGCCAGTGAAGCTCTAAGGGACTGTTTTAAATCAACAGACTGGAATGTGCTGCTGGAAACAGATGTGAATAGTATGAACATTGACAATCAGGTTGACTGCTTTACTGAATATGTCAACTTCTGTAGAGACACAGTTATACCAACAAAGACTGTTCACTGTTTCCCCAACAGCAAACTCTGGATCACAAGAGACATGAAAGCAATCCTTAACCAGAAAAAGAAAGCTTTTAAAGATGGTGACAAAGAACGACAACATACTGTAATGTAAGAACAGAAACCAACCCAAACATGAAAACTTCCAAAGTAGTCATCAATGTGGAAATTAAATTGTCAATCGATTAATAGCCATATTTACATATGAAAAATTTCTTGATCCAATTAAAAATTTGAGGGATCAGAAAATCTGAATCCACTGTTTATATGGGCACTAGGCATGTGCCAATATGAAAAACTTGATATCACAATATTGGTGGCCCAAAATATCCCGATTCATGATATTATCACGATATTAGCGCATTGCCTTTATTGTTATTAAAGATGGCAAAAAACTGCGAGAGCACTTCTCTGTGCACAGCATGACACGCACAAACAATATGAGCAAGAGGCAGAGAACAGGACGTTGGGAGCATTAGCTTTTTGGAGCTAAAGTTAGCAGAAACATCACTAACGGAATAATAAGCAGTAGAGTAGACCAAACTTGTTGCGGTCATGTTGTTTTTACCTTGATTTGAGTGAACGGTACTGGATGGTGTTCGTGGAGGTGGGTACGTAGGTTTGAAGTGTTAGACAACGGTGTTGCAACTTCCTTATGGCATAACCTGCAGATTGGTGTCAGGTTTACCTGCTCCGTCTGTTTTGTGAAGCCATAAAACCTCCATACTGCCGAAGGAAACCTTTTTAATAGGAGGATACAGCCGAGGCGTTTTGTCGTTCTCAGTCTCCGACTGTTCTTGGTCTGGTGTTATGCCGTTGAATGCACCCCTGCCATTGAATGCTCAGTGTGTCAGATGTTAAGTTACTCCTCGTCCTCCTTAGACAATAACGATACCTGCTTTAAGTGTAGTATATTCTTAGCTCTGGAGGCGAGGATTACAGAGTTAGAAAAGCGGCTCCGCACCGATGCTAGAGTAGCGGTAGCCAGCCAGGACATGGTAGCCAGTGCGGGTCAGCCAAGCTTAGCTTCCCCCCGGCAGATCCCGAGCAGCCGGGATGTAGTAGTGGTTGGGTCACTATGAAAGGGAAGCATAGCAGCAGGCCTAAGACGCCCACGTTAGACCACCATATTCACATTTCAAACAAATTTGCCCCACTCAGCAACACACCTGCTGAGCCTGACGCTCTTGTGATTGGAGACTCTGTAGTCCGAAATGTGAAATTAGCGAAGTTAGCGGCCACAGTTCAGTGTCTTCCGGGGGCCAGAGCGGGTGACATCAAAGGTAGTTTAAAACTGCTGGCAAAGGCTAAACGTAAATTCCGTAAGATTGTAATACATGTCGGCGTTAATGACTCCCAACGCTGCCAGTCGGAAGTCACTAAATTGAACGTGGAATCGGTGTGTGAATATGCCAAAACCATGTCGGACTCCATAGTTTTCTCTGGTCCCCTGCTCGATCAGACAACTGATAAGATGTGTATCTGTATCTCATCATTCAACTGCTGGCTGTCGAGGTGGTGTCCGCAAAACGGCGTGGGCTTCATTGATAATTGGAAGTCGTTTTGGGGCAAGCCTGGTCTGATTAGTCGGGACGGCATTCATCCCACTCGAGATGGAGCGGCCTGTTCATCCAGAAATCTGGCCGATTTTATTAGCTCGAACCACTGACAATTCAAAGCAGAGATCAGGGAGCAGGGCCGCAGTCCTATACACCCCCCTGCGCCTCCTTTAGAGCAGCTTCCCAGCCACTACCACTTATATACAGAGACAAGGGAGCAGAGCCGCAGTGTAAAATTCCCCCGTGTACTCCCTTCAAAGCAGCCTCCTAGCTACAATCAGTTTGATATAGAGATCAGGGAGCAGAGCCGCAGTGTAAAACACCCCTCTGTACTCCCTTCAGAGCAGCCTCCTATTTCCGATCAGTTTGATATAGAGATCAGGGAGCAGAGCCGCAGTGTAAAACGCCCCTCTGTACTCCCTTCAGAGCAGCTTCTTAGCTACAATCAGTTTGATATGGAGATCAGGGAGCATAGCCGCAGTTCTACATGTTCCTCTGCACTTTTGTTAGAGCAGCCTCTTAGCTACTGTCACTTTAATAAAGAGACTGTGTCCCTCGTCCTCGGCTCTTTAATTCCAACCGATCGATTAACAAAGGTGTAAAGTAAGGAGTAAATAACAAGAACCTTACTAGAATTAAAACTGCTAACATAGCTGAACCGAGTAGTAGTAAAATAAAATGTGGTCTACTGAACATAAGGTCTTTAAGTTCCAAATCTGTGATAATAAATGAACTAATCTCTGATTATCGCATTGATTTACTCTCCCTAACTGAAACTTGGCTGCATCAGGATGAATATGTCAGCTTGAATGAATTCACTCCTCCTAGCCACCTAAGCTTTCACATTCCTCAGGACTCTGGCCGAGGTGGTGGAGTTGCAGCTATTTACAATTCCAGTCTTGGAATTAACCCAAGACCAAAACTGGATTATAACTCTTTTGAAAGTCTTGTTCTCAGTCTTCTGCATCCAGCCTCAAAGACCATGAGACCACTGGTATTTGCTATAGTTTATCGCCCTCCGAGCCCATACTCTATGAGTTTTTGTCAGAATTCTCAGAGTTTCTATCTGATCTAGTCCTTCGTGCAGACAAAGTCATTGTCATTGTTGACTTTAATATTCATGTGGATTAGGGCTGCACGATATGAGATTTTGGTCATATCCCGATATAGCTCATTTTATATCCCGATACGATATACATCATGATATAGTACATTTTTTGTAAATTCAGTTGATGCATAGTTTATATGAAATTGCCACGTGGAAATGTAGTTTAAATGATATATTCAACAAGTTACGTTATTAACAAGACTTCTTTTATTTAGAACCCTCTGAAAAAAAACACTCAATAATTCAACATTTGTGTAAACAACAATTAGTTACACAAGCTTTAATAATGAAATGAACATTCATACATTCCATAGGCTAGCTCATTCACATGACATCAGCATGTAATGTAGAACGGATTTTGAATAACTAAATATTTGAGTGAGGGAGGAGAGAGGGCATGGAGTGGGTTTAACACAGCCGAGAACTGTATTGACCAATAACATCAGCTCCTCTCCTCGCCTTTAAATCCGCCACCGGCGAGGCGTATTATTTTCGTGCAGTAGTCAAAGAGATCAAGAGATGTCTGAAGACAGCAATGCAACACAATGGCTAGAGAAGGCAGCCCCTCAACAAGTGTCGCTGTAAGCGCTGCAGAGTCCTCCACACTGTCTCATATAAGCACAGATGGATTTGGTGTGTGTGTAAGGTTGTACCCACTGATAAGACAAACACCATTTTCCACAAATAAAGACACTCACATAAAGTTGCATATATTCAAACCTCACGTGACAGAGGTGGGTTGTGCACTCAGATCACAACATAAATTCCAATAATGGAATTAAAATCGGAACCATCTGTGCGTAATGAAGCATCACGCTCCGTGGCCTGGCTCTCTCTTTCATAGATGTTGGCATGTAAAATAAATCTGGCTCACAAAACTGAATATTATAATATTCATATGTAGGCTTAAAGTAAAAATCTCATCTGATCATTGAAACAAATCATCTGTTCAGCCGCCGCCACAGCAGCAGCAGCTGTAGCAGGACGGAGAGAGGACACGGAGACATGTCAGGTGTTGTGCCATAGAATGTACCCCTGCCGTAGAGTGCACCCCTGACGGGAGCACAGTTGAAAGTACATAACAAGGCGGAATAATCCAAGTTTTCCTTACCGTCGGACTGATTCTAAAGCGTGTGCCTTTAATGATTTAATTCAGGCTATTCAGATAAGCCGAAAACAATAGCCCTCTGATTCGGAATATTTGCTGCCCCGAAAATATAATGTTCTCTACCTTAAACGCTTACTGTACAGTTTAAATACCCAAGTACACCCCTGAATGTGCATTTTTTAAATACCTAAAAACAGAACGAAAGTTTGTTGCTCCATTTGACATGTTGTCATGATCCAATACTCATGTTTTTTTTAAATATGAGATAATTTTTTTCCACTTTAAGAAGCTAATGAGTGGATGGGATGCAGGGGATGCATTCTACGGCAGGGGTGCATTCCACGGCATAACACCTATCAAGCTACGCAAGGAAGAAGGAGGATAAGCGGGTGGACGAATTAAGTATCTTGTTAACTTTATCATGTGTAACTGTTTACTGGATATTTAATTTAATGCGGCTTCAGCTGTGTTAATTCGGTCAGGTAGAGTGTCCAAACCCGTGCCAAACTCGCTCATCAGATCAGATTTAGATCAGAATATATCGATATAGATCTTCATGTATGTGCTGACTCAGAGTAAAAATATAGCGGTCTGCTCCGTGTCACTCCTTACACGCGAGAGGCTGGCTCCATGGTATAATGCTGAAACTCGTGAGCTGAAACAGTTATTAAGAAGACGAGAAAGGATTTGGCGCTCTTCCAAAACAGCTGAAGCTCGTTTTCTCTGGCAGGAATGTCTTGATAAATATAAGAAGGCCTTCCGACGTGCTCGGACAACTTACTACTTGTCTCTTATTGAAGAAAATAAGAATAACCCCAGATATCTCTTCGGCACTGTAGCCAGACTGACGGACTGTCAGAGCACTGCTGAACCATGTATCCCATTAGCCCTCAGCAGCGACAACTTCTTAAGCTTCTTCAATGAAAAAATCTTAAAAATAAGAGGTAAAATTAATAACCTCTTGCCTTCTTCAGGTGTCTCTCTCTTAGATAACCCTGAAATTGTTGAGGAGCCCCTAAGGCCTCTGGTGCACCTTAGTAACTTTGCACCTATTGACCTTCCCGAGTTAAAGTCAGTGGTGCTGGCAGCCAAACCATCTATGTGTCTTTTGGACCCAATTCCATCTAAACTGCTGAAGGAAACTCTTCCTTTGATCAGTACATCCTTGCTTAACTTGATCAACACGTCTTTATTAACAGGATATGTTCCCCAGTCTGTTAAGACTGCATTGATTAAGCCTCTCCTTAAAAAACCTACTCTTGACCCCAGCACCCTAGCTAACTATAGACCAATATCCAACCTTCCTTATATTGCTTAAGTCCAGGAGAAAGTTGTTGCAAATCAACTTTGTGATTTTCTTCATAACAACGGTTTATTGGAGGATGTCCAGTCTGGATTTAGAACCCATCACAGCACGGATCTTATCTAACGGATCGATCCCAGTTTGTCCATATTAATAATGAATCCTCTGCGCACACCAAGGTCTGCTACAGAGTCCCGCAAGGGTCAGTGCTTGGACCGATCCTCTTTATCTTGTACATGCTTCCTCTGGGTAAAATTATGAGGAAGTACTTGATTAATTTCCACTGCTATGCAGATGACACCCAGTTATACTTATCCATGAAGCCAGAAGAAGCAAACCAGGTTACCAAATTAGAAGCTTGTCTCAAAGATATGAAATCCTGGATGACCAATAACTTTCTAATGCTCAACTCAGATAAAACTGGAGTTCTTGTCCTCGGTCATAAACACCTTAGAGAGGCATTCTCTAATAATATAGCTACACTAGATGGCATCAGTCTGGCATCCAGCCCCACTGTGCAAAATCTGGGAGTTTTATTTGATCAGGATTAGTCCTTTAGCTCCCACATTCAACAAATCTCTAGGATAGCTTTTTCCACATGCGCAATATCTCAAAAATTAGACCCATCCTGTCTCAGAGTGATGCGGAAAAACTAGTCCATGCCTTTGTTACCTCTAGGCTGGATTACTGTAATTCTCTCTTATCAGGCTGCTCCAGTAAGTCTTTAAGGACTCTTCAGCTGGTCCAAAATGCAGCACCTCAGGTATTGACTAGAACCAGAAGAAGGGAGCACATCTCTCCTGTCTTAGCCTCTCTTCATTGGTTCCCTATTAAATCTAGAATTGAGTTTAAAATCCTCCTTGTGACATATAAAGCGCTTAACAGCCAGGCTCCATCATATCTCGACAAGCTTGTTATACTGTACTTTCCGTCTAGACTGTTACGCTCACAGTCTGCAGGCCTGCTCGTTATACCAAAGGTCTCTAAAAGTAGTATTGGAGGAAGAGCTTTCAGCTACCAGGCACCTCTCCTCTGGAATCATTTACCGCTCGAGGTTTGGGGAGCAGACACCCTCTCAACTTTCAAGAGTAGACTTAAAACATTCCTCTTTGATAAAGCATAAAGTTGGGGCTGATTTGAACCAGCTCTTAGTTATGCTGCTATAGGTCTAGACTGCCGGGTTATCTGGCACACTGAGCTAGAGTCTGTCTCTATCTCTCCTTTAGATCTTTATGTCCCATATAAGTCACTAACCAGATTTCTGTCTCTCTGAGTGTCTCTGAGTCTCTTAGCTTCCACTGGACTAATGCTGCAGACGGTCTGCTGCAGAACTGCCTGACCCCAGCTGCATCATCCCTGATTGTCCACCTTAGGCCCTGAGCTCCTCCATCTCTTAGGCTCCTCTGGGCCGTTGCTGCAGACACGTACGTCAGCCTAACTGACATCTATAAAATAAAACCTGAGTTTTAACTTTAATCACCTTAAATTAATTTAGCAAAGTCCATAATTAGTTACTTCATTATCCTGTACATTAAAGTCATTTTCTCCCATAAAATTGCTAACCAGATCTCTCTTTATGTCTCTGAGACCCAGCCCCCTAGGTTGCTCTGGACTGATGGCTGCTGCAGACCTGCCTGACTCTAGCCGCATTGTCTATGATTGTCTGCCTCAGGCCCTGAGCTCCTTCTTCTCTTGGATTCCTCTGGACTGTTACTGCAGACATGAACATCAGCCTCACTGACATTAATAACATAAAACTAGAGTTGACTACTGTCTATGATTGTCCACCTCAGGCCCTGAGCTCCTTCTTCTCTTGGATTCCTCTGGACTGTTACTGCAGACATGAACATCAGCCTCACTGACATTAATAACATAAAACTAGAGCTGACTATGGTTAGGCCTGCTGACTGTAATCACATCTAATTAATTTAACATGGTCCATAATCACTCATATCCTAACCCTGTAAACTGAACTTATTTTGTTTCGCCATTACATGAGCTGTTGTTAGGGCCCGAGCGTAGCTGCTAAGCAGCTGCGAGAGCCCTCTTGTTCCTGATGGATTCTTCTTAGGGCCCGAGCGTAGCTGCTAAGCAGCTGCGAGAGCCCTCTTGTTCCTGCATGGGTTCTTCTTTCGTTATTATTAGGGCCCGAGCGTAGCTGCTAAGCAGCTGCAAGAGCCCTCTTGTTCCTGATGGATTCTTCTTTCTTCATCTTTAGGGCCCGAGCGTAGCTGCTAAGCAGCTGCGAGAGCCCTCTTGTTCCTGAATGTTTCCTTCTTTTTAGGGCCCGAGCCAGCTGCAGAGCAGCCGGGCGTAGGCCCTGTTGTTCCTCTAGTGGTTTTTCTTTGTTTCTTTAGGGCCCGAGCGTAGCTGCTAAGCAGCTGCGAGAGCCCTCTTGTTCCTGATGGATTCTTCTTTTGTTATTATTATTATTATTAGGGCCCGAGCCAGCTGCAGAGCAGCCGGGCGTAGAGCCCTATTATTCCTGTAGTGGTTTTTCTTTCTTCTTTCTTTCTTTCTTTCTTCTTATTTTTCCTCCCCTTTGAAGGGGAAAATGGCCCACTTCCCACTGGCGAAAACTCATGAAATTTGGCAGGACGACCGGGCCTGGTGAAAAATTCGATATTCTGAAGTCGCCCAAACAATAAAATGCAAAATGGCTCCATAGCGCCCCCTAAGGTGAAAATTCACACTATTGACTGTCACGCCTGTACGCTTTGTCATATTGACACAAAAATTGACACACACGTGTATCGCTATACGGTCTACGAAAAAGTCAGTGCGGGCACATCTGTGAAATGTACGGTTAGAGGGTTATTTCGCATTTTTTGCAGATCTGCACACATTGGAATTTCGCTAACTCCTCCGAAGGCATTCGTTCCACCGGCAACACATTTGCTCAGGCCAATCTACACCCCATGGCCATTAAAAGTTGTACAAATCATAACGCTGCACCCCACGGTTTACGTTCTAGGGGGCGCCAAAGATAACCCAAAAATCCACAGTCTTAAAAGTCTTATAACTTTGTATTTTTGTCCTCAATGGCCTCCAAGTTTTCTAGGATGATGCAATGTCCAGCCAACAACACATTTGTGAAGGAATTTTTACTCCCCAAAAGAGCGCCCCCCCATGGCAGGAGAAAAAAGTCCATTTTTTCTTGTCACCTAAGGTGAAAATACACATTGTTGAGTATCACGCCTATACGCTTTGTCATATTGACCCAAAATTTGACAATCACGTGTATCTCAATAAGATCTACGAAAAAGTCAATGGACACGTATCTGTAAAATGTACGGTTAAAGGTTTATTTCGCATTTTTGCCGATCGGCACACATTGGAATTTCGCTAACTCCTCCGAAGGCATTCGTTCCACCGGCAACACATTTGCTCAGGCCAATCTACACCCCATGGCCATTAAAAGTTGTACAAATCATAACGCTGCACCCCACGGTTTACGTTCTAGGGGGCGCCAAAGATAACCCAAAAATCCACAGTCTTAAAAGTCTTATAACTTTGTATTTTTGTCCTCAATGGCCTCCAAGTTTTCTAGGATGATGCAATGTCCAGCCATCAACACATTTGTAAAGGAATTTTTACTCTCGAAAAGAGCGCCCCCCCATGGCAGGAGAAAAAAGTCAATTTTTTCTTGTCTCCTAAGGTGAAAAAACACATTGTTGACTGTCACGCCTATACGCTTTGTCAAAATGACACAAAATTTGACACACACGTGTATCTCAATAAGATCTACGAAAAAGTCAATGTGCACGTATCTGTAAAATGTACGGTCAAAGGGCTATTTCGCATTTTTTCCCGATCCGCACACATTGGAATTTCGCTAACTCCTCCTAAGGCTTTCATCCACTGACACCAAATTTGCTCAAGCCGATCTACATCCCATGGCCATTCAAAGTTGTAAAAATCATGACGCTGCACCCCACGGTTTACGTTCTAGGGGGCGCCAAAGATGACCCAAATATCCACATTCTTAAAAGAATCCACATCCCCCCCCTCCCCCCAAGGCAGGAGGAAAAGTCAAGTTTTTCCTGCCCATTGCTCAATGGCTCAATCGCATCGCTCTCCCGGATACACCGTAAGGAGGAGCAACTTGCCATTTGGATATGTCCTAGCTGTGTTTGTGCCCTCACTCATGGTCCAGACTTTTTTCAAATAGGACATGTAGTTTGTCTGCAGCGAGTGTTTTGGTAGAAACTGCGCCTCCCATTCATTATAATGGGAAATGACCACAGACAAGTGCGCACACCATCTTTGGACCTTGAGTGTGACGCGATCGGGAGGGGGAGGCGGTCGCGCTGGGGGCGGCGCGACGCGGCTCGGGCCCGACAGTGCCCCACCGGGGCCCTAGTTATTATTATTATTATTTTTCCTCCGCTTTAAACTGGAAAATGGCCCACTTCCCACTGGCGAAAACTCATGAAATTTGGCAGGACGACCGGGCCTGGTGAAAAATTCGATATTCTGAAGTCGCCCAAACAATAAAATGCAAAATGGCTCCATAGCGCCCCCTAAGGTGAAAATTCACACTATTGACTGTCACGCCTGTACGCTTTGTCATATTGACACAAAAATTGACACACACGTGTATCGCTATACGGTCTACGAAAAAGTCAGTGCGGGCGCATCTGTGAAATGTACGGTTAGAGGGTTATTTCGCATTTTTTGCAGATCTGCACACATTGGAATTTCGCTAACTCCTCCGAAGGCATTCGTTCCACCGGCAACACATTTGCTCAGGCCAATCTACACCCCATGGCCATTAAAAGTTGTACAAATCATAATGCTGCACCCCACGGTTTACGTTCTAGGGGGCGCCAAAGATAACCCAAAAATCCACAGTCTTAAAAGTCTTATAACTTTGTATTTTTGTCCTCAATGGCCTCCAAGTTTTCTAGGATGATGCAATGTCCAGCCAACAACACATTTGTGAAGGAATTTTTACTCCCCAAAAGAGCGCCCCCCCATGGCAGGAGAAAAAAGTCCATTTTTTCTTGTCACCTAAGGTGAAAATACACATTGTTGAGTATCACGCCTATACGCTTTGTCATATTGACCCAAAATTTGACAATCACGTGTATCTCAATAAGATCTACGAAAAAGTCAATGGACACGTATCTGTAAAATGTACGGTTAAAGGTTTATTTCGCATTTTTGCCGATCGGCACACATTGGAATTTCGCTAACTCCTCCGAAGGCATTCGTTCCACCGGCAACACATTTGCTCAGGCCAATCTACACCCCATGGCCATTAAAAGTTGTACAAATCATAACGCTGCACCCCACGGTTTACGTTCTAGGGGGCGCCAAAGATAACCCAAAAATCCACAGTCTTAAAAGTCTTATAACTTTGTATTTTTGTCCTCAATGGCCTCCAAGTTTTCTAGGATGATGCAATGTCCAGCCAACAACACATTTGTGAAGGAATTTTTACTCCCCAAAAGAGCGCCCCCCCATGGCAGGAGAAAAAAGTCCATTTTTTCTTGTCACCTAAGGTGAAAATACACATTGTTGAGTATCACGCCTATACGCTTTGTCATATTGACCCAAAATTTGACAATCACGTGTATCTCAATAAGATCTACGAAAAAGTCAATGGACACGTATCTGTAAAATGTACGGTTAAAGGGTTATTTCGCATTTTTTCCCGATCCGCACACATTGGAATTTCGCTAACTCCTCCGAAGGCTTTCGTTCTACCGCCAACAAATTTGCTCAGGCCAATCTACACCCCATGGCCATTCAAAGTTGTACAAATCATGACGCTGCACTCCACGGTTTAGGTTCTAGGGGGCGCCAAACATAACCCAAAAATCCACATTCTTAATAGTCTTATAACTTTTTATTTTTGTCCTCACTGGCCTCCAAGTTTTCTAGGATGATGCAATGTCCAGCCATCAACACATTTGTAAAGGAATTTTTACTCTCGAAAAGAGCGCCCCCCCATGGCAGGAGAAAAAAGTCAATTTTTTCTTGTCTCCTAAGGTGAAAAAACACATTGTTGACTGTCACGCCTATACGCTTTGTCAAAATGACACAAAATTTGACACACACATGTATCTCAATAAGATCTACGAAAAAGTCAATGTGCACGTATCTGTAAAATGTACGGTCAAAGGGCTATTTCGCATTTTTTCCCGATCCGCACACATTGGAATTTCGCTAACTCCTCCTAAGGCTTTCATCCACCGACACCAAATTTGCTCAAGCCGATCTACATCCCATGGCCATTCAAAGTTGTAAAAATCATGACGCTGCACCCCACGGTTTACGTTCTAGGGGGCGCCAAAGATGACCCAAATATCCACATTCTTAAAAGAATCCACATCCCCCCCCTCCCCCCAAGGCAGGAGGAAAAGTCAAGTTTTTCCTGCCCATTGCTCAATGGCTCAATCGCATCGCTCTCCCGGATACACCGTAAGGAGGAGCAACTTGCCATTTGGATATGTCCTAGCTGTGTTTGTGCCCTCACTCATGGTCCAGACTTTTTTCAAATAGGACATGTAGTTTGTCTGCAGCGAGTGTTTTGGTAGAAACTGCGCCTCCCATTCATTATAATGGGAAATGACCACAGACAAGTGCGCACACCATCTTTGGACCTTGAGTGTGACGCGATCGGGAGGGGGAGGCGGTCGCGCTGGGGGCGGCGCGACACGGCTCGGGCCCGACAGTGCCCCACCGGGGCCCTAGTTAGGGCCCGAGCCAGCTGCAGAGCAGCCGGGCGTAGAGCCCTATTATTCCTGTAAAGGTTTTTCTTTCTTCTTTCTTTCTTTCTTTCTTTCTTTCTTTCTTTAGGGCCCGAGCGTAGCTGCTAAGCAGCTGCGAGAGCCCTCTTGTTCCTGATGGATTCTTCTTTTGTTATTATTATTATTATTATTATTTTTCCTCCGCTTTAAACTGGAAAATGGCCCACTTCCCACTGGCGAAAACTCATGAAATTTGGCAGGACGACCGGGCCTGGTGAAAAATTCGATATTCTGAAGTCGCCCAAACAATAAAATGCAAAATGGCTCCATAGCGCCCCCTAAGGTGAAAATTCACACTATTGACTGTCACGCCTTTACGCTTTGTCATATTGACACAAAAATTGACACACACATGTATATCAATAAGATCTACAAAAAAGTCAGTGCGGGCGTATCTGTCAAATGTACGGATAAAGGGTTATTTCGCATTTTTTGCCGATCCGCACACATTGGAATTTCGCTAACTCCTCCGAAGGCTTTCGTTCCACCGGCACCACATTTGCTCAGGCCAATCTACACCCCATGGCCAATAAAAGTTGTACAAATCATGACGCTGCACCCCACGGTTTACGTTCTAGGCGGCGCCAAAGATAACCCAAAAATCCACAGTCTTAAAAGTCTTATAACTTTTTATTTTTGTCCTCACTGGCCTCCAAGTTCTCTAGGATGATGCAATGTCCAGCCATCAACACATTTGTGAAGGAATTTTTACTCCCCAAAAGAGCGCCCCCCCATGGCAGGAGAAAAAAGTCCATTTTTTCTTGTCTCCTAAGGCGAAAATTCACACTATTGACTGTCACGCCTTTACGCTTTGTCATATTGACACAAAAATTGACATACACATGTATCTCAATAAGATCTACAAAAAAGTCAGTGCGGGCGTATCTGTCAAATGTACGGTTAAAGGGTTATTTTGCATTTTTTGCCGATCCGCACACATTGGAATTTCGCTAACTCCTCCGAAGGCTTTCGTTCCACCAGCACCACATTTGCTCAGGCCAATCTACACCCCATGGCCATTAAAAGTTGTACAAATCATGATGCTGCACCCCACGGTTTACGTTCTAGGGGGCGCCAAAGATAACCCAAATATCCACAGTCTTAAAAGTCTTATAACTTTTTATTTTTGTCCTCACTGGCCTCCAAGTTCTCTAGGATGATGCAATGTCCAGCCATCAACACATTTGTGAAGGAATTTTTATTCGCCAAAAGAGCGCCCCCCCCATGGCAGGAGAAAAAAGTCCATTTTTTCTTGTCTCCTAAGGCGAAAATACACATTGTTGACTGTCACGCCTTTACGCTTTGTCAAAATGACACAAAATTTGACACACACATGTATCTCAATAAGATCTACAAAAAAGTCAGTGCGGGCGTATCTGTCAAATGTACGGTTAAAGGGCTATTTCGCATTTTTTGCCGATTCGCACACATTGGAATGTGGCTAACTCCTCCTAAAGCTTTTGTCCCATCGGCTTCAAATTTGCTCAGGTCAATCTACACCCCATGGCCATTCAAAGTTGTACAAATCATGACGCTGCACCCCACGGTTTACGTTCTAGGGGGTGCCAAAGAGGACCCAAATATCCACATTTTTAAAAGTCTTATAACTTTTTATTTTTGTCCTCACTGGCCTCCAAGTTTTCTAGGATGATGCAATGTCCAGCCATCAACACATTTGTGAAGGAATTTTTACTCCCCAAAAGAGCGCCCCCCCATGGCAGGAGAAAAAAGTCCATTTTTTCTTGTCCCCTAAGGTGAAAATACACATTGTTGAGTGTCACGCCTATACGCTTTGTCAAAATGACACAAAAATTGACACACACATGTATCTCAATAAGATCTACGAAAAAGTCAATGCGCGCGTATCTGTCAAATGTACGGTTAAAGGGTTATTCCGCATTTTTTGCCGATCCGCACACATTGGAATGTGGCTAACTCCTCCTAAGGCTTTCGTTCCACCGGCACCACATTTGCTCAGGCCAATCTACACCCCATGGCCATTAAAAGTTATCAAAATCATGACGCTGCACCCCACGGTTTAGGTTCTAGGGGGCGCCAAAGATAACCCTAAAATCCACATATTTAAAAGTCTTATAACTTTTTATTTTTGTCCTCACTGGCCTCCAAGTTTTCTACGATGATGCAATGTCCAGCCATCAACACATTTGTGAAGGAATTTTTACTCCCCAAAAGAGCGCCCCCCCATGGCAGGAGAAAAAAGTCCATTTTTTCTTGTCCCTTAAGGTGAAAATACATATTGTTGAGATTCACGCCTATACACTTTGTCATATTGACACAAAATTTGACAATCACGTGCCTTGCCTGGTATCATTTTTTTCAGCACAACCTCACCTGTGCGAATTTACAGTTATTTTATCATGTTGACATACTGAATTTACACAATGGACCCAAATTCACACACAAAACATAAAATCCGAGTGGAAAAAAGTAACATTTTTACTGTGAAAACCACAAATATGTGTGATGAACTGTTTTTAAAACTTAAACTTCAAATAAAAATTGTAAACTTCAAAACATATGCAAATTTTTAACAAAGAACATAGTGATTTACCTCTATTTACATCAAAATGCAGGCAATGGCCCAGGCGTTCTTTGTAAAATTATTTACAAAACACTGTATAGTCTCACAAATGTCACTTTTTATTTATGCCACTACAAAAAAACATGATGTAAATGATGCATGATGTAAAACATGATGTAAAAAACTTGTGTAGATCCTCCTCTATGTCAGTCCATGTGTAATTTTTCCATAATTCTTTGTTTTTTGCAGCATTTTTGTTAGTGTAACTGCAGATTGTGCTGACAGTGTCTATGGCACAAAAAAAAAAAAAATTAAAATGCCTCAACATGAACCCCTGGTGGTCTCTGAGGGTGAAACCTGCTAACTGCTGCAGCTCTGTCAGCTTCAGTCTCCCATGCAGAGCTCTGAGCGCATGTGTGGCTCTGCACCCTTAGCAGCGTTGCTAACTCCTCAGTAAGGAAAGCCTGCTTCATGTCAGAGTCTCTAAACTCCAGAAGAAGTAGATAAAAGTCCCTTTCTTTCTAAAAAAAAGTCGTTAGGGGGTCTGAAAAGTCATTGAATCTAACAACAAAGTCGCTAGGTTTGCAACTACGTGTCCCAGACTGCATCCCTGCTGAGAGTCCCTCCCTCCCTTCTCATGTTGCAGGAAGAACGTAAGCACCCGCCCCTTGTCAATCAGTCACCATATAATTTTGGATTGGTTGTTGTGGTGAAGTTTTCCACCAATAGGAGAGATGTTGTGGTGTGTTTTTTTTTCTTTTGGCAAGCCTTTTCCGCCTGTAAGACCTGTCGCTAATGTCTGCATGCTATGTTTTCCTTTCTCATACAGCGCGATCGAGCGCCGAACGTGATCAAAATAAGCAGAAAACAAGTATCGCGGGCATAATTTATCATAACTCTGGTTTTATTTGGCCTATCAACACAATTTAAAAACTGGTATATAGGTTGAGGTCCTCACTTTTGAGATAAGTTGAAACGGAGAGTCAACGAGGCTCCGTCTTGCAGCTACATCCGGTTAAATATGTCATGTGACTTGAACGCACACACACACACACACACACACACACACACACACACACACACACACACAGACACACACACACACACGCACACACACACACTCAGAGTCTGGTTTTTAGCACCTGCAAAAACATGCTATTTACATATTTGACAAGAATGCAGAGGCTCCTTTTGCCCCTGAAAAAAATCAAATTTCAAACACAACTTGACTGGTCATTTCTCCAAAAGACAACCATGAAGCTCCATCCAAACCTGAAGCAGGCAGTCGGTGCATGTGTACAGTAACCTGAGGGGAGTGAGGTGACTGCTTCTGAGGAGAACATGAGCAGTGAAGATTCACCTTAGAGCTAGAACAGAGACGTGCACATGATTATACAGGGGCAGGGGCTCAAGTTTTTTCCAGTCGTTTATACAATATGGAAATTAATGTGAAATTAAAACACAAAGTATTAATAGAAAGGTAATGACTGTCCTGTGTAGGTGACAGTGATATCCAATAGGCTAGGCACTCACGAGGCTGGCTGTGGCAAGTGTAAGTGAAAGCAACACGCACTGGCAGGAAGAACAGCAAACGCCGATGAAGGAAAAGGGTTTTTGCAGTGATGGGCGTTACCAGAGAGGGCGATGGCCAAAGGCCAAGAATGGGACGGGGAGGCAGCGCGTTGGGGGGGGGGGGGGGGGGGGGGCGACGGCTCGGGCCCGCCAGTGCCCCAACGGGGCCCTAGTTAGGGCCCGAGCGTAGCTGCTAAGCAGCTGCGAGAGCCCTCTTGTTCCTGCATGTTTCCTTCTTTCGTTATTATTTTTCCTCCGCTTTAAACTGGAAAATGGCCCACTTCCCACTGGCGAAAACTCAGGAAATTTGGCAGGACGACCGGGCCTGGTGAAAAATTCGATATTCTGAAGTCGCTTAAACAATAAAATGCAAAATGGCTCCATAGCGCCCCCTAAGGTGAAAATTCACATGACGGCTGTACACTTTGTCAAAATGACACAAAATTTGACACACACGTGTATCTCAATAAGATCTACAAAAAAGTCAGTGCGGGCGTATCTGTCAAATGTACGTTTAAAGGGCTATTTCGCATTTTTTGCCGATCCGCACACATTGGAATTTCGCTAACTCCTCCGAAGGCTTTCGTTCCACCGGCACCAAATTTGCTCAGGCCAATCTACACCCCATGGCCATTCAAAGTTGTACAAATCATGACGCTGCACCCCACGGTTTACGTTGTAGGGGGCGCCAAAGATAACCCAAAAATCCACATTCTTACAAGTCTTATAACTTTTTATTTTTGTCCTCACTGGCCTCCAAGTTTTCTAGGATGATGCAATGTCCAGCCATCAACACATTTGTGAAGGAATTTTTACTCCCCAAAAGAGCGCCCCCCCATGGCAGGAGAAAAAAGGCCATTTTTTCTTGTCCTATAAGGTGAAAATACACATTGTTGAGTGTCACGCCTGTACGCTTTGTCATATTGAAACAAAATTTGATAATCACGTGTATCTCAATAAGATCTACGAAAAAGTCAATGCGCACGTGTCTGCAAAATGTACGGTTAAAGGGCTATTTCGCATTTTTGGTTGATTCGCACACATTGGAATGTGGCTATCTCCTCCTAAGGCTTTCGTCCCACCGATACCAAATTTGCTCAGGCCAATCTACACCCCATGCCCATTCAAAGTTGTAAAAATCATGACGCTGCACCCCACGGTTTACGTTCTAGGGGGCGCCAAAGATGACCCAAAAATCCACATTCTTAAAAGTCATTTTGGCCACTGCAGGAGTACAGAGTACTGCAGTTCTAGGGGGCGCCAAAGATGACCCAAAAATCCACATTCTTAAAAGTCTTTTTGGCCACTGCAGGAGTACAGAGTACTGCAGGATACACACACATATACACACACACACACACACACACACACACACACACACACACTCAGAGTCTGTTTTTTAGCACCTGCAAAAACATGCTGTTTACATATTTGACAAGAATGCAGAGGCTTCCTTTTGCCCCTGAAAAAAATCAGATTTCAAACACAACTTGACTGTTCATTTCTCCAAAAGACAACCATGAAGCTCCATCCAAACCTGAAGCAGATAGTTGGTGCATGTGTACAGTAACCTGAGGAGAGTGAGGTGACTATTTCTGAGGAGAACATGAGCAGTGAAGATTCACCTTGGAGCTAGAACAGGAACGTGCACATGATTATACAGGGGCAGGGGCTCAAGTTTTTTCCAGTCATTTATACAATATGGAAATTAATGTGAAATTAAACCACAAATATGTGTGATGAACTGTTTTTAAAACTTAAACTTCAAATAAAAATTGTAAACTTCAAAACATATGCAAATTTTTAACAAAGAACATAGTAATTTACCTCTATTTACATCAAAATGCAGGCAATGGCCCAGGCGTTCTTTGTAAAATTATTTACAAAACACTGTATAGTCTCACAAATGTCACTTTTTATTTATGCCACTACAAAAAAAACATGATGTAAATGATGCATGATGTAAAACATGATGTAAAAAACTTGTGTAGATCCTCCTCTATGTCAGTCCATGTGTAATTTTTCCATAATTCTTTGTTTTTTGCAGCATTTTTGTTAGTGTAACTGCAGATTGTGCTGACTGTCTATGGCAAAAAAAAAAAAACTGAAAATGCCTCAACATGAACCCCTGGTGGTCTCTGAGGGTGAAACCTGCTAACTGCTGCAGCTCTGTCAGCTTCTGTCTCCCATGCAGAGCTCGGAGCGCATGTGTGGCTCTGCACCCTTAGCAGCGTTGCTAACTCCTCAGTAAGGAAAGCCTGCTTCATGTCAGAGTCTCTAAACTCCAGAAGAAGTCGATAAAAGTCCCTTTCTTTCTAAAAAAAAGTCGTTAGGGGGTCTGAAAAGTCATTGAATCTAACAACAAAGTCGCTAGGTTTGCAACTACGTGTCCCAGACTGCATCCCTGCTGAGAGTCCCTCCCTCCCTTCTCATGTTGCAGGAAGAACGTAAGCGCCCGCCCCTTGTCAATCAGTCACCATATAATTTTGGATTGGTTGTTGTGGTGAAGTTTTCCACCAATAGGAGAGATGTTGTGGTGTGTTTTTTTTTTTTTTTGGCAAGCCTTTTCCGCCTGTATGACCTGTCACTAATGTGTGCATGCAATGTTTTCCTGTCTCATACAGCACGATCGAGCGCCGAACGTGATCAAAATAAGCAGAAAAAAAGTATCGCGGACATAATTTATCATAACTCTGGTTTTATTTGGCCTATCAACACAATTTAAAAACTGGTATATAGGTTGAGGTCCTCACTTTTGAGATAAGTTGAAACGGAGAGTTAACGAGGCTCCTTCTTGCAGCTACATCCAGTTAAATATGTCATGTGACTTGAACGCTGGGGAGCGTCAATCGAATCGAATCAAACCTAACTCTCAGATGAATCTTCAAAATTCACCTCAGAAATATGCTTATTATTCTTCTCAGAGTACTGCAGGATACACACACACACACACACACAGACACACACACACACACACACACACACACACACACACACACACACACACACACACACACACACACACACTCAGAGTCTGTTTTTTAGCACCAGCAAAAACATGCTATTTAAATATTTGACAAGAATGCGGAGGCTTCCTTTTGCCCCTGAAAAAAATCAGATTTCAAACACAACTTGACTGGTCATTTCTCCAAAAGACAACCATGAAGCTCCATCCAAACCTGAAGCAGGCAGTTGGTGCATGTGTACAGTAACCTGAGGGGAGTGAGGTGACTGCTTCTGAGGAGAACATGAGCACTGAAGATTCACCTTGGAGCTAGAACAGGGACGTGCACATGATAATACAGGGGCAGGGGCTCAAGTTTTTTCCAGTCGTTTATACAATATGGAAATTAATGTGAAATTAAAAAACAAAGTATGACTGTCCTGTGTAGGTGACAGTGATATCCAATAGGCTAGGCACTCACGAGGCTGGCTGTGGCAAGTGTAAGTGAAAGCAACACGCACTGGCAGGAAGAACAGCAAACGCCGATGAAGGAAAAGGGTCTTTGCAGTGATGGGCGTTACCAGAGAGGGCGATGGCCAGAGGACACGAATGGGACGGGGAGGCAGCGCGTTGGGGGGGGGGGGGGTGCGACACGGCTCGGGCCCGCCAGTGCCCCAACGGGGCCCTAGTTCTTCTTATTTTTCCTCCCCTTTGAAGGGGAAAATGGCCCACTTCCCACTGGCGAAAACTCATGAAATTTGGCAGGACGAATGGGCCTGGTGAAAAATTCGATATTCTGAAGTCGCCCAAACAATAAAATGCAAAATGGCTCCATAGCGCCCCCTAAGGTGAAAATTCACACTATTGACTGTCACGCCTTTACGCTTTGTCATATTGACACAAAAATTGACACACACATGTATCTCAATAAGATCTACAAAAAAGTCAGTGCGGGCGTATCTGTCAAATGTACGGTTAAAGGGTTATTTCGCATTTTTTGCCGATCCGCACACATTGGAATTTCGCTAACTCCTCCGAAGGCTTTCGTTCCACCGGCACCACATTTGCTCAGGCCAATCTACACCCCATGGCCATTAAAAGTTGTACAAATCATGACGCTGCACCCCACGGTTTACGTTCTAGGGGGCGCCAAAGATAACCCAAAAATCCACAGTCTTAAAAGTCTTATAACTTTTTATTTTTGTCCTCACTGGCCTCCAAGTTCTCTAGGATGATGCAATGTCCAGCCATCAACACATTTGTGAAGGAATTTTTACTCGCCAAAAGAGCGCCCCCCATGGCAGGAGAAAAAAGTCCATTTTTTCTTGTCTCCTAAGGCGAAAATACACATTGTTGACTGTCACGCCTTTACGCTTTGTCAAAATGACACAAAATTTGACACACACATGTATCTCAATAAGATCTACGAAAAAGTCAATGCGAGCGTATCTGTTCAATGTACGGTTAAAGGGCTATTTCGCATTTTTTGCCGATTCGCACACATTGGAATGTGGCTAACTCCTCCTAAATCTTTTGTCCCATCGGCTTCAAATTTGCTCAGGTCAATCTACACCCCATGGCCATTCAAAGTAGTACAAATCATGACGCTGCACCCCACAGTTTACGTTCTAGGGGGCGCCAAAGAGGACCCAAATATCCACATTTTTAAAAGTCTTATAACTTTTTATTTTTGTCCTCACTGGCCTCCAAGTTTTCTAGGATGATGCAATGTCCAGCCATCAACACATTTGTGAAGGAATTTTTTCTCCCCAAAAGAGCGCCCCCCCATGGCAGGAGAAAAAGTCAAGTTTTTCCTGCCCATCGCTCAATGGCTCAAACGCATCGCTCTCTCGGCAAACCGAAAGGAGGAGCAACTTGCCATTTGGATATATACTAGCTGTGTTTGTGCCCTCACTCATGGTCCAGACTTTTTTCAAAAAGGACATGGAGTTTGTCTGCAGCGAGCGTTTTGGTAGAAACTGCGCCTCCCATTCATTATAATGGTAAATGACCACAGACAAGTGCGCACACCATCTTTGGACCTTGAGTGTGACGCGATCGGGAGGGGTAGGCGGTCGCGCTGGGGGCGGCGCGACACGGCTCGGGCCCGCCAGTGCCCCAACGGGGCCCTAGTTAGGGCCCGAGCGTAGCTGCTAAGCAGCTGCGAGAGCCCTATTATTCCTGATGGATTCTTCTTTCTTCTTTAGGGCCCGAGCGTAGCTGCTAAGCAGCTGCGAGAGCCCTCTTGTTCCTGTAGTTTCCTTCTTTAGGGCCCGAGCCAGCTGCAGAGCAGCCGGGCGTAGGCCCTATTATTCCCCAAGTGGTTTTTCTTTGTTTCTTTCTTTCTTTTTTCTTTTTCCTCCCCTTTGAACTGGAAAATGGCCCACTTCCCACTGGCGAAAACTCATGAAATTTGGCAGGACGACCGGGCCTGGTGAAAAATTTGATATTCTGAAGTCGCCAAAACAATAAAATGCAAAATGGCTCCATAGCGCCCCCTAAGGTGAAAATTCACACTATTGACTGTCACGCCTGTACGCTTTGTCAAAATGACACAAAAATTGACACACACATGTATCTCAATAAGATCTACAAAAAAGTCAGTGCGGGCGTATCTGTCAAATGTACGGTTAAAGGGTTATTTCGCATTTTTTGCCGATCCGCACACATTGGAATTTCGCTAACTCCTCCGAAGGCTTTCGTTCCACCGGCACCACATTTGCTCAGGCAAATCTACACCCCGTGGCCATTAAAAGTTATCAAAATCATGACGCTGCACCCCACGGTTTAGGTTCTAGGGGGCGCCAAAGATAACCCTAAAATCCACATATTTAAAAGTCTTATAACTTTTTATTTTTGTCCTCACTGGCCTCCAAGTTTTCTAGGATGATGCAATGTCCAGCCATCAACACATTTGTGAAGGAATTTTTACTCCCCAAAAGAGCGCCCCCCCATGGCAGGAGAAAAAAGTCCATTTTTTCTTGTCCCCTAAGGTGAAAATACACATTGTTGAGTGTCACGCCTATACGCTTTGTCAAAATGACACAAAAATTGACACACACATGTATCTCAATAAGATCTACGAAAAAGTCAATGCGCGCGTATCTGTCAAATGTACGGTTAAAGGGTTATTTCGCATTTTTTGCCGATCCGCACACATTGGAATTTCGCTAACTCCTCCGAAGGCTTTCGTTCCACCGGCACCACATTTGCTCAGGCCAATCTACACCCCATGGCCATTAAAAGTTATTCAAATCATGACGCTGCACCCCACGGTTTAGGTTCTAGGGGGCGCCAAAGATAACCCTAAAATCCACATATTTAAAAGTCTTATAACTTTTTATTTTTGTCCTCACTGGCCTCCAAGTTTTCTAGGATGATGCAATGTCCAGCCATCAACACATTTGTGAAGGAATTTTTACTCCCCAAAAGAGCGCCCCCCCATGGCAGGAGAAAAAAGTCCATTTTTTCTTGTCCCCTAAGGTGAAAATACACATTGTTGAGTGTCACGCCTATACGCTTTGTCAAAATGACACAAAAATTGACACACACATGTAACTCAATAAGATCTACGAAAAAGTCAATGCGCGCGTATCTGTCAAATGTACGGTTAAAGGGTTATTCCGCATTTTTTGCCGATCCGCACACATTGGAATGTGGCTAACTCCTCCTAAGGCTTTCGTTCCACCGGCACCACATTTGCTCAGGCCAATCTACACCCCATGGCCATTAAAAGTTATCAAAATCATGACGCTGCACCCCACGGTTTAGGTTCTAGGGGGCGCCAAAGATAACCCTAAAATCCACATATTTAAAAGTCTTATAACTTTTTATTTTTGTCCTCACTGGCCTCCAAGTTTTCTAGGATGATGCAATGTCCAGCCATCAACACATTTGTGAAGGAATTTTTACTCCCCAAAAGAGCGCCCCCCCATGGCAGGAGAAAAAGTCCATTTTTTCTTGTCCCCTAAGGTGAAAATACATATTGTTGAGATTCACGCCTATACGCTTTGTCATATTGACACAAAATTTGACAATCACGTGCCTTGCCTGGTATCATTTTTTTCAGCACAACCTCACCTGTGCGAATTTACAGTTATTTTATCATGTTGACATACTGAATTTACACAATGGACCCAAATTCACACACAAAACATAAAATCAGAGTGGAAAAAAGTAACATTTTTACTGTGAAAACCACAAATATGTGTGATGAACTGTTTTTAAAACTTAAACTTCAAATAAAAATTGTAAACTTCAAAACATATGCAAATTTTTAACAAAGAACATAGTGATTTACCTCTATTTACATCAAAATGCAGGCAATGGCCCAGGCGTTCTTTGTAAAATTATTTACAAAACACTGTATAGTCTCACAAATGTCACTTTTTATTTATGCCACTACAAAAAAACATGATGTAAATGATGCATGATGTAAAACATGATGTAAAAAACTTGTGTAGATCCTCCTGTATGTCAGTCCATGTGTAATTTTTCCATAATTCTTTGTTTTTTGCAGCATTTTTGTTAGTGTAACTGCAGATTGTGCTGACAGTGTCTATGGCACAAAAAAAAAAAAAAATTAAAATGCCTCAACATGAACCCCTGGTGGTCTCTGAGGGTGAAACCTGCTAACTGCTGCAGCTCTGTCAGCTTCAGTCTCCCATGCAGAGCTCTGAGCGCATGTGTGGCTCTGCACCCTTAGCAGCGTTGCTAACTCCTCAGTAAGGAAAGCCTGCTTCATGTCAGAGTCTCTAAACTCCAGAAGAAGTCGATAAAAGTCCCTTTCTTTCTAAAAAAAAGTCGTTAGGGGGTCTGAAAAGTCATTGAATCTAACAACAAAGTCGCTAGGTTTGCAACTACGTGTCCCAGACTGCATCCCTGCTGAGAGTCCCTCCCTCCCTTCTCATGTTGCAGGAAGAACGTAAGCGCCCGCCCCTTGTCAATCAGTCACCATATAATTTTGGATTGGTTGTTGTGGTGAAGTTTTCCACCAATAGGAGAGATGTTGTGGTGTGTTTTTTTTTTTCTTTTGGCAAGCCTTTTCCGCCTGTAAGACCTGTCGCTAATGTCTGCATGCTATGTTTTCCTGTCTCATACAGCGCGATCGAGCGCCGAACGTGATCAAAATAAGCAGAAAAAAAGTATCGCGGACATAATTTATCATAACTCTGGTTTTATTTGGCCTATCAACACAATTTAAAAACTGGTATATAGGTTGAGGTCCTCACTTTTGAGATAAGTTGAAACGGAGAGTCAACGAGGCTCCGTCTTGCAGCTACATCCGGTTAAATATGTCATGTGACTTGAACGCACACACAGACACACACACGCACACACACACACACACACACACACACACACACACTCAGAGTCTGGTTTTTAGCACCTGCAAAAACATGCTATTTACATATTTGACAAGAATGCAGAGGCTCCTTTTGCCCCTGAAAAAAATCAAATTTCAAACACAACTTGACTGGTCATTTCTCCAAAAGACAACCATGAAGCTCCATCCAAACCTGAAGCAGGCAGTTGGTGCATGTGTACAGTAACCTGAGGGGAGTGAGGTGAGTGCTTCTGAGGAGAACATGAGCAGTGAAGATTCACCTTGGAGCTAGAACAGAGACATGCACATGATTATACAGGGGCAGGGGCTCAAGTTTTTTCCAGTCGTTTATACAATATGGAAATTAATGTGAAATTAAAACACAAAGTATTAATAGAAAGGTAATGACTGTCCTGTGTAGGTGACAGTGATATCCAATAGGCTAGGCACTCACGAGGCTGGCTGTGGCAAGTGTAAGTGAAAGCAACACGCACTGGCAGGAAGAACAGCAAACGCCGATGAAGGAAAAGGGTCTTTGCAGTGATGGGCGTTACCAGAGAGGGCGATGGCCAGAGGACACAAATGGGACGGGGAGGCAGCGCGTTGGGGGGGGGACGCGACACGGCTCGGGCCCGCCAGTGCCCCAACGGGGTCCTAGTTTGTTATTATTATTTTTCCTCCCCTTTGAACTGGAAAATGGCCCACTTCCCACTGGCGAAAACTCAGGAAATTTGGCAGGACGACCGGGCCTGGTGAAAAATTTGATATTCCGAAGTCGCCCAAACAAGAAAATGCAAAATGGCTCCATAGCGCCCCCTAAGGTGAAAATTCACACTATTGACTGTCACGCCTGTACGCTTTGTCAAAATGACACAAAAATTGACACACACATGTATCTCAATAAGATCTACAAAAAAGTCAGTGCGGGCGTATCTGTCAAATGTACGGTTAAAGGGTTATTTCGCATTTTTTGCCGATCCGCACACATTGGAATTTCGCTAACTCCTCCGAAGGCTTTCGTTCCACCGGCACCACATTTGCTCAGGCCAATCTACACCCCATGGCCATTAAAAGTTATTCAAATCATGACGCTGCACCCCAAGGTTTAGGTTCTAGGGGGCGCCAAAGATAACCCTAAGATCCACATATTTAAAAGTCTTATAACTTTTTATTTTTGCCCTCACTGGCCTCCAAGTTTTCTAGGATGATGCAATGTCCAGCCATCAACACATTTGTGAAGGAATTTTTACTCCCCAAAAGAGCGCCCCCCATGGCAGGAGAAAAAAGTCAATTTTTTCTTGTCCCCTAAGGTGAAAATACACATTGTTGAGTGTAACACCTGTACGCTTTGGCAAAATGACACAAAAATTGACACACACATGTATCTCAATAAGATCTACGAAAAAGTCAATGCGCGCGTATCTGTCAAATGTACGGTTAAAGGGTTATTCCGCATTTTTTGCCGATCCGCACACATTGGAATTTCGCTAACTCCTCCGAAGGCTTTCGTTCCACCGGCACCACATTTGCTCAGGCCAATCTACACCCCATGGCCATTAAAAGTTATTCAAATCATGACGCTGCATCCCACGGTTTAGGTTCTAGGGGGCGCCAAAGATAACCCTAAAATCCACATATTTAAAAGTCTTATAACTTTTTATTTTTGTCCTCACTGGCCTCCAAGTTTTCTAGGATGATGCAATGTCCAGCCATCAACACATTTGTGAAGGAATTTTTACTCCCCAAAAGAGCGCCCCCCCATGGCAGGAGAAAAAAGTCAATTTTTTCTTGTCCCCTAAGGTGGAAATTCACACTATTGACTGTCACGCCTGTACGCTTTATCATATTGACACAAAAATTGACACACATATGTATCTCAATAAGATCTACAAAAAAGTCAATTCGCGCGTATCTGTCAAATGTACGGTTAAAGGGCTATTTTGCATTTTTTGCCGATTCGCACACATTGGATATGGCTAACTCCTCCTAAGGCTTTCGACCCACTGACACCAAATTTGCTCAGGCCAATCTACACCCCATGGCCATTCAAAGTTGTAAAAATCATGACGCTGCACCCCACGGTTTACGTTCTAGGGGGCGCCAAAGATGACCCAAAAATCCACATTCTTAAAAGAATCCACATCCCCCCCCCTATGGCAGGAGAAAAAGTCAAGTTTTTCCTGCCCATCGCTCAATGGCTCAATCGCATCGCTCTCCAGGCAACACCGTAAGGAGGAGCAACCTGGCATTTCGATATATCATAGCTGTGTTTGTGCCCTCACTCATGGTCCAGACTTTTTTCAAATAGGACATGAAGTTTGTCTGCAGCGAGTGTTTTGGTAGAAACTGCGCCTCCCATTCATTATAATGGGAAATGACCACAGACAAGTGCGCACACCATCTTTGGTTCTTGAGTGTGACTCGATCGGGACGGGGAGGCGGTCGCACTGGGGGCGGCGCGACGCGGCTCGGGCCCGACAGTGCCCCACCGGGGCCCTAGTCTTCTTCTTCTTATTATTATTTTTCTGCCCCTTTGAACTGGAAAATGGCCCACTTCCCACTGGTGAAAACTCATGAAATTTGGCAGGACGACCGGGCCTGGTGAAAAATTCGATATTCTGAAGTCACCCAAACAATCAAATGCAAAATGGCTCCATAGCGCCCCCTAAGGTGAAAAATTCACATGATTGAGTGTCACGCCTGTACGCTTTGTCAAAATGACACAAAATTTGACACACACGTGTATCTCAATAAGATCTACAAAAAAGTCAGTGCGGGCGTATCTGTCAAATGTACGTTTAAAGGGCTATTTCGCATTTTTTCCCGATCCGCACACATTGGAATTTCGCTAACTCCTCCGAAGGCTTTCGTTCCACCGGCACCAAATTTGCTCAGGCCAATCTACACCCCATGGCCATTCAAAGTTGTACAAATCATGACGCTGCACCCCACGGTTTACGTTGTAGGGGGCGCCAAAGATAACCCAAAAATCCACATTCTTACAAGTCTTATAACTTTTTATTTCTGTCCTCACTGGCCTCCAAGTTTTCTAGGATGATGCAATGTCCAGCCATCAACACATTTGTGAAGGAATTTTTACTCCCCAAAAGAGCGCCCCCCATGGCAGGAGAAAAAAGGCCATTTTTTCTTGTCCTATAAGGTGAAAATACACATTGTTGAGTGTCACGCCTGTACGCTTTGTCATATTGAAACAAAATTTGATAATCACGTGTATCTCAATAAGATCTACGAAAAAGTCAATGCGCACGTGTCTGCAAAATGTACGGTTAAAGGGCTATTTCGCATTTTTGGTTGATTCGCACACATTGGAATGTGGCTAACTCCTCCTAAAGCTTTCGTTCCACCGGCACCAAATTTGCTCAGGCCAATCTACACCCCATGGCCATTAAAAGTTGTACAAATCATGATGCTGCACCCCACGGTTTACGTTCTAGGGGTCGCCAAAGATAACCCAAAAATCCACATTCTTAAAAGTCTTATAACTTTTCATTTTTGTCCTCACTGGCTTCAAAGTTTTCTAGGATGATGCAATGTCTAGCCATCAACACATTTGTGAAGGAATTTTTCTCCCTAAAAGAGTGCCCCCCCATGGCAGGAGAAAAAGTCAAGTTTTTCCTGCCCATCCCTCAATGGCTCAAACACATCGCTCTCTCGGAGAAAAACAAAAGGAGGAGGAACTTGCCATTTGGATATATCCTAGCTGTGTTTGTGCCCTCACTCATGGTCCAGACTTTTTTCAAATAGGACATGTAGTTTGTCTGCAGCAAGCGTTTTGGTAGAAACTGCGCCTCCCATTCATTATAATGGTAAATGACCACAGACAAGTGCGCACACCATCGTTGAACCTTAAGTGTGACGCGATCGGGAGGGAGAGGCGGTCGTGTTGGGGGCGGCGTGACACAGCTCGGGCCCGCCAGTGCCCCAACGGGGCCCTAGTGTTATTATTAGGGCCCGAGCGTAGCTGCTAAGCAGCTACAGCTGCGAGAGCCCTATTATTCCTGATGGATTCTTCTTTAGGGCCCGAGCGTAGCTGCTAAGCAGCTGCGAGAGCCCTCTTGTTCCTGCATGTTTCCTTCTTTAGGGCCCGAGCGTAGCTGCTAAGCAGCTGCGAGAGCCCTATTATTCCCCAAGTGGTTTTTCTTTGTTTCTTTTTTCTTTTTCCTCCCCTTTGAACTGGAAAATGGCCCACTTCCCACTGGCGAAAACTCATGAAATTTGGCAGGACGACCGGGCCTGGTGAAAAATTTGATATTCTGAAGTCGCCCAAACAATACAATGCAAAATGGCTCCATAGCGCCCCCTAAGGTGAAAAATTCACCTGACGCCTGTACGCTTTGTCAAAATGACACAAAAATTGACACACACATGTATCTCAATAAGATCTACAAAAAAGTCAGTGCGGGCGTATCTGTCAAATGTACGGTTAAAGGGTTATTTCGCATTTTTTGCCGATCCGCACACATTGGAATTTCGCTAACTCCTCCGAAGGCTTTTGTTCCACCGGCACCACATTTGCTCAGGCCAATCTACACCCCATGGCCATTAAAAGTTATTCAAATCATTATGCTGCACCCCACGGTTTAGGTTCTAGGGGGCGCCAAAGATAACCCTAAAATCCACATATTTCAAAGTCTTATAACTTTTTATTTTTGCCCTCACTGGCCTCCAAGTTTTCTAGGATGATGCAATGTCCAGCCATCAACACATTTGTGAAGGAATTTTTACTCCCCAAAAGAGCGCCCCCCCATGGCAGGAGAAAAAAGTCAATTTTTTCTTGTCCCGTAAGGTGAAAATTCACATTGTTGAGTGTGACACCTGTACGCTTTGTCATATTGACACAAAATTTGACTATCACGTGTATCTCAATAAGATCTACGAAAAAGTCAATGTGCGCGTATCTGTCAAATGTACGGTTAAAGGGTTATTCCGCATTTTTTGCCGATCCGCACACATTGGAATTTCGCTAACTCCTCCGAAGGCTTTCGTTCCACCGGCACCACATTTGCTCAGGCCAAATTACACCCCATGGCCATTAAAAGTTATTCAAATCATGACGCTGCACCCCACGGTTTACGTTCTAGGGGGCGCCAAAGATAACCCAAAAATCCACATTTTTAAAAGTCTTATAACTTTTTATTTTTGTCCTCACTGGCCTCCAAGTTTTCTAGGATGATGCAATGTCCAGCCATCAACACATTTGTGAAGGAATTTTTACTCCCTAAAAGAGCGCCCCCCCATGGCAGGAGAAAAAAGTCCATTTTTTCTTGTCCCCTAAGGTGAAAATACACATTGTTGACTGTCACGCCTGTACGCTTTGGCAAAATGACACAAAAATTGACAATCATGTGTATCTCAATTAGATCTATGAAAAAGTCAAAGAGCGCGTATCTGTATAATGTACGGTAAAAGGGCTATTTTGCATTTTTTGCCGATTCGCACACATTGGAATTTCGCTAACTCCTCCTAAGGCTTTCGTCCCAATGACACCAAATTTGCTCAGGCCAATCTACACTCCATGGCCATTCAAAGTTGTAAAAATCATGACGCTGCACCCCACGGTTTACGTTTTAGGGGGCGCCAAAGATGACCCAAATATACATTACAGTAGACAAAGTAGTTTTGCCCACTGAGTGGCGCCAAAGGGACTTGTCTGTGGAGTCTGTGAGTCACTATTGGCCGTTTTTGACTACTTTAGATTTTACCTTTATATTTCCTCTTACAAAATTTTTACCTTGCCTTGCCTGGTATCATTTTTTTCAGCACAACCTCACCTGTGTCAATTTACAGTTATTTTATCATTTTGACATACTATATTTACACATTGGACCCAAATTCACACACAAAACATAAAATCCGAGTGGAAAAAAGTAACGTTTTTACTGTGAAAACCACAAATATGTGTGATGAACTGTTTTTAAAACTTAAACTTCAAATAAAAATTGTAAACTTCAAAACATATGCAAATTTTTAACAAAGAACATAGTAATTTACCTCTATTTACATCAAAATGCAGGCAATGGCCCAGGTGTTCTTTGTAAAATTATTTACAAAACACTGTATAGTCTCACAAATGTCACTTTTTATTTATGCCACTACAAAAAAACATGATGTAAATGATGCATGATGTAAAACATGATGTAAAAAACTTGTGTAGATCCTCCTCTGTTAGAATTATGGAAAAATTACACATGGACTTTGTTTTTTGCAGCATTTTTGTTAGTGTAACTGCAGATTGTGCTGACAGTGTCTATGGCAAAAAAAAAAAAAAAACTGAAAATGCCTCAACATGAACCCCTGGTGGTCTCTGAGGGTGAAACCTGCTAACTGCTGCAGCTCTGTCAGCTTCAGTCTCCCATGCAGAGCTCGGAGCGCATGTGTGGCTCTGCACCCTTAGCAGCGTTGCTAACTCCTCAGTAAGGAAAGCCTGCTTCATGTCAGAGTCTCTAAACTCCAGAAGAAGTCGATAAAAGTCACTTTCTTTCTAAAAAAAAGTCGTTAGGGGGTCTGAAAAGTCATTGAATCTAACAACAAAGTCGCTAGGTTTGCAACTACGTGTCCCAGACTGCATCCCTGCTGAGAGTCCCTCCCTCCCTTCTCATATTGCAGGAAGAACGTAAGCGCCCGCCCCTTGTCAATCAGTCACCATATAATTTTGGATTGGTTGTTGTGGTGAAGTTTTCCACCAATAGGAGAGATGTTGTGGTGTGTTTTTTTTTTCCTTTGGCAAGCCTTTTCCGCCTGTAAGACCTGTCGCGAATGTCTGCATGCTATGTTTTCCTGTCTCATACAGCGCGATCGAGCGCCGAACGTGATCAAAATAAGCAGAAAACAAGTATCGCGGACATAATTTATCATAACTCTGGTTTTATTTGGCCTATCAACACAATTTAAAAACTGGTATATAGGTTGAGGTCCTCACTTTTGAGATAAGTTGAAACGGAGAGTCAACGAGGCTCCGTCTTGCAGCTACATCCGGTTAAATATGTCATGTGACTTGAACGCACACACACACACACACACACACACACACACACACACACACACACACACACACACACACACACTCAGAGTCTGGTTTTTAGCACCTGCAAAAACATGCTATTTACATATTTGACAAGAATGCAGAGGCTCCTTTTGCCCCTGAAAAAAATCAAATTTCAAACACAACTTGACTGGTCATTACTCCAAAAGACAACCATGAAGCTCCATCCAAACCTGAAGCAGGCAGTTGGTGCATGTGTACAGTAACCTGAGGGGAGTGAGGTGACTGCTTCTGAGGAGAACATGAGCAGTGAAGATTCACCTTAGAGCTAGAACAGAGACGTGCACATGATTATACAGGGGCAGGGGCTCAAGTTTTTTTCCAGTTGTTTATACAATATGGAAATTAATGTGAAATTAAAAAAACAAAGTATTAATAGAAAGGTAATGACTGTCCTGTGTAGGTGACAGTGATATCCAATAGGCTAGGCACTCACGAGGCTGGCTGTGGCAAGTGTAAGTGAAAGCAACACGCACTGGCAGGAAGAACAGCAAACGCCGATGAAGGAAAAGGGTCTTTGCAGTGATGGGCGTTACCAGAGAGGGCGATGGCCAGAGGACACAAATGGGACAGGGAGGCAGCGCGTTGGGGGGGGGACGCGACACAGCTCGGGCCCGCCAGTGCCCCAACGGGGTCCTAGTTAGGGCCCGAGCCAGCTGCAGAGCAGCCGGGCGTAGGCCCTGTTATTCCTGTAGGGGTTTTTCTTTGTTTCTTTCTTTCTTCTTTTTCCTCCCCTTTGAACTGGAAAATGGCCCACTTCCCACTGGCGAAAACTCAGGAAATTTGGCAGGACGACCGGGCCTGGTGAAAAATTTGATATTCCAAAGTCGCCCAAACAAGAAAATGCAAAATGGCTCCATAGCGCCCCCTAAGGTGAAAATTCACACTATTGACTGTCACGCCTGTACGCTTTGTCAAAATGACACAAAAATTGACACACACATGTATCTCAATAAGATCTACAAAAAAGTCAGTGCGGGCGTATCTGTCAAATGTACGGTTAAAGGGTTATTTCGCATTTTTTGCCGATCCGCACACATTGGAATTTCGCTAACTCCTCCGAAGGCTTTCGTTCCACCGGCACCACATTTGCTCAGGCCAATCTACACCCCATGGCCATTAAAAGTTATTCAAATCATGACGCTGCACCCCACGGTTTAGGTTCTAGGGGGCGCCAAAGATAACCCTAAAATCCACATATTTAAAAGTCTTATAACTTTTTATTTTTGCCCTCACTGGCCTCCAAGTTTTCTAGGATGATGCAATGTCCAGCCATCAACACATTTGTGAAGGAATTTTTACTCCCCAAAAGAGCGCCCCCCCATGGCAGGAGAAAAAAGTCCATTTTTTCTTGTCCCCTAAGGTGAAAATACACATTGTTGAGTGTCACGCCTGTACGCTTTGTCAAAATGACACAAAAATTGACACACACATGTATCTCAATAAGATCTACGAAAAAGTCAATGCGCGCGTATCTGTCAAATGTACGGTTAAAGGGTTATTCCGCATTTTTTGCCGATCCGCACACATTGGAATTTCGCTAACTCCTCCTAAGGCTTTCGTTCCACCGGCACCACATTTGCTCAGGCCAATCTACACCCCATGGCCATTAAAAGTTATCAAAATCATGACGCTGCACCCCACGGTTTAGGTTCTAGGGGGCGCCAAAGATAACCCTAAAATCCACATATTTAAAAGTCTTATAACTTTTTATTTTTGTCCTCACTGGCCTCCAAGTTTTCTAGGATGATGCAATGTCCAGCCATCAACACATTTGTGAAGGAATTTTTACTCCCCAAAAGAGCGCCCCCCCATGGCAGGAGAAAAAAGTCCATTTTTTCTTGTCCTCTAAGGTGAAAATACATATTGTTGAGATTCACGCCTATACGCTTTGTCATATTGACACAACATTTGACAATCACGTGCCTTGCCTGGTATCATTTTTTTCAGCACAACCTCACCTGTGCGAATTTACAGTTATTTTATCATGTTGACATACTGAATTTACACAATGGACCCAAATTCACACACAAAACATAAAATCCGAGTGGAAAAAAGTAACATTTTTACTGTGAAAACCACAAATATGTGTGATGAACTGTTTTTAAAACTTAAACTTCAAATAAAAATTGTAAACTTCAAAACATATGCAAATTTTTAACAAAGAACATAGTAATTTACCTCTATTTACATCAAAATGCAGGCAATGGCCCAGGCGTTCTTTGTAAAATTATTTACAAAACACTGTATAGTCTCACAAATGTCACTTTTTATTTATGCCACTACAAAAAAACATGATGTAAATGATGCATGATGTAAAACATGATGTAAAAAACTTGTGTAGATCCTCCTCTATGTCAGTCCATGTGTAATTTTTCCATAATTCTTTGTTTTTTGCAGCATTTTTGTTAGTGTAACTGCAGATTGTGCTGACAGTGTCTATGGCACAAAAAAAAAATAATTAAAATGCCTCAACATGAACCCCTGGTGGTCTCTGAGGGTGAAACCTGCTAACTGCTGCAGCTCTGTCAGCTTCAGTCTCCCATGCAGAGCTCTGAGCGCATGTGTGGCTCTGCACCCTTAGCAGCGTTGCTAACTCCTCAGTAAGGAAAGCCTGCTTCATGTCAGAGTCTCTAAACTCCAGAAGAAGTCGATAAAAGTCCCTTTCTTTCTAAAAAAAAGTCGTTAGGGGGTCTGAAAAGTCATTGAATCTAACAACAAAGTCGCTAGGTTTGCAACTACGTGTCCCAGACTGCATCCCTGCTGAGAGTCCCTCCCTCCCTTCTCATGTTGCAGGAAGAACGTAAGCGCCCGCCCCTTGTCAATCAGTCACCATATAATTTTGGATTGGTTGTTGTGGTGAAGTTTTCCACCAATAGGAGAGATGTTGTGGTGTGTTTTTTTTTTCTTTTGGCAAGCCTTTTCCGCCTGTAAGACCTGTCGCTAATGTCTGCATGCTATGTTTTCCTGTCTCATACAGCGCGATCGAGCGCCGAACGTGATCAAAATAAGCAGAAAAAAGTATCGCGGACATAATTTATCATAACTCTGGTTTTATTTGGCCTATCAACACAATTTAAAAACTGGTATATAGGTTGAGGTCCTCACTTTTGAGATAAGTTGAAACGGAGAGTCAACGAGGCTCCGTCTTGCAGCTACATCCGGTTAAATATGTCATGTGACTTGAACGCACACGCAGACACACACACGCACACACACACACACACACACACACACTCAGAGTCTGGTTTTTAGCACCTGCAAAAACATGCTATTTACATATTTGACAAGAATGCAGAGGCTCCTTTTGCCCCTGAAAAAAATCAAATTTCAAACACAACTTGACTGGTCATTTCTCCAAAAGACAACCATGAAGCTCCATCCAAACCTGAAGCAGGCAGTTGGTGCATGTGTACAGTAACCTGAGGGGAGTGAGGTTAGTGCTTCTGAGGAGAACATGAGCAGTGAAGATTCACCTTGGAGCTAGAACAGAGACATGCACATGATTATACAGGGGCAGGGGCTCAAGTTTTTTCCAGTCGTTTATACAATATGGAAATTAATGTGAAATTAAAACACAAAGTATTAATAGAAAGGTAATGACTGTCCTGTGTAGGTGACAGTGATATCCAATAGGCTAGGCACTCACGAGGCTGGCTGTGGCAAGTGTAAGTGAAAGCAACACGCACTGGCAGGAAGAACAGCAAACGCCGATGAAGGAAAAGGGTCTTTGCAGTGATGGGCGTTAACAGAGAGGGCGATGGCCAGAGGACACAAATGGGACGGGGAGGCAGCATGTTGGGGGGGGGGGGGATACGCAACACGGCTCGGGCCCGCCAGTGCCCCAACGGGGTCCTAGTTAGGGCCCGAGCGTAGCTGCTAAGCAGCTGCGAGAGCCCTCTTGTTCCTGCATGTTTCCTTCTTTTGTTATTATTAGGGCCCGAGCCAGCTGCAGAGCAGCCGGGCGTAGGCCCTGTTATTCCTGTAGGGGTTTTTCTTTGTTTCTTTCTTTCTTCTTTTTCCTCCCCTTTGAACTGGAAAATGGCCCACTTCCCACTGGCGAAAACTCATGAAATTTGGCAGGACGACCGGGCCTGGTGAAAAATTTGATATTCCGAAGTCGCCCAAACAAGAAAATGCAAAATGGCTCCATAGCGCCCCCTAAGGTGAAAATTCACACTATTGACTGTCACGCCTGTACGCTTTGTCAAAATGACACAAAAATTGACACACACATGTATCTCAATAAGATCTACAAAAAAGTCAGTGCGGGCGTATCTGTCAAATGTACGGTTAAAGGGTTATTTCGCATTTTTTGCCGATCCGCACACATTGGAATTTCGCTAACTCCTCCGAAGGCTTTCGTTCCACCGGCACCACATTTGCTCAGGCCAATCTACACCCCATGGCCATTAAAAGTTATTCAAATCATGACGCTGCACCCCACAGTTTAGGTTCTAGGGGGCGCCAAAGATAACCCTAAAATCCACATATTTAAAAGTCTTATAACTTTTTATTTTTGCCCTCACTGGCCTCCAAGTTTTCTAGGATGATGCAATGTCCAGCCATCAACACATTTGTGAAGGAATTTTTACTCCCCAAAAGAGCGCCCCCCCATGGCAGGAGAAAAAAGTCCATTTTTTCTTGTCCCCTAAGGTGAAAATTCACACTATTGACTGTCACGCCTGTACGCTTTGTCAAAATGACACAAAAATTGACACACACATGTATCTCAATAAGATCTACAAAAAAGTCAATGCGCGCGTATCTGTCAAATGTACGGTTAAAGGGTTATTTCGCATTTTTTGCCGATCCGCACACATTGGAATTTCGCTAACTCCTCCGAAGGCTTTCGTTCCACCGGCACCACATTTGCTCAGGCCAATCTACACCCCATGGCCATTAAAAGTTATTCAAATCATGACGCTGCACCCCACGGTTTACGTTCTAGGGGGCGCCAAAGATAACCCAAAAATCCACATTTTTAAAAGTCTTATAACTTTTTATTTTTGTCCTCACTGGCCTCCAAGTTTTCTAGGATGATGCAATGTCCAGCCATCAACACATTTGTGAAGGAATTTTTACTCCCTAAAAGAGCGCCCCCCCATGGCAGGAGAAAAAAGTCCATTTTTTCTTGTCCCCTAAGGTGAAAATACACATTGTTGACTGTCACGCCTGTACGCTTTGGCAAAATGACACAAAAATTGACAATCATGTGTATCTCAATTAGATCTACGAAAAAGTCAAAGAGCGCGTATCTGTATAATGTACGGTTAAAGGGCTATTTTGCATTTTTTGCCGATTCGCACACATTGGAATGTGGCTAACTCCTCCTAAGGCTTTCGTCCCACTGACACCAAATTTGCTCAGGCCAATCTACACCCCATGGCCATTCAAAGTTTTAAAAATCATGACGCTGCACCCCACGGTTTACGTTCTAGGGGGCGCCAAAGATGACCCAAATATCCACATTCTTAAAATAATCCACATCCCCCCCCCCCCCCCCCCCCATCCCCCATCCCCCATCCCCCATGGCAGGAGAAACAGTCAAGTTTTTCCTGCCCATCACTCAATGGCTCAATCGCATCGCTCTCCCGGCAACACCGTAACGAGGAGCAACTTGCCGTTTGGATATATCCTAGCTGTGTTTGTGCCCTCACTCATGGTCCAGACTTTTTTCAAATAGGACATGTAGTTTGTCTGCAGCGAGTGTTTTGGTAGAAACTGCGCCTCCCATTCATTATAATGGGAAATGACCACAGACAAGTGCGCACACCATCTTTGGACCTTGAGTGTGACGCGATCGGGAGGGGGAGGCGGTCGCACTGGGGGCGGCGCAACGCGGCTCGGGCCCGCCAGTGCCCCAACGGGGCCCTAGTTATTTTTCCTCCCCTTTGAACTGGAAAATGGCCCACTTCCCACTGGCGAAAACTCATGAAATTTGGCAGGACGACCGGGCCTGGTGAAAAATTTGATATTCCGAAGTCGCCCAAACAAGAAAATGCAAAATGGCTCCATAGCGCCCCCTAAGGTGAAAAATTCACCTGACGCCTGTACGCTTTGTCAAAATGACACAAAAATTGACACACACATGTATCTCAATAAGATCTACAAAAAAGTCAGTGCGGGCGTATCTGTCAAATGTACGGTTAAAGGGTTATTGCGCATTTTTTGCCGATCCGCACACATTGGAATTTCGCTAACTCCTCCGAAGGCTTTCGTTCCACCGGCACCACATTTGCTCAGGCCAATCTACACCCCATGGCCATTAAAAGTTATTCAAATCATGACGCTGCACCCCACGGTTTAGGTTCTAGGGGGCGCCAAATATAACACTAAAATCCACATATTTCAAAGTCTTATAACTTTTTATTTTTGTCCTCACTGGCCTCCAAGTTTTCTAGGATGATGCAATGTCCAGCCATCAACACATTTGTGAAGGAATTTTTACTCCCCAAAAGAGCGCCCCCCCATGGCAGGAGAAAAAAGTCCATTTTTTCTTGTCCCCTAAGGTGAAAATACACATTGTTGAGTGTCACGCCTGTACGCTTTGTCAAAATGACACAAAAATTGACACACACATGTATCTCAATAAGATCTACAAAAAAGTCAATGGGCGCGTATCTGTCAAATGTACGGTTAAAGGGTTATTCCGCATTTTTTGCCGATTCGCACACATTGGAATTTCGCTAACTCCTCCGAAGGCTTTCGTTCCACCGGCACCACATTTGCTCAGGCCAAATTACACCCCATGGCCATTAAAAGTTATTCAAATCATGACGCTGCACCCCACGGTTTACGTTCTAGGGGGCGCCAAAGATAACCCAAAAATCCAAATTTTTAAAAGTCTTATAACTTTTTATTTTTGTCCTCACTGGCCTCCAAGTTTTCTAGGATGATGCAATGTCCAGCCATCAACACATTTGTGAAGGAATTTTTACTCCCTAAAAGAGCGCCCCCCCATGGCAGGAGAAAAAAGTCCATTTTTTCTTGTCCCCTAAGGTGAAAATACACATTGTTGACTGTCACGCCTGTACGCTTTGGCAAAATGACACAAAGATTGACAATCATGTGTATCTCAATTAGATCTACGAAAAAGTCAAAGAGCGCGTATCTGTATAATGTACGGTAAAAGGGCTATTTTGCATTTTTTGCCGATTCGCACACATTGGAATTTCGCTAACTCCTCCTAAGGCTTTCGTCCCACTGACACCAAATTTGCTCAGGCCAATCTACACTCCATGGCCATTCAAAGTTGTAAAAATCATGACGCTGCACCCCACGGTTTACGTTTTAGGGGGCGCCAAAGATGACCCAAATATACATTACAGTAGACAAAGTAGTTTTGCCCACTGAGTGGCGCCAAAGGGACTTGTCTGTGGAGTCTGTGAGTCACTATTGGCCGTTTTTGACTACTTTAGATTTTACCTTTATATTTCCTCTCACAAAATTTTTACCTTGCCTTGCCTGGTATCATTTTTTTCAGCACAACCTCACCTGTGTCAATTTACAGTTATTTTATCATTTTGACATACTATATTTACACATTGGACCCAAATTCACACACAAAACATAAAATCCGAGTGGAAAAAAGTAACGTTTTTACTGTGAAAACCACAAATATGTGTGATGAACTGTTTTTAAAACTTAAACTTCAAATAAAAATTGTAAACTTCAAAACATATGCAAATTTTTAACAAAGAACATAGTAATTTACCTCTATTTACATCAAAATGCAGGCAATGGCCCAGGTGTTCTTTGTAAAATTATTTACAAAACACTGTATAGTCTCACAAATGTCACTTTTTATTTATGCCACTACAAAAAAACATGATGTAAATGATGCATGATGTAAAACATGATGTAAAAAACTTGTGTATATCCTCCTCTATGTCAGTCCATGTGTAATTTTTCCATAATTCTTTGTTTTTTGCAGCATTTTTGTTAGTGTAACTGCAGATTGTGCTGACAGTGTCTATGGCAAAAAAAAAAAAAAAACTGAAAATGCCTCAACATGAACCCCTGGTGGTCTCTGAGGGTGAAACCTGCTAACTGCTGCAGCTCTGTCAGCTTCAGTCTCCCATGCAGAGCTCGGAGCGCATGTGTGGCTCTGCACCCTTAGCAGCGTTGCTAACTCCTCAGTAAGGAAAGCCTGCTTCATGTCAGAGTCTCTAAACTCCAGAAGAAGTCGATAAAAGTCACTTTCTTTCTAAAAAAACGTCGTTAGGGGGTCTGAAAAGTCATTGAATCTAACAACAAAGTCGCTAGGTTTGCAACTACGTGTCCCAGACTGCATCCCTGCTGAGAGTCCCTCCCTCCCTTCTCATATTGCAGGAAGAACGTAAGCGCCCACCCCTTGTCAATCAGTCACCATATAATTTTGGATTGGTTGTTGTGGTGAAGTTTTCCACCAATAGGAGAGATGTTGTGGTGTGTTTTTTTTCCTTTGGCAAGCCTTTTCCGCCTGTAAGACCTGTCGCTAATGTCTGCATGCTATGTTTTCCTGTCTCATACAGCGCGATCGAGCGCCGAACGTGATCAAAATAAGCAGAAAACAAGTATCGTGGACATAATTTATCATAACTCTGGTTTTATTTGGCCTATCAACACAATTTAAAAACTGGTATATAGGTTGAGGTCCTCACTTTTGAGATAAATTGAAACGGAGAGTCAACAAGGCTCCGTCTTGCAGCTACATCCGGTTAAATATGTCATGTGACTTGAACGCACACACACACACACACACACACACACACACACACACACACACACACAGACACACACACACACGCACACACACACACTCAGAGTCTGGTTTTTAGCACCTGCAAAAACATGCTATTTACATATTTGACAAGAATGCAGAGGCTCCTTTTGCCCCTGAAAAAAATCATATTTCAAACACAACTTGACTGGTCATTTCTCCAAAAGACAACCATGAAGCTCCATCCAAACCTGAAGCAGGCAGTTGGTGCATGTGTACAGTAACCTGAGGGGAGTGAGGTGACTGCTTCTGAGGAGAACATGAGCAGTGAAGATTCACCTTAGAGCTAGAACAGAGACGTGCACATGATTATACAGGGGCAGGGGCTCAAGTTTTTTCCAGTTGTTTATACAATATGGAAATTAATGTGAAATTAAAAAACAAAGTATTAATAGAAAGGTAATGACTGTCCTGTGTAGGTGACAGTGATATCCAATAGGCTAGGCACTCACGAGGCTGGCTGTGGCAAGTGTAAGTGAAAGCAACACGCACTGGCAGGAAGAACAGCAAACGCCGATGAAGGAAAAGGGTCTTTGCAGTGATGGGCGTTACCAGAGAGGGCGATGGCCAGAGGACACAAATGGGACGGGGAGGCAGCGCGTTGGGGGGGGGGACGCGACACAGCTCGGGCCCGCCAGTGCCCCAACGGGGTCCTAGTTTGTTATTATTATTTTTCCTCCCCTTTGAACTGGAAAATGGCCCACTTCCCACTGGCGAAAACTCATGAAATTTGGCAGGACGACCGGGCCTGGTGAAAAATTTGATATTCCGAAGTCGCCCAAACAAGAAAATGCAAAATGGCTCCATAGCGCCCCCTAAGGTGAAAAATTCACCTGACGCCTGTACGCTTTGTCAAAATGACACAAAAATTGACACACACATGTATCTCAATAAGATCTACAAAAAAGTCAGTGCGGGCGTATCTGTCAAATGTACGGTTAAAGGGTTATTCCGCATTTTTTGCCGATCCGCACACATTGGAATTTCGCTAACTCCTCCGAAGGCTTTCGTTCCACCGGCACCACATTTGCTCAGGCCAATCTACACCCCATGGCCATTAAAAGTTATTCAAATCATGACGCTGCACCCCACGGTTTAGGTTCTAGGGGGCGCCAAAGATAACACTAAAATCCACATATTTCAAAGTCTTATAACTTTTTATTTTTGTCCTCACTGGCCTCCAAGTTTTCTAGGATGATGCAATGTCCAGCCATCAACACATTTGTGAAGGAATTTTTACTCCCCAAAAGAGCGCCCCCCATGGCAGGAGAAAAAAGTCCATTTTTTCTTGTCCCCTAAGGTGAAAATACACATTGTTGACTGTCACGCCTGTACGCTTTGTCAAAATGACACAAAAATTGACACACACATGTATCTCAATAAGATCTACAAAAAAGTCAATGGGCGCGTATCTGTCAAATGTACGGTTAAAGGGTTATTCCGCATTTTTTGCCGATTCGCACACATTGGAATTTCGCTAACTCCTCCGAAGGCTTTCGTTCCACCGGCACCACATTTGCTCAGGCCAAATTACACCCCATGGCCATTAAAAGTTATTCAAATCATGACGCTGCACCCCACGGTTTACGTTCTAGGGGGCGCCAAAGATAACCCAAAAATCCACATTTTTAAAAGTCTTATAACTTTTTATTTTTGTCCTCACTGGCCTCCAAGTTTTCTAGGATGATGCAATGTCCAGCCATCAACACATTTGTGAAGGAATTTTTACTCCCTAAAAGAGCGCCCCCCCATGGCAGGAGAAAAAAGTCCATTTTTTCTTGTCCCCTAAGGTGAAAATACACATTGTTGACTGTCACGCCTGTACGCTTTGGCAAAATGACACAAAAATTGACAATCATGTGTATCTCAATTAGATCTACGAAAAAGTCAAGAGCGCGTATCTGTATAATGTACGGTAAAAGGGCTATTTTGCATTTTTTGCCGATTCGCACATATTGGAATTTCGCTAACTCCTCCTAAGGCTTTCGTCCCACTGACACCAAATTTGCTCAGGCCAATCTACACTCCATGGCCATTCAAAGTTGTAAAAATCATGACGCGGCACCCCACGGTTTACGTTTTAGGGGGCGCCAAAGATGACCCAAATATACATTACAGTAGACAAAGTAGTTTTGCCCACTGAGTGGCGCCAAAGGGACTTGTCTGTGGAGTCTGTGAGTCACTATTGGCCGTTTTTGACTACTTTAGATTTTACCTTTATATTTCCTCTTACAAAATTTTTACCTTGCCTTGCCTGGTATCATTTTTTTCAGCACAACCTCACCTGTGTCAATTTACAGTTATTTTATCATTTTGACATACTATATTTACACATTGGACCCAAATTCACACACAAAACATAAAATCCGAGTGGAAAAAAGTAACGTTTTTACTGTGAAAACCACAAATATGTGTGATGAACTGTTTTTAAAACTTAAACTTCAAATAAAAATTGTAAACTTCAAAACATATGCAAATTTTTAACAAAGAACATAGTAATTTACCTCTATTTACATCAAAATGCAGGCAATGGCCCAGGTGTTCTTTGTAAAATTATTTACAAAACACTGTATAGTCTCACAAATGTCACTTTTTATTTATGCCACTACAAAAAAACATGATGTAAATGATGCATGATGTAAAACATGATGTAAAAAACTTGTGTAGATCCTCCTCTATGTCAGTCCATGTGTAATTTTTCCATAATTCTTTGTTTTTTGCAGCATTTTTGTTAGTGTAACTGCAGATTGTGCTGACAGTGTCTATGGCAAAAAAAAAAAAAAAACTGAAAATGCCTCAACATGAACCCCTGGTGGTCTCTGAGGGTGAAACCTGCTAACTGCTGCAGCTCTGTCAGCTTCAGTCTCCCATGCAGAGCTCGGAGCGCATGTGTGGCTCTGCACCCTTAGCAGCGTTGCTAACTCCTCAGTAAGGAAAGCCTGCTTCATGTCAGAGTCTCTAAACTCCAGAAGAAGTCGATAAAAGTCACTTTCTTTCTAAAAAAACGTCGTTAGGGGGTCTGAAAAGTCATTGAATCTAACAACAAAGTCGCTAGGTTTGCAACTACGTGTCCCAGACTGCATCCCTGCTGAGAGTCCCTCCCTCCCTTCTCATATTGCAGGAAGAACGTAAGCGCCCACCCCTTGTCAATCAGTCACCATATAATTTTGGATTGGTTGTTGTGGTGAAGTTTTCCACCAATAGGAGAGATGTTGTGGTGTGTTTTTTTTTTCCTTTGGCAAGCCTTTTCCGCCTGTAAGACCTGTCGCTAATGTCTGCATGCTATGTTTTCCTGTCTCATACAGCGCGATCGAGCGCCGAACGTGATCAAAATAAGCAGAAAACAAGTATCGCGGACATAATTTATCATAACTCTGGTTTTATTTGGCCTATCAACACAATTTAAAAACTGGTATATAGGTTGAGGTCCTCACTTTTGAGATAAGTTGAAACGGAGAGTCAACGAGGCTCCGTCTTGCAGCTACATCCGGTTAAATATGTCATGTGACTTGAACGCACACACACACACACACACACACACACACACACACACACACACACACACACACACACACACACACACACACACACACTCAGAGTCTGGTTTTTAGCACCTGCAAAAACATGCTATTTACATATTTGACAAGAATGCAGAGGCTCCTTTTGCCCCTGAAAAAAATCAAATTTCAAACACAACTTGACTGGTCATTTCTCCAAAAGACAACCATGAAGCTCCATCCAAACCTGAAGCAGGCAGTTGGTGCATGTGTACAGTAACCTGAGGGGAGTGAGGTGAGTGCTTCTGAGGAGAACATGAGCAGTGAAGATTCACCTTGGAGCTAGAACAGAGACATGCACATGATTATACAGGGGCAGGGGCTCAAGTTTTTTCCAGTCGTTTATACAATATGGAAATTAATGTGAAATTAAAACACAAAGTATTAATAGAAAGGTAATGACTGTCCTGTGTAGGTGACAGTGATATCCAATAGGCTAGGCACTCACGAGGCTGGCTGTGGCAAGTGTAAGTGAAAGCAACACGCACTGGCAGGAAGAACAGCAAACGCCGATGAAGGAAAAGGGTCTTTGCAGTGATGGGCGTTACCAGAGAGGGCGATGGCCAGAGGACACAAATGGGACGGGGAGGCAGCACGTTGGGGGGGGGGGGACGCGACACGGCTCGGGCCCGCCAGTGCCCCAACGGGGTCCTAGTTATTATTATTATTAGGGCCCGAGCGTAGCTGCTAAGCAGCTGCGAGAGCCCTATTATTCCCCAAGTGGTTTTTCTTTGTTTCTTTCTTTCTTTCTTTCTTCTTTTTCCTCCCCTTTGAACTGGAAAATGGCCCACTTCCCACTGGCGAAAACTCATGAAATTTGGCAGGATGACCGGGCCTGGTGAAAAATTTGATATTCCGAAGTCGCCCAAACAAGAAAATGCAAAATGGCTCCATAGCGCCCCCTAAGGTGAAAATTCACACTATTGACTGTCACGCCTTTACGCTTTGTCAAAATGACACAAAAATTGACACACACATGTATCTCAATAAGATCTACAAAAAAGTCAGTGCGGGCGTATCTGTCAAATGTACGGTTAAAGGGTTATTCCGCATTTTTTGCCGATCCGCACACATTGGAATTTCGCTAACTCCTCCGAAGGCTTTCTTTCCACCGGCACCACATTTGCTCAGGCCAATCTACACCCCATGCCCATTAAAAGTTATTCAAATCATGACGCTGCACCCCACGGTTTAGGTTCTAGGGGGCGCCAAAGATAACCCTAAAATCCACATATTTCAAAGTCTTATAACTTTTTATTTTTGTCCTCACTGGCCTCCAAGTTTTCTAGGATGATGCAATGTCCAGCCATCAACACATTTGTGAAGGAATTTTTACTCCCCAAAAGAGCGCCCCCCATGGCAGGAGAAAAAAGTCAATTTTTTCTTGTCCCGTAAGGTGAAAATTCACATTGTTGAGTGTGACACCTGTACGCTTTGTCATATTGACACAAAATTTGACAATCACGTGTATCTCAATAAGATCTACGAAAAAGTCAATGGGTGCGTATCTGTCAAATGTACGGTTAGAGGGCTATTTTGCATTTTTTGCCGATTCGCACACATTGGAATTTCGCTAACTCCTCCTAAGGCTTTCGTCCCACTGAAACCAAATTTGCTCAGGCCAATCTACACCCCATGGCCATTCAAAGTTGTTAAAATCATGACGCTGCACCCCACGGTTTACGTTCTAGGGGGCGCCAAAGATGACCAAAAAATCCACATTCTTAAAAGAATCCACATTCTCCCCCCCCATGGCAGGAGAAAAAGTCAAGTTTTTCCTGCCCATCGCTCAATGGCTCAATCGCATTGCTCTCCAGGCAACACCGTAACGAGGAGCAACCTGCCATTTGGATATATCCCAGCTGTGTTTGTGCCCTCACTCATGGTCCAGACTTTTTTCAAATAGGACATGAAGTTTGTCTGCAGCGAGTGTTTTGGTAGAAACTGCGCCTCCCATTCATTATAATGGGAAATGACCACAGACAAGTGCGCACACCATCTTTGGACCTTGAGTGTGACGCGATCGGGAGGGGGAGGCGGTCACGCTGGGGGCGGCACGACGCGGCTCGGGCCCGACAGTGCCCCACCGGGGCCCTAGTTATTTTTCCTCCGCTTTAAACTGGAAAATGGCCCACTTCCCACTGGCGAAAACTCAGGAAATTTGGCAGGACGACCGGGCCTGGTGAAAAATTCGATATTCTGAAGTCGCCCAAACAATAAAATGCAAAATGGCTCCATAGCGCCCCCTAAGGTGAAAATTCACACTATTGACTGTCACGCCTGTACGCTTTGTCATATTGACACAAAAATTGACACACACATGTATCTCAATAAGATCTATGAAAAAGTCAGTGCGGGCGTATCTGTCAAATGTACGGTTAAAGGGTAATTTCGCATTTTTTGCCAATCCGCACACATTGGAATTTCGCTAACTCCTCCGAAGGCTTTCGTTCCACCGGCACCACATTTGCTCAGGCCAATCTACACTCCATGGCCATTCAAAGTTGTACAAATCATGATGCTGCACCCCATGGTTTAGGTTCTAGGGGGCGCCAAAAATAACCCAAAAATCCACATTCTTAAAAGTTTTATAACTTTTTATTTTTGTCCTCACTGGCCTCCAAGTTTTCTAGGATGATGCGATGTCCAGCCATCAACACATTTGTGAGGGAATTTTTACTCCCCAAAAGAGCGCCCCCCCATGGCAGGACAAAAAAGTCCATTTTTTCTTGTCCCCTAAGGTGAAAATACACATTGTTGAGATTCACGCCTGTACGCTTTGTTATATTGACAAAAAATTTGACACACACGTGTATCTCAATAAGATCTACGAAAAAGTCAATGCGCGCGTATCTGTAAACTGTACGGCTAAATGGCTATTTTGCATTTTTTGCCGATTCGCACACATTGGAATGTGGCTAACTCCTCCTAAGGCTTTCGTCCCACTGACACCAAATTTGCTCAGGCCAATCTACACCCTCATGGCCATTAAAAGTTGTAAAAATCATGCCGCTGCACCCCATGGTTTACGTTCTAGGGGGCGCCAAAAATAACCCAAAAATCCACATTCTTAAAAGTTTTATAACTTTTTTTTTTTGTCCTCACTGGCCTCCAAGTTTTCTAGGATGATGCAATGTCCAGCCATCAGCACATTTGTGAAGGAATTTTTACTCCCCAAAAGAGCACCCCCCCATGGCAGGACAAAAAAGTCAATTTTGACCCAAAGATGACCCAAATATCCACATTCTTAAAAGTCGTTTTGGCCACTGCAGGAGTACAGAGTACTGCAGGATACACACACACAGACATACACACACACACACACACACACACACACACACACACACACACACACACACACACACACACACACACACACACACACACACACACACACACACACACACACACACACACTCACTCAGAGTCTGTTCTTTAGCACCTGCAAAAACATGCTATTTACATATTTGACAACAATGCAGAGGCTTCCTTTTGCCCCTGAAAAAAATGAAATTTCAAACACAACTTGACTGCTCATTTCTCCAAAAGACAACCATGAAGCTCCATCCAAACCTGAAGCAGGCAGTTGGTGCATGTGTACAGTAACCTGAGGGGAGTGAGGTGACTGCTTCTGAGGAGAACATGAGCAGTGAAGATTCACCTTGGAGCGAGAACAGGGACGTGCACATGATTATACAGGGGCAGGGGCTCAGTCGTTTAGACAATATGGAAATTAATGTGAAATCAAAAAACAAAGTATTAATAGAAAGGTAATGACTGTCCTGTGTAGGTGACAGTGATATCCAATAGGCTAGGCACTCATGAGGCTGGCTGTGGCAAGTGTAAGTGAAAGCAACACGCACTGGCAGGAAGAACAGTAAACGCCGATGAAGGAAAAGGGTCTTTGCAGTGATGGGCGTTACCAGAGAGGACGATGGCCAGAGGACGCGAATGGGACGGGGAGGCAGCACGTGGGGGGGGGGGGGGGGGGGGTTGCGACACAGCTCGGGCCCGCCAGTGCCCCAACTGGGCCCTAGTTCTTTCTTTAGGGCCCGAGCGTAGCTGCTAAGCAGCTGCGAGGGCCCTCTTGTTCCTGCATGTTTCCTTCTTTAGGGCCCGAGCGTAGCTGCTAAGCATCAGCGAGAGCCCTCTTGTTCCTGCATGTTTCCTTCTTTCGTTATTATTTTTCCTCCGCTTTAAACTGGAAAATGGCCCACTTCCCACTGGTGAAAAACTCAGGAAATTTGGCAGGAAGACCGGGCCTGGTGAAAAATTCGATATTCTGAAGTCGCCCAAACAAAAAAATGAAAAATGGCTCCATAGCGCCCCCTATGGTGAAAATTCACCAGACGCCTGTACGCTTTGTCAAAATGACACAAAATTTGACACACATGTGTATCTCAATAAGACCTACAAAAAAGTCAGTGCGGGCGTATCTGTCAAATGTACCGTTAAAGGGCTATTTCGCATTTTTTGCCGATCCGCACACATTGGAATTTCACTAACTCCTCCGAAAGCTTTCGTTCCACTGGCACCAAATTTGCTCAGGCCAATCTACACCCCATGGCCATTAAAAGTTGTACAAATCATGACGCTGCACCCCACGGTTTAGGTTCTAGGGGGCGCCAAAGATAACCCAAAAATCCACATTCTAAAAAGTCTTATAACTTTTTATTTTTGTCCTCACTGGCCTCCAAGTTTTCTAGGATGATGCAATGTCCAGCCATCAACACATTTGTGAAGGAATTTTTACTCCCCAAAAGAGCGCCCCCCCATGGCAGGTGAAAAAAGTCCATTTTTTCTTGTCCCCTAACATGAAAATACACATTGTAGAGTGTCACGCCTGAACACTTTGTCATATTGACACAAAATTTGACAATCACGTGTATCTCAATAAGATCTACGAAAAAGTCAAAGAGCACGTATCTGTATAATGTACGGTTAAAGGGCTATTTCGCATTTTTTGCCGAACCGCACACATTGGAATTTCGCTAACTCCTCCGAAGGCTTTCGTTCCACCGGTACCAAATCTGCTCAGGTCAATCTACACCCCATGGCCATTAAAAGTTGTACAAATCATGACGCTGCACCCCACGGTTTACGTTCTAGGGGGCGCCAAAGATAACCCAAAAATCCACATTCTTAAAAGTCTTATAACTTTTTATTTTTGTCCTCACTGGCCTCCAAGTTTTCTAGGATGATGCAATGTACAGCCATCAACACATTTGTGAAGGAATTTTTACTCCCCAAAAGAGCGCCCCCCCATGGCAGGTGAAAAAAGTCCATTTTTTCTTGTCCCCTAACATGAAAATACACATTGTAGAGTGTCACGCCTGAACGCTTTGTCATATTGACACAAAATTTGACAATCACGTGTATCTCAATAAGATCTACGAAAAAGTCAAAGAGCGCGTATCTGTATAATGTACGGTTAAAGGGCTATTTCGCATTTTTTGCCGATCCGCACACATTGGAATTTCGCTAACTCCTCCGAAGGCTTTCGTTCCACCGGCACCAAATTTGCTCAGGTCAATCTACACCCCATGGCCATTAAAAGTTGTACAAATCATGACGCTGCACCCCACGGTTTAGGTTCTAGGGGGCGCCAAAGATAACCCAAAAATCCACATTCTAAAAAGTCTTATAACTTTTTATTTTTGTCCTCACTGGCCTCCAAGTTTTCTAGGATGATGCAATGTCCAGCCATCAACACATTTGTGAAGGAATTTTTACTCCCCAAAAGAGCGCCCCCCCCATGGCAGGAGAAAAAAGTCCATTTTTTCTTGTCCCCTAAGGTGAAAACACACATTGTTGAGTGTCATGCCTGAACGCTTTGTCATATTGACACAAAATTTGACAATCACGTGTATCTCAATAAGATCTACGAAAAAGTCAAAGAGCGCGTATGTGTATAATGTACGGTAAAAGGGCTATTTTGCATTTTTTGCCGATTTGCACACATTGGAATGTGGCTAACTCCTCCTAAGGCTTTCGTCCCAATGACACCAAATTTGCTCAGGCCAATCTACAACCCATGGCCATTCAAAGTTGTAAAAATCATGACGCTGCACCCCACGGTTTACGTTCTAGGGGGCGCCAAAGATGACCCAAATATACATTACAGCAGACAAAGTAGTTTTGCCCATTGAGTGGCGCCAAAGGGACTTGTCTATGGAGACTGGGAGCCACTATTGGCCGTTTTTGACAACTTTAGATTTTACCTTTATATTTCCTCTTAAAATTTTTTTACCTTGCCTTGCCTGGTATCATTTTTTTCAGCACAACCTCACCTGTGTGACTTTACAGTTATTTTATCATTTTCACATACTGTTTTTACACAATGGACCCAAATTCACACACAAAACATAATATCCAAGTGGAAAAAAGTAACATTTTTACTCTGAAAACCACAAATATGTGTGATGAACTGTTTTTAAAACTTTAACTTCAAATAAAAATTTTAAACTTCAAAACATATGCAAATTTTTAACAACGAACATAGTAATTTACCTCTATTTACATCAAAATGCAGGCAATGGCCCAGGCGTTCTTTGTAAAATTATTTACAAAACACTGTATAGTCTCACAAATGTCACTTTTTATTTATGCCACTACAAAAAAAACATGATGTAAATGATGCATGATGTAAAACATGATGTAAAAAACTTGTGTAGATTCTCCTCTATGTTAGTCCATGTGTAATTTTTCCATAATTCTTTGTTTTGTCCAGCATTTTTGTTAGTGTAACTGCAGATTGTGCTGACAGTGTCTATGGCAAAAAAAAAAAAAAAAACTGAAAATGCCTCAACATGAACCCCTGGTGGTCTCTGAGGGTGAAACCTGCTAACTGCTGCAGCTCTGTCAGCTTCAGTCTCCCATGCAGAGCTCTGAGCGCATGTGTGGCTCTGCACCCTTAGCAGCGTTGCTAACTCCTCAGTAAGGAAAGCCTGCTTCATGTCAGAGTCTCTAAACTCCAGAAGAAGTCGATAAAAGTCCCTTTCTTTCAAAAAAAAAGTCGTTAGGGGGTCTGAAAAGTCATTGAATCTAACAACAAAGTCGCTAGGTTTGCAACTACGTGTCCCAGACTGCATCCCTGCTGAGAGTCCCTCCATCCCTTCTCATGTTGCAGGAAGAACGTAAGCGCCCGCCCCTTGTCAATCAGTCACCATATAATTTTGGATTGGTTGTTGTGGTGAAGTTTTCCACCAATAGGAGAGATGTTGTGGTGTGTTTTTTTTTTTTTCTTTTGGCAAGCCTTTTCCGCCTGTAAGAGCTGTCGCTAATGTCTGCATGCTATGTTTTCCTGTCTCATACAGCGCGATCGAGCGCCGAACGTGATCAAAATAAGCAGAAAAAAAGTATCGCAGACATAATTTATCATAACTCTGGTTTTATTTGGCCTATCAACACAATTTAAAAACTGGTATATAGTTTAAGGTCCTCACTTTGGAGATAAGTTGAAACGGAGAGTCAACAAGGCTCCGTCTTGCAGCTACATCCGGTTAAATTTGTCATGTGACTTGAACGCTGGGGAGCGTCAATCGACTGCAGAGCCAGCAGACAAAGTAGTTATGGCCACTGAGAGGCACACATTTGGCATATGCTATAATCCTAACGTATTTTAATGCTTTTTCTATTTAAACCTAATGGATCAGGGAGGCGGTCGCGCTGGGGGCGGCGCGACGCGGCTCGGGCCCGCTAATGCCCCAACGGGGCCCTAGTTAGGGCCCGAGCGTAGCTGCTAAGCAGCTGCGAGAGCCCTCTTGTTCCTGATGGATTCTTCTTTCGTTATTAGGGCCCGAGCGTAGCTGCTAAGCAGCTGCGAGAGCCCTATTGTTCCTGTATGGGTTTTTCTTTCTTCTTTCTTTCTTTCTTTAGGGCCCGAGCGTAGCTGCTAAGCAGCTGCGAGAGCCCTCTTGTTCCTGATGGATTCTTCTTTCGTTATTTTTCCTCCGCTTTAAACTGGAAAATGGCCCACTTCCCACTGGCGAAAACTCAGGAAATTTGGCAGGACGACCGGGCCTGGTGAAAAATTTGATATTCTGAAGTCGTCCAAACAAAAAAATGAAAAATGGCTCCATAGCGCCCCCTATGGTGAAAACTCACCTGATGCCTGTACGCTTTGTCAAAATGACACAAAATTTGACACACATGTGTATCTCAATAAGATCTACGAAAAAGTCAGTGCGGGCGTATCTGCCAAATGTACGGTTAAAGGGCTATTTCGCTTTTTTTGCCGATCCGCACACATTGGAATTTCGCTAACTCCTCCGAAGGCTTTCGTTCCACCGGCACCACATTTGCTCAGGCCAATCTACACCCCATGGCCATTAAAAGTTGTACAAATCATGATGCTGCACCCCACGGTTTACTTTCTAGGGGGCGCCAAAGATAACACAAAAATCCACATTCTTAAAAGTCTTATAACTTTTTATTTTTGTCCTCACTGGCCTCCAAGTTTTCTAGGATGATGCAATGTCCAGCCATCAACACATTTGTGAAGGAATTTTTACTCCCCAAAAGAGCGCCCCCCCATGGCAGGAGAAAAAAGTCCATTTTTTCTTGTCTCCTAAGGTAAAAATACACATTGTTGAGTGTCACGCCTATACACTTTGTCATATTGACACACAATTTGACAATCACGTGTATCTCAATAAGATCTACAAAAAAGTCAATAGGCACGTATCTTTCAAATGTATGGTTAAAGGGCTATTTCGCATTTTTTGCCGATTCGCACACATTGGAATGTGGCTATCTCCTCCTAAGGCTTTCGTCCCACCGATACCAAATTTGCTCAGGGCAATCTACACCCCATGGCCATTCAAAGTTGTAGAAATCATGACGCTGCACCCCACGGTTTACGTTCTAGGGGGCGCCAAAGATGACCCAAAAATCCACATTCTTAAAAGTCATTTTGGCCACTGCAGGAGTACAGAGTACTGCAGTTCTAGGGGGCGCCAAAGATGACCCAAAAATCCACATTCTTAAAAGTCTTTTTGGCCACTGCAGGAGTACAGAGTACTGCCGGACACACACACATAAACACACACGCCAACACACACACACACACACACACACACACACACACACACACACACACACTCAGAGTCTGTTTTTTAGCACCTGCAAAAACATGCTGTTTACATATTTGACAAGAATGCAGAGGCTTCCTTTTGCCCCTGAAAAAAATCAAATTTCAAACACAACTTGACTGTTCATTTCTCCAAAAGACAACCATGAAGCTCCATCCAAACCTGAAGCAGATAGTTGGTGCATGTGTACAGTAACCTGAGGAGAGTGAGGTGACTACTTCTGAGGAGAACATGAGCAGTGAAGATTCACCTTGGAGCTAGAACAGGGACGTGCACATGATTATACAGGGGCAGGGGCTCAAGTTTTTTCCAGTCATTTATACAATATGGAAATTAATGTGAAATTAAACCACAAATATGTGTGATGAACTGTTTTTAAAACTTAAACTTCAAATAAAAATTGTAAACTTCAAAACATATGCAAATTTTTAACAAAGAACATAGTAATTTACCTCTATTTACATCAAAATGCAGGCAATGGCCCAGGCGTTCTTTGTAAAATTATTTACAAAACACTGTATAGTCTCACAAATGTCACTTTTTATTTATGCCACTACAAAAAAACATGATGTAAATGATGCATGATGTAAAACATGATGTAAAAAACTTGTGTAGATCCTCCTCTATGTCAGTCCATGTGTAATTTTTCCATAATTCTTTGTTTTTTGCAGCATTTTTGTTAGTGTAACTGCAGATTGTGCTGACAGTGTCTATGGCAAAAAAAAAAAAAAACTGAAAATGCCTCAACATGAACTCCTGGTGGTCTCTGAGGGTGAAACCTGCTAACTGTGCAGCTCTCTCAGCTCTAGTCTCCCATGCAGAGCTCGGAGCGCATGTGTGGCTCTGCACCCTTAGCAGCGTTGCTAACTCCTCAGTAAGGAAAGCCTGCTTCATGTCAGAGTCTCTAAACTCCAGAGGAAGTCGATAAAATTCCCTTTCTTTCTAAAAAAAGTCGTTAGGGGGTCTGAAAAGTCATTGAATCTAACAACAAAGTCGCTAGGTTTGCAACTACGTTTCCCAGACTGCATCCCTGCTGAGAGTTCCTCCCTCCCTTCTCATATTGCAGGAAGAACGTAAGCGCCCGCCCCTTGTCAATCAGTCACCATATAATTTTGGATTGGTTGTTGTGGTGAAGTTTTCCACCAATAGGAGAGATGTTGTGGTGTGTTTTTTTTTTCGTTTGGCATGCCTTTTCCGCCTGTAAGAGCTGTCGCTAATGTCTGCATGCTATGTTTTCCTGTCTCATACAGCGTGATCGAGCGCCGAACGTGATCAAAATAAGCAGAAAAAAAGTATCGCGGACATAATTTATCATAACTCTGGTTTTATTTGGCCTATCAACACAATTTAAAAACTGGTATATAGTTTGAGGTCCTCACTTTTGAGATAAGTTGAAACGGAGGGTGAACGAGGCTCCGTCTTGCAGCTACATCCGGTTAAATATGTCATGTGACTTGAACGCTGGGGAGCGTCAATCGACTGCAGAGCCAGCAGACAAAGTAGTTATGCCACTAAGAGGCACACATTTGTCATATGCTATAATCCTAACATATTTTAATGCTTTTTCTATTTAAACCTAATGGATCTAAGGTTTGACCTTCAAAATTTAGGAAGAATATTTTTTTGCAGTAATGACCCCCTTAACCCTCTGATGCATGAATTATGAAAGCCCTGATCAAGATTTTTTTCATAAGTGTTTTTATCATTCTCAGGACATAAAAGAACATGTTAAACTGTTTTTTTCCAAAAATGTTATTTTTTCACAAAACTACAGAAGTGTCCATTCAAGTGGACTATATGCGCCTGAGCACTCAACACAAAACATTATGAACTTACAGTAAAATGTACAGTACACCAAAATATGCCAAACTATCTCCAACATTAGAAACAATATTGTACGTCCCCACAGTACTATAAAGATTCAGGACTGACATTACCATGCCCTTATACGGGCATGTTGTTTTCAACAACAAAAACTGACATTTTAGTCCCTGCATCTCCAAACATGTCTCTGCTCATCACACCTAGGATGTATGAAAGTTGGCAAAGCATCCAGGGCACAATGGCACACAGGCTTTATATGAGCACAGGATTTGCTCATATCTGTTTACAGACATGGCATTTGCAATCATCCCTAGACGAAGGCCATCCTCACTAGACCAGTACATGTGTGCCCTGGGATAACGAATGTACCCCATGATCATGTTGATCCCTAAAAAAGTCTGCATTTCTTCTCCTGTCACTGCCACATTTTCTTTCCCTTTCTGGGGAGCATAAGAGTTGGTGTTTTTCACTATATCATCAATGAGATCTTCTGGAAACAGATGTCTGGAGAAGTCTATAGGCTCTCTTCCCTCCACATTGAATTTCCACTCTCCTAGAAAAGGAGGCAAATCTCTATCAAAGTGATTGTCTTGGACTTTCCAGATATTTTTGCGAGCTTGAGAATGGTCAGGTGTCATGTGCCCATTTTCCACAGCTCCCTGATCATGCTGACCTTCCCCTGCATCCTGCCTCTCATCATCCTGGTCCTCATCCACTTGACTATAGGCATCTACCCTTTCTGCACCCTGACTGTCTGTATCTCCATCATCCTCAGCTCCTACATGTCTATTCTTCTCTGGCAGCCACTCTTCGTCACTGTTACACACTAATTACATTGTATACACTGATTTATAACCAAAACAGCCACAAGTAACAGAGGAGCAATTACATGACTCCTGTTAAAAAAAATACTGGGTGATGCATGATGTCCACTCAGTTGGACACATGCTTAATTGTAATTTTCTACAAATTGGACATGAAATTTTCAATTCCAAATGGATAATATCCTTCCTTAGATGTTACAGGATATCATCATATTTTTTTTACAGCTGGGGTTCTTCTACTATAGAAGTATTGACAGGACATGCCAGCTGTAGTCAGCAGGGGTGGCTGTTTCTCGGCCATCTTGGATTTGTAGGAAATTTACTTGTAGTTACACTAATTGCTCACTAAATGTAACTCAATGGATTAGGGCAGTAGAGAGCACCCTAGAGGCTGATATACACTTCCACCATAGAAACCATTGCATTTAAGAGAAAAAGAGTTTTTGGTAGCTGTCCACTGTAGTGACCACTATGAACCAGAGGGTTAAACAACCAGAGGTCCTTTCCTAAAGTTTATGGAAATTTTAGTGAAGGCCTTGGTTTCTTTCCTTGCAAAATGTATAGAAATAATAAAGCTAAATACCATAAAATGGTCTTGGCGTATTAGCAGTGATATAAAATAGTGGTTTGAATATGAATGAACAACAAAAAAAAACATCAACAGAGCCTTTTTGAGTTGGGATTCTTTCATTATCACACAAAAACAGACATAGACAGACATCTAAAGGGTAAGGGAATGATCAGCCCTCCTAACTCTCAGATGAATCTTCAAAATTCACCGCAGAAATATGCTTATTATTCTTCTCAGAGTACTGCAAGATATATACAAACACACACAGACACACACACACACACACACACACACACACACACACACACACACACACACACACACACACTCAGAGTCTGTTTTTTAGCACCTGCAAAAACATGCTATTTACATATTTGACAAGAATGCAGAGGCTCCTTTTGCCCCTGAAAAAAATCAAATTTCAAACACAACTTGACTGCTCATTTCTCCAAAAGACAACCATGAAGCTCCATCCAAACCTGAAGCAGGCAGTTGGTGCATGTGTACAGTAACCTGAGGGGAGTGAGGTGACTGCTTCTGAGGAGAACATGAGCAGTGAAGATTCACCTTGGAGCTAGAACAGGGACGTGCACATGATTATACAGGGGCAGGGGCTCAAGTTTTTTCCAGTCATTTATACAATATGGAAATTAATGTGAAATTAAAAAACAAAGTATTAATAGAAAGGTAATGACTGTCCTGTGTAGATGACAGTGATATCCAATAGGCTAGGCACTCACGAGGCTGGCTGTGGCAAGTGTAAGTGAAAGCAACACGCACTGGCAGGAAGAACAGCAAACGCCGATGAAGGAAAAGGGTCTTTGCAGTGATGGGCGTTACCAGAGAGGGCGATGGCCAGAGGACACGAATGGGACGGGGAGGCAGCGCGTTGGGGGGGGGGGCGGCGCGACACGGCTCGGGCCCGCCAGTGCCCCAACTGGGCCCTAGTTCTTCTTATTAGGGCCCGAGCGTAGCTGCTAAGCAGCTGCGAGAGCCCTATTATTCCTGATGGATTCTTCTTTAGGGCCCGAGCGTAGCTGCTAAGCAGCTGCGAGAGCCCTCTTGTTCCTGCATGTTTCCTTCTTTAGGGCCCGAGCGTAGCTGCTAAGCAGCTGCGAGAGCCCTATTATTCCTGATGGATTCTTCTTTCTTTAGGGCCCGAGCGTAGCTGCTAAGCAGCTGCGAGAGCCCTATTATTCCTGATGGATTCTTTAGGGCCCGAGCGTAGCTGCTAAGCAGCTGCGAGAGCCCTCTTGTTCCTGCATGTTTCCTTCTTTCGGTATTATTTTTCCTCCGCTTCAAACTGGAAAATGGCCCACTTCCCACTGGCGAAAACTCAGGAAATTTGGCAGGACGACCGGGCCTGGTGAAAAATTCGATATTCTGAAGTCGCCCAAACAATAAAATGCAAAATGGCTCCATAGCGCCCCCTAAGGTGAAAATTCACATGACGGCTGTACGCTTTGTCACATTGACACAAAAATTGACACACACATGTATCTCAATAAGATCTACAAAAAAGTCAGTGCGGGCGTATCTGTCAAATGTACGGTTAATGGGTTATTTTGCATTTTTTGCAGATCTGCACACATTGGAATTTCGCTAACTCCTCCGAAGGCTTTCGTTCGACCGGCACCACATTTGTGCAGGCCAATCTACCCCCCATGGCCATTAAAAGTTGTACAAATCATGACGCTGCACCCCATGGTTTACGTTCTAGGGGGCGCCAAAGATAACCCAAAAATCCACATTCTTAAAAGTCTTATAACTTTTGACTTTTGTCCTCACTGGCCTCCAAGTTTTCTAGGATGATGCAATGTCCAGCCATCAACACATTTGTGAAGGAATTTTTACTCCCCAAAAGAGCGCCCCCCCATGGCTGGAGAAAAAAGTCCATTTTTTCTTGTCGCCTAAGGTGAAAATTCACATTGTTGAGTGTGACACCTGTACGCTTTGTCATATTGACACAAAATTTGACACACACGTGTATCTCAATAAGATCTACGAAAAAGTCAATGCGGGCGTATCTGTCAAATGTACGGTTAAAGGGCTATTCCGCATTTTTTGGCGATTCGCACACATTGGAATTTCGCTAACTCCTCCTAAGGCTTTCGTCCCACTGACACCAAATTTGCTCAGGCCAATCTACACTCCATGGCCATTCAAAGTTGTAAAAATCATGACGCTGCACCCCACGGTTTACGTTTTAGGGGGCGCCAAAGATGACCCAAATATACATTACAGTAGACAAAGTAGTTTTGCCCACTGAGTGGCGCCAAAGGGACTTGTCTGTGGAGTCTGTGAGTCACTATTGGCCGTTTTTGACTACTTTAGATTTTACCTTTATATTTCCTCTTACAAAATTTTTACCTTGCCTTGCCTGGTATCACTTTTTTCAGCACAACCTCACCTGTGTCAATTTACAGTTATTTTATCATTTTGACATACTATATTTACACATTGGACCCAAATTCACACACAAAACATAAAATCCGAGTGGAAAAAAGTAACGTTTTTACTGTGAAAACCACAAATATGTGTGATGAACTGTTTTTAAAACTTAAACTTCAAATAAAAATTGTAAACTTCAAAACATATGCAAATTTTTAACAAAGAACATAGTAATTTACCTCTATTGACATCAAAATGCAGGCAATGGCCCAGGTGTTCTTTGTAAAATTATTTACAAAACACTGTATAGTCTCACAAATGTCACTTTTTATTTATGCCACTACAAAAAAACATGATGTAAATGATGCATGATGTAAAACATGATGTAAAAAACTTGTGTAGATCCTCCTCTATGTTAGTCCATGTGTAATTTTTCCATAATTCTTTTTTTGCAGCATTTTTGTTAGTGTAACTGCAGATTGTGCTGACAGTGTCTATGGCAAAAAAAAAAAAAAAAACTGAAAATGCCTCAACATGAACCCCTGGTGGTCTCTGAGGGTGAAACCTGCTAACTGCTGCAGCTCTGTCAGCTTCAGTCTCCCATGCAGAGCTCGGAGCGCATGTGTGGCTCTGCACCCTTAGCAGCGTTGCTAACTCCTCAGTAAGGAAAGCCTGCTTCATGTCAGAGTCTCTAAACTCCAGAAGAAGTCGATAAAAGTCACTTTCTTTCTAAAAAAAAAGTCGTTAGGGGGTCTGAAAAGTCATTGAATCTAACAACAAAGTCGCTAGGTTTGCAACTACGTGTCCCAGACTGCATCCCTGCTGAGAGTCCCTCCCTCCCTTCTCATATTGCAGGAAGAACGTAAGCGCCCGCCCCTTGTCAATCAGTCACCATATAATTTTGGATTGGTTGTTGTGGTGAAGTTTTCCACCAATAGGAGAGATGTTGTGGTGTGTTTTTTTTTTCCTTTGGCAAGCCTTTTCCGCCTGTAAGACCTGTCGCTAATGTCTGCATGCTATGTTTTCCTGTCTCATACAGCGCGATCGAGCGCCGAACGTGATCAAAATAAGCAGAAAACAAGTATCGCGGACATAATTTATCATAACTCTGGTTTTATTTGGCCTATCAACACAATTTAAAAACTGGTATATAGGCTGAGGTCCTCACTTTTGAGATAAGTTGAAACGGAGTCAACGAGGCTCCGTCTTGCAGCTACATCCGGTTAAATATGTCATGTGACTTGAACGCACACACACACACACACACACACACACACAGACACACACACACACGCACACACACACACTCAGAGTCTGGTTTTTAGCACCTGCAAAAACATGCTATTTACATATTTGACAAGAATGCAGAGGCTCCTTTTGCCCCTGAAAAAAATCAAATTTCAAACACAACTTGACTGGTCATTTCTCCAAAAGACAACCATGAAGCTCCATCCAAACCTGAAGCAGGCAGTTGGTGCATGTGTACAGTAACCTGAGGGGAGTGAGGTGAGTGCTTCTGAGGAGAACATGAGCAGTGAAGATTCACCTTGGAGCTAGAACAGAGACATGCACATGATTATACAGGGGCAGGGGCTCAAGTTTTTTCCAGTCGTTTATACAATATGGAAATTAATGTGAAATTAAAACACAAAGTATTAATAGAAAGGTAATGACTGTCCTGTGTAGGTGACAGTGATATCCAATAGGCTAGGCACTCACGAGGCTGGCTGTGGCAAGTGTAAGTGAAAGCAACACGCACTGGCAGGAAGAACAGCAAACGCCGATGAAGGAAAAGGGTCTTTGCAGTGATGGGCGATACCAGAGAGGGCGATGGCCAGAGGACACAAATGGGACGGGGAGGCAGCACGTTGGGGGGGGGGGGGGACGCGACACGGCTCGGGCCCGCCAGTGCCCCAACGGGGTCCTAGTCTTTCTTCTTCTTTAGGGCCCGAGCGTAGCTGCTAAGCAGCTGCGAGAGCCCTCTTGTTCCTGATGGATTCTTCTTTCGTTATTTTTCCTCCGCTTTAAACTGGAAAATGGCCCACTTCCCACTGGCAAAAACTCAGGAAATTTGGCAGGAAGACCGGGCCTGGTGAAAAATTCGATATTCTGAAGTCGCCCAAACAATAAAATGCAAAATGGCTCCATAGCGCCCCCTAAGGTGAAAATTCACATGCGGGCTGTACGCTTTGTCAAAATGACACAAAAATTGACACACACATGTATCTCAATAAGATCTACAAAAAAGTCAGTGCGGGCGTATCTGTCAAATGTACGGTTAAAGGGTTATTTCGCATTTTTTGCAGATCTGCACACATTGGAATTTCGCTAACTCCTCCGAAGGCTTTCGTTCCACCGGCACCACATTTGCGCAGGCCAATCTACCCCCCATGGCCATTAAAAGTTGTACAAATCATCTTGCTGCACCCCACGGTTTAGGTTCTAGGGGGCGCCAAAGATAACCCAAAAATCCAAAGTGTTAAAAGTCTTATAACTTTTTATTTTTCTCCAAACTGGCCTCCAAGTTTTCTAGGATGATGCAATGTCCAGCCATCAACACATCTGTGAACAAATTTTTACTCCCCAAAAGAGCGCCCCCCCATGGAAGGAGAAAAAAGTCCATTTTTTCTTGTCCCGTAAGGTGAAAATACACATTTTTGAGTGTCACCCCTGTACCCTTTGTCATATTGACACAAAATTTGATAATAACGTGTATCTCAATAAGATCTACGAAAAAGTCAATGGGCACGTATCTGTAAAATGTACGGTTAAAGGGCTATTTCGCATTTTTTGCCGATTCGCACACATTGGAATGTGGCTAACTCCTCCTAAGGCTTTCGTCCCACCGACACCAAATTTGCTCAGGCCAATCTACATCCCATGGCCATTCAAAGTTGTAAAAATCATGACGCTGCACCCCACGGTTTATGTTCTAGGGGGCGCCAAAGATGACCCAAATATCCACATTTTTAAAAGTCTTATAACTTTTTATTTTTGTCCTCACTGGCCTCCAAGTTTTCTAGGATGATGCAATGTGCAGCCATCAACACATCTGTGAAGGAATTTTTTCTCCCCAAAAGAGTGCCCCCCCTCCCCCCCCCCATGGCAGGAGAAAAAGTCAAGTTTTTCCAGCCCATCGCTTAATGGCTCAAACGCATTGCTCTCCCGCTAAAACCAAAAGGAGGAGCAACTTGCCATTTGGATATGTCCTAGCTGTGTTTGTGCCCTCACTCATGGTCCAGAGTTTTTTCAAATAGGACATGTAGTTTGTCTGCAGCGAGCGTTTTGGTAGAAACTGTGCCTCCCATTCATTATAATGGGAAATGACCAAAGACAGGTGCACACACCATCTTTGGACCTTGACTTTGACGTCACAGTTTGAGATACAAATGTTATTTGACCTCTGACCTTTGGTGGACACCCTAACCTTTCAACCCGCGAAAACGGCGTTTCAATAGCTCTTACGGCTTTCCTACAAATACACTTTGTTCAGCTACTCCTACTGTCCTTTAAGCTCTGCTTCTCAGATCATCAAAGAGTGTGCACGTGTGTAATGAGCGCATATTGAATGTTAATTATGTTAAATATGTTAATTATTAGAAGAAAAAACAACAACAGTCCTTTTGGACAAAATTTCTTTTTATTACAGAATTAGAATAATGGAAGCATAGTCCAAGGAAACCATTCAAGTGATGTCATACCTCATAATTTATTGAGATGTTGGCTAGTCTGGGCATTTCTTCATTCATCAGGTTTCCTGCATGCATACTAACAGAGCACATCAGTAGCAGTGAGTGATAAGTATGAGTGTGTCATTGTGTAAAAAAGAAAGTGGTTTACTTACACATCCATAGAAAATAGGTGGTTGAGCACAGCACGCAAACAAAGCTTTGCCACAACGGTTGAACTTCCCAAGTAGCTGATACCAAGGTCACACAATCATGGTGAGCAAAGGTCAAACCAGGCCAGGCACTCACGAGGCTGGCTGTGGCAAGTGTAAGTGAAAGCAACACGCAATGGCAGGAAGAACAGCAAACACCGATGAAGGAAAAGGGTCTTTGCAGTGATGGGCGTCACCAGAGAGGGCGATGGCCAGAGGGCACGAATGGGACGGGGAGGCGGTCGCGCTGGGGGCGGCGCGACGCGGCTCGGGCCCGCCAGTGCCCCAACGGGGCCCTAGTTTTTTCTTTTTCCTCCCCTTTGAACTGGAAAATGGCCCACTTCCCACTGGCGAAAACTCATGAAATTTGGCAGGAGGACCGGGCCTGGTGAAAAATTTGATATTCTGAAGTCGCCCAAACAATAAAATGCAAAATGGCTCCATAGCGCCCCCTAAGGTGAAAATTCACACTATTGACTGTCACGCCTGTACGCTTTGTCATATTGACACAAAAATTGACACACATATGTATCTCAATAAGATCTACAAAAAAGTCAGTGCGGCCGTATCTGTCAAAATTACGGTTAAAGGGTTATTTCGCATTTTTTGCCGATCCGCACACATTGGAATTTCGCTAACTCCTCCGAAGGCTTTCGTTCCACCGGCACCACATTTGCTCAGGCCAATCTACACCCCGTGGCCATTAAAAGTTATCAAAATCATGACGCTGCACCCCAAGGTTTAGGTTCTAGGGGGCGCCAAAGATAACACTAAAATCCACATATTTAAAAGTCTTATAACTTTTTATTTTTGCCCTCACTGGCCTCCAAGTTTTCTAGGATGATGCAATGTCCAGCCATCAACACATTTGTGAAGGAATTTTTACTCCCCAAAAGAGCGCCCCCCCATGGCAGGAGAAAAAAGTCCATTTTTTCTTGTCCCCTAAGGTGAAAATACACATTGTTGAGTGTCACGCCTGTACGCTTTGTCAAAATGACACAAAAATTGACACACACATGTATCTCAATAAGATCTACAAAAAAGTCAACGCGCGCGTATCTGTCTAATGTACGGTTAAAGGGTTATTCCGCATTTTTTGCCGATTCGCACACATTGGAATTTCGCTAACTCCTCCGAAGGCTTTCGTTCCACCGGCACCACATTTGCTCAGGCCAAATTACACCCCATGGCCATTAAAAGTTATTCAAATCATGACGCTGCATCCCACGGTTTACGTTCTAGGGGGCGCCAAAGATAACCCAAAAATCCACATTCTTAAAAGTTTTATAACTTTTTTTTTTGTCCTCACTGGCCTCCAAGTTTTCTAGGATGATGCAATGTCCAGCCATCAACACATTTGTGAAGGAATTTTTAAACTTAAACTTCAAATAAAAATTGTAAACTTCAAAACATATGCAAATTTTTAACAAAGAACATAGTAATTTACCTCTATTGACATCAAAATGCAGGCAATGGCCCAGGTGTTCTTTGTAAAATTATTTACAAAACACTGTATAGTCTCACAAATGTCACTTTTTATTTATGCCACTACAAAAAAACATGATGTAAATGATGCATGATGTAAAACATGATGTAAAAAACTTGTGTAGATCCTCCTCTATGTCAGTCCATGTGTAATTTTTCCATAATTCTTTGTTTTTTGCAGCATTTTTGTTAGTGTAACTGCAGATTGTGCTGACAGTGTCTATGGCACAAAAAAAAAAAAATTAAAATGCCTCAACATGAACCCCTGGTGGTCTCTGAGGGTGAAACCTGCTAACTGCTGCAGCTCTGTCAGCTTCAGTCTCCCATGCAGAGCTCGGAGCGCATGTGTGGCTCTGCACCCTTAGCAGCGTTGCTAACTCCTCAGTAAGGAAAGCCTGCTTCATGTCAGAGTCTCTAAACTCCAGAAGAAGTCGATAAAAGTCACTTTCTTTCTAAAAAAAAGTCGTTAGGGGGTCTGAAAAGTCATTGAATCTAACAACAAAGTCGCTAGGTTTGCAACTACGTGTCCCAGACTGCATCCCTGCTGAGAGTCCCTCCCTCCCTTCTCATGTTGCAGGAAGAACGTAAGCGCCCGCCCCTTGTCAATCAGTCACCATATAATTTTGGATTGGTTGTTGTGGTAAAGTTTTCCACCAATAGGAGAGATGTTGTGGTGTGTTTTTTTTTTCTTTTGGCAAGCCTTTTCCGCCTGTAAGACCTGTCGCTAATGTCTGCATGCTATGTTTTCCTGTCTCATACAGCGCGATCGAGCGCCGAACGTGATCAAAATAAGCAGAAAAAAAGTATCGCGGACATAATTTATCATAACTCTGGTTTTATTTGGCCTATCAACACAATTTAAAAACTGGTATATAGGTTGAGGTCCTCACTTTTGAGATAAGTTGAAACGGAGAGTCAACGAGGCTCCGTCTTGCAGCTACATCCGGTTAAATATGTCATGTGACTTGAACGCACACACAGACACACACACACGCACACACACACACACACACACACACACACACACACACACACACACACACACACACACACACACACTCAGAGTCTGGTTTTTAGCACCTGCAAAAACATGCTATTTACATATTTGACAAGAATGCAGAGGCTCCTTTTGCCCCTGAAAAAAATCAAATTTCAAACACAACTTGACTGGTCATTTCTCCAAAAGACAACCATGAAGCTCCATCCAAACCTGAAGCAGGCAGTTGGTGCATGTGTACAGTAACCTGAGGGGAGTGAGGTGAGTGCTTCTGAGGAGAACATGAGCAGTGAAGATTCACCTTGGAGCTAGAACAGAGACATGCACATGATTATACAGGGGCAGGGGCTCAAGTTTTTTCCAGTCGTTTATACAATATGGAAATTAATGTGAAATTAAAACACAAAGTATTAATAGAAAGGTAATGACTGTCCTGTGTAGGTGACAGTGATATCCAATAGGCTAGGCACTCACGAGGCTGGCTGTGGCAAGTGTAAGTGAAAGCAACACGCACTGGCAGGAAGAACAGCAAACGCCGATGAAGGAAAAGGGTCTTTGCAGTGATGGGCGTTACCAGAGAGGGCGATGGCCAGAGGACACAAATGGGACGGGAAGGCAGCACGTTGGGGGGGGGGGGGGACGCGACACGGCTCGGGCCCGCCAGTGCCCCAACGGGGTCCTAGTCTTATTATTATTTTTCTGCCCCTTTGAACTGGAAAATGGCCCACTTCCCACTGGTGAAAACTCATGAAATTTGGCAGGACGACCGGGCCTGGTGAAAAATTCGATATTCTGAAGTCATCCAAACAATCAAATGCAAAATGGCTCCATAGCGCCCCCTAAGGTGAAAAATTCACATGATTGAGTGTCACGCCTGTACGCTTTGTCAAAATGACACAAAATTTGACACACACGTGTATCTCAATAAGATCTACAAAAAAGGGGGCGCCAAAGATAACCCAAAAATCCACAGTCTTAAAAGTCTTATAACTTTTTATTTTTGTCCTCACTGGCCTCCAAGTTCTCTAGGATGATGCAATGTCCAGCCATCAACACATTTGTGAAGGAATTTTTACTCGCCAAAGAGCGCCCCCCCATGGCAGGAGAAAAAAGTCCATTTTTTCTTGTCTCCTAAGGCGAAAATTCACACTATTGAGTGTCACGCCTATACGCTTTGTCATATTGACACAAAAATTGACACACACATGTATCTCAATAAGATCTACAAAAAAGTCAGTGCGGGCGTATCTGTCAAATGTACGGTTAAAGGGCTATTTCGCATTTTTTGCCGATCCGCACACATTGGAATTTCGCTAACTCCTCCGAAGGCTTTCGTTCCAAAGGCACCACATTTGCTGAGGCCAATCTACACCCCATGGCCATTAAAAGTTGTACAAATCATGACGCTGCACCCCACGGTTTACGTTCTAGGGGGCGCCAAAGATAACCCAAAAATCCACAGTCTTAAAAGTCTTATAACTTTTTATTTTTGTCCTCACTGGCCTCCAAGTTCTCTAGGATGATGCAATGTCCAGCCATCAACACATTTGTGAAGGAATTTTTACTCGCCAAAAGAGCGCCCCCCATGGCAGGAGAAAAAAGTCCATTTTTTCTTGTCTCCTAAGGCGAAAATACACATTGTTGACTGTCACGCCTTTACGCTTTGTCAAAATGACACAAAATTTGACACACACATGTATCTCAATAAGATCTACAAAAAAGTCAGTGCGGGCGTATCTGTCAAATGTACGGTTAAAGGGTTATTTCGCATTTTTTGCCGATCCGCACACATTGGAATTTCGCTAACTCCTCCTAAATCTTTTGTCCCATCGGCTTCAAATTTGCTCAGGTCAATCTACACCCCATGGCCATTCAAAGTTGTACAAATCATGACGCTGCACCCCACAGTTTACGTTCTAGGGGGCGCCAAAGAGGACCCAAATATCCACATTTTTAAAAGTCTTATAACTTTTTATTTTTGTCCTCACTGGCCTCCAAGTTTTCTAGGATGATGCAATGTCCAGCCATCAACACATTTGTGAAGGAATTTTTACTCGCCAAAGAGCGGAGAAAAAGTCAAGTTTTTCCTGCCCATCGCTCAATGGCTCAAACGCATCGCTCTCTCTGCAAAACCGAAAGGAGGAGCAACTTGCCATTTGGATATATACTAGCTGTGTTTGTGCCCTCACTCATGGTCCAGACTTTTTTCAAATAGGACATGTAGTTTGTCTGCAGCGAGCGTTTTGGTAGAAACTGCGCCTCCCATTCATTATAATGGGAAATGACCACAGACAAGTGCGCACACCATCTTTGGACCTTGAGTGTGACGCGATCGGGAGGGGGAGGCGGTCGCGCTGGGGGCGGCGCGACGTGGCTCGGGCCCGACAGTGCCCCACCGGGGCCCTAGTTTTTCCTCCTCTTTGAAGGGGAAAATGGCCCACTTCCCACTGGCGAAAACTCATGAAATTTGGCAGGACGACCAGGCCTGGTGAAAAATTCGATATTTTGAAGTCGCCCAAATAATAAAATGCAAAATGGCTCCATAGCGCCCCCTAAGGTGAAAATTCACACTATTGACTGTCACGCCTGTACGCTTTGTCATATTGACACAAAAATTGACAAACACATGTATCTCAATAAGATCTACAAAAAAGTCAGTGCGGGAATATCTGTCAAATTTACGGTTAAAGGGTTATTTCACATTTTTTGCAGATCCGCACACTGCGCCTCCCATTCATTATAATGGGAAATGACCACAGACAAGTGCGCACACCATCTTTGGACCTTGAGAGTGACGGGATCGGGAGGGGGAGGCGGTCCCGCTGGGGGTGGCGCAACATGGCTCGGGCCCGCCAGTGCCCCAACGGGGCCCTAGTTATTATTTTTCCTCCGCTTTAAACTGGAAAATGGCCCACTTCCCACTGGCGAAAACTCATGAAATTTGGCAGGACGACCGGGCCTGGTGAAAAATTCGATATTCTGAAGTCGCCCAAACAATAAAATGCAAAATGGCTCCATAGCGCCCCCTAAGGTGAAATTTTCACCTGATGCCTGTACGCTTTGTCAAAATGACACAAAATTTGACATACACGTGTATCTGAATAAGATCTACGAAAAAGTCAGCGCGGGCGTATCTGTCAAATGTACGGTTAAAGGTTTATTTCGCATTTTTGCCGATCCGCACACATTGGAATTTCGCTAACTCCTCCGAAGGCTTTCGTTCCACCGGCACCACATTTGCTCAGGTCAATCTACACCCCATGGCCATTCAAAGTTGTACAAATCATGACGCTGCACCCCACGGTTTAGGTTCTAGGGGGCGCCAAAGATAACCCAAAAATCCACATTCTAAAAAGTCTTATAACTTTTTATTTTTGTCCTCACTGGCCTCCAAGTTTTCTAGGATGATGCAATGTTCAGCCATCAACACATTTGTGAAGGAATTTTTACTCCCCAAAAGAGCGCCCCCCTATGGCAGTAGAAAAAGTCAAGTTTTTCCTGCCCATCACTCAATGGCTCAACCGCATCGCTCTCTCGGCAAAACCGAAAGGAGGAGCAACTTGCCATTTGGATATATACTAGCTGTGTTTGTGCCCTCACTCATGGTCCAGACTTTTTTCAAAAAGGGCCTGGAGTTTGTCTGCAGCGAGCGTTTTGGTAGAAACTGCGCCTCCCATCCATTATAATGGTAAATGACCACAGACAAGTGCGCACACCATCTTTGGACCTTGAGAGTGACGGGATCGGGAGGGGGAGGCGGTCCCGCTGGGGGTGGCGCAACATGGCTCGGGCCCGCCAGTGCCCCAACGGGGCCCTAGTTATTATTTTTCCTCCGCTTTAAACTGGAAAATGGCCCACTTCCCACTGGCGAAAACTCATGAAATTTGGCAGGACGACCGGGCCTGGTGAAAAATTCGATATTCTGAAGTCGCCCAAACAATAAAATGCAAAATGGCTCCATAGCGCCCCCTAAGGTGAAATTTTCACCTGATGCCTGTACGCTTTGTCAAAATGACACAAAATTTGACATACACGTGTATCTGAATAAGATCTACGAAAAAGTCAGGGCGGGCGTATCTGTCAAATGTACGGTTAAAGGTTTATTTCGCATTTTTGCCGATCTGCACACATTGGAATTTCGCTAACTCCTCCGAAGGCTTTCGTTCCACCGGCACCACATTTGCTCAGGTCAATCTACACCCCATGGCCATTCAAAGTTGTACAAATCATGACGCTGCACCCCACGGTTTAGGTTCTAGGGGGCGCCAAAGATGACCCAAAAATCCACATTCTTAAAAGTCTTATAACTTTTTATTTTTGTCCCCACTGGCCTCGAAGTTCTCTAGGATGATGCAATGTACAGCCATCAACACATTTGTGAAGGAATTTTTACTCCCCAAAAGAGCGCCCCCCCATGGCAGGAGAAAAAAGTCAATTTTTTCATGTCCCCTAAGGTGAAAATACACATTGTTGAGTGTCATGCCTGTACGCTTTGTCAAAATGACACAAAATTCGACACACACGTGTATCTCAATAAGATCTACGAAAAAGTCAATGCGGGCGTATCTGTCAAATGTACGGTTAAAGGGCTATTTCGCATTTTTTGCCGATTCGCACACATTGGAATGTAGCTAACTCCTCCTAAGGCTTTCGTCCCACTGACACCAAATTTGCTCAGGCCAATCTACACCCCATGGTCATTCAAAGTTGTAAAAATCATGACGCTGCACCCCACGGTTTACGTTCTAGGGGGCGCCAAAGATGACCCAAATATCCATATTCTTAAAAGTGTTATAACATTTTATTTTTGTCCTCACTGGCCTCCATGTTTTCTAGGATGATGCAATGTCCAGCCATCAACACATTTGTGAAGGAGTTTTTTCTTGTTAAAAGAGCGCCCCCCCATGGCAGGAGAAAAAAGTCCATTTTTTCTTGTCCCCTAAGGTGAAAATACATATTGTTGAGATTCACGCCTATACGCTTTGTCATATTGACACAAAATTTGACAATCACGTGCCTTGCCTGGTATCATTTTTTTCAGCACAACCTCACCTGTGCGAATTTACAGTTATTTTATCATGTTGACATACTGAATTTACACAATGGACCCAAATTCACACACAAAACATAAAATCCGAGTGGAAAAAAGTAACATTTTTACTGTGAAAACCACAAATATGTGTGATGAACTGTTTTTAAAACTTTAACTTCAAATAAAAATTGTAAACTTCAAAACATATGCAAATTTTTAACAAAGAACATAGTAATTTACCTCTATTTACATCAAAATGCAGGCAATGGCTCAGGTGTTCTTTGTAAAATTATTTACAAAACACTGTATAGTCTCACAAATGTCACTTTTTATTTATGCCACTACAAAAAAACATGATGTAAATGATGCATGATGTAAAACATGATGTAAAAAACTTGTGTAGATCCTCCTCTATGTCAGTCCATGTGTAATTTTTCCATAATTCTTTGTTTTTTGCAGCATTTTTGTTAGTGTAACTGCAGATTGTGCTGACAGTGTCTATGGCACAAAAAAAAAAAAAAATTAAAATGCCTCAACATGAACCCCTGGTGGTCTCTGAGGGTGAAACCTGCTAACTGCTGCAGCTCTGTCAGCTTCAGTCTCCCATGCAGAGCTCTGAGCGCATGTGTGGCTCTGCACCCTTAGCAGCGTTGCTAACTCCTCAGTAAGGAAAGCCTGCTTCATGTCAGAGTCTCTAAACTCCAGAAGAAGTCGATAAAAGTCCCTTTCTTTCTAAAAAAAAGTCGTTAGGGGGTCTGAAAAGTCATTGAATCTAACAACAAAGTCGCTAGGTTTGCAACTACGTGTCCCAGACTGCATCCCTGCTAAGAGTCCCTCCCTCCCTTCTCATGTTGCAGGAAGAACGTAAGCGCCCGCCCCTTGTCAATCAGTCACCATGAAGTTTTCCACCAATAGGAGAGATGTTGTGGTGTGTTTTTTTTTTTCTTTTGGCAAGCCTTTTCCGCCTGTAAGACCTGTCGCTAACCTGCATGCTATGTTTTCCTGTCTCATACAGCGCGATCGAGCGCCGAACGTGATCAAAATAAGCAGAAAAAAAGTATCGCGGACATAATTTATCATAACTCTGGTTTTATTTGGCCTATCAACAAAATTTAAAAACTGGTATATAGGTTGAGGTCCTCACTTTTGAGATAAGTTGAAACGGAGAGTTAACGAGGCTCCGTCTTGCAGCTACATCCGGTTAAATATGTCATGTGACTTGAAAGCTGGGGAGCGTCAATCGAATCGAATCAAACCTAACTCTCAGATGAATCTTCAAAATTCACCTCAGAAATATGCTTATTATTCTTCTCAGAGTACTGCAGGATACACACACACACACACACACAGACACACACACACACACACACTCAGAGTCTGTTTTTTAGCACCTGCAAAAACATGCTATCTACATATTTGACAAGAATGCAGAGACTTCCTTTTGCCCCTGAAAAAAAATCAAATTTCAAACACAACGTGACTGCTCATTTCTCCAAAAGACAACCATGAAGCTCCATCCAAACCTGAAGCAGGCAGTTGGTGCATGTGTACAGTAACCTGAGGGGAGTGAGGTGACTGCTTCTGAGGAGAAAATGAGCAGTGAAGATTCACCTTGGAGCTAGAACAGGGACGTGCACATGATTATACAGGGGCAGGGGCTCAAGTTTTTTCCAGTCGTTTATACAATATGGAAATTAATGTGAAATTAAAAAACAAAGTATTAATAGAAAGGTAATGACTGTCCTGTGTAGGTGACAGTGATATCCAATAGGCTAGGCACTCACGAGGCTGGCTGTGGCAAGTGTAAGTGAAAGCAACACGCACTGGCAGGAAGAACAGCAAACGCCGATGAAGGAAAAGGGTCTTTGCAGTGATGGGCGTTACCAGGGAGGACGATGGCCAGAGGACGCGACGCGAATGGGACGGGGAGGCAGCGCGTTGGGGGGGGGGCGCGACACAGCTCGGGCCCGCCAGTGCCCTAACGGGGCCCTAGTTATTATTTTTCCTCCGCTTTAAACTGGAAAATGGCCCACTTCCCACTGGCGAAAACTAACTCCTCCGAAGGCTTTCGTTCCACCGCCAACAAATTTGCTCAGGCCAATCTACACCCCATGGCCATTCAAAGTTGTACAAATCATGACGCTGCACTCCACGGTTTAGGTTCTAGGGGGCGCCAAACATAACCCAAAAATCCACATTCTTAAAAGTCTTATAACTTTTTATTTTTGTCCTCACTGGCCTCCAAGTTCTCTAGGATGATGCAATGTCCAGCCATCAACACATTTGTGAAGGAATTTTTACTCCCCAAAAGAGCGCCCCCCCATGGCAGGAGAAAAAAGTCCATTTTTTCTTGTCCCCTAAGGCGAAAATACACATTGTTGAGTGTCACGCCTGTACGCTTTGTCATTTTGACACAAAATTTGACAATTATGTGTATCTCAATAAGATCTACAAAAAAGTCAATGTGCGCGTATCGTTAAAATGTACGGTTAAAGGGCTATTTCGCATTTTTTGCCGATTCGCACACATTGGAATGTGGCTAACTCCTCCTAAGGCTTTCGTCCCACTGACACCAAATTTGCTCAGGCAAATCTACACCCCATGGCCATTCAAAGTTGTAAAAATCATGATGCTGCACCCCACAGTTTACGTTCTAGGGGGCGCCAAAGAGGACCCAAATATCCACATTTTTAAAAGTCTTATAACTTTTTATTTTTGTCCTCACTGGCCTCCAAGTTTTCTAGGATGATGCAATGTTCAGCCATCAACACATTTGTGAAGGAATTTTTTCTCCCCAAAAGAGCGCCCCCCCCATGGCAGGAGAAAAAGTTAAGTTATTCCTGCCCATCGCTCAATGGCTCAAACGCATTGCTCTCTCGGCAAAACTGAAAGGAGGAGCAACTTGCCATTTGGATATATACTTGCTGTGTTTGTGCCCTCACTCATGGTCCAGACTTTTTTCAAAAAGGACATGGAGTTTGTCTGCAGCAAGCGTTTTGGTAGAAACTGCGCCTCCCATTCATTATAATGGTAAATGACCACAGACAAGTGCGCACACCATCTTAGGACCTTGAGTGTGACGCGATCGGGAGGGGTAGGCGGTCTCGCTTGGGGCGGTGCGACACGGCTCGGGCCCGCCAGTGCCCCAACGGGGCCCTAATTGTTTTTGTCCTCACATCCTAGTTTTCTAGGATGATGCAATGTTCAGCCATCAACACATTTGTGAAGGAATTTTTTCTCCCCAAAAGAGCGCCCCCCCATGGCAGGAGAAAAAGTCAAGTTTTTCCTGCCCATCGCTCAATGGCTCAAACGCATCGCTCTCTCTGCAAAACTGAAAGGAGGAGCAACTTGCCATTTGGATATATACTAGCTGTGTTTGTGCCCTCACTCATGGTCCAGACTTTTTTCAAAAAGGACATGGAGTTTGTCTGCAGCAAGCGTTTTGGTAGAAACTGCGCCTCCCATTCATTATAATGGTAAATGACCACAGACAAGTGCGCACACCATCTTAGGACCTTGAGTGTGACGCGATCGGGAGGGGTAGGCGGTCGCGCTGGGGGCGGCGCGACACGGCTCGGGCCCGCCAGTGCCCAAACGGGGCCCTAGTCTTTGATTGACACCTAATACAGCCTATTGGCGTTCAGGGATTGCTTATCACCTGGAGGATACGCCGTTTGACGCACGTCATCACAGCCACTCTTGCCGACTCTCCCACCGAATGCGCACAACTGCGAAGCGCTGGTTTCAGGAAATGAAGAAAAATCCCGAAAATACTGAGAGCTTTTTGGCTTGAAATCCGTATACAGGCGGAAGGTGGAACCAAGTTGTCCATAGTATATACAGTCTATGCATTCAACCCAAACCTTGACTCAACAGTGACAACAATGTACCGCCCCCAAAAAACAATAAAGTAAATTAATCTACTACTATCAGAAATAGGACTAATTGATGTTTGGAGACACCTAAAGCCATCAGCCAAAGACTATAGCTTTTATTCATCTCCTCACTCAACATATTCTAGAATAGCAAAGTACATGACTGCCATATTGAAGCAATGGACCTGTCAGATCACTCCCCACTCTATCTGTCCATAAAAAATACCGATAGAAGGAAGCTGTCACATTGGAAATTAAACTCTTGTGAACTCAACAACAACAGGACAGAATAATTTGCAAGAGAAATTAAAGAAAACTTGGAGTTTAACGATAATAGAAAGGTTTCTCCGCCATACTCTAGGATGCCTGTAAGACAGTCATGAGAGGGAGGGTGATTGCAGTGAAGTCTTTTTTGTAGAAACAAAGAGAAGAAAAAATTAACACACTCCAGACTGAACTTAAAAACCCAGAATTTGAACACAAAGAGTCAACAGACCCAAAGGTTAAAATAGAAATAAAGAAGAAAAGGAATCAGATTGAAGAGTTATACTCCCAAGAGATTCAAAAGAAATTAATTTATACAAAACAAAAATACTACTAAGGGGGCAGCAAATATTCAAAACTTTTAGCATACAGGCTAAGAAAACAACAGGCAAACAATGCAATACTCAAGTTAAGGGACCCCAAAACCAAGGTAATTCACTACCAAATTCAGGAAATTAAAGACTGTTTTAAAGCATATAATGAAAAATTATATGCTCAACCTCAGGTTAATACCAACCAGAAAATGGAGTCACTACTTGAACAGGGCTGTCCCCTAAGTCCAATATTATTTGCAATTTTTATTGAGCACAATGGATTAGACAGAACAACAAGATCACAAACATAAACATGGCAGCAGGTGAACAAAAACTGACCCTTTTCACGGATGACGTGCTAATAAGCCTTTCAAATTCGACAGAATCTCTTCCAGAGTTGATGTCTATTTTAGATGAGTACGGGTCATACTCGGGGTCTAAATTAAATAAGAAAAAAAAACCAGGTCCTTAGTTTTCATTTTGATTCTCCTCAAATTCTCTGCTCCATTTACCATCTGGACTGGGACAAAAGTTCTATAAAATACTTGGGAATTCTCCTTCCTTTAGACTTAGCAAAATGAGAAGAAATTAACTATGGCCCCCTCAAAAAAAAAAAAAAAACTATAGCAGATATCAATAGATGGAACTTAATCCTTTACCCAAGTACCAGTTCTTGCATACTTTGATGTTGTAAAATCTTTAAATAAATGTTAAATAAGTCATTTTGTATTGAATTTGTCTAACTTTTATATAGCATTGCTGCTTGTAAGATAAAAATGATCGATTTTACTCTAATAATCAATAGCACAAATTACCCCGGTGTATTCTCTCCAAAAGGCACAATATACCCCACACCGGGAGCAAGTTGTGCCACAAGACCACCTGTTTTTCTAAAGCTATATTTCTCACTTAAACAGTTCATTTACGATCCAAAGTGATTGATCCCAGGGATGCACTACATCCTGAAATATACACTACAGGCCAAAAGTTTGGAAGCAAGGCCATTACAGGCTGAACAGTTGGGAGTAACTTCAAGTTTTTGTTCACAATGCTTTTTTTAAAATCCAGCATGAGTTTTATGTATTTTGGGATGTATTTACTCCATGATCAGATGTTGCTTTCATGGAAATGCACCATTTGACTCCATTTACCTTTAGATATACATTGATGTTAACAGACCATTGCTAAATATATGTCAGCAAAAGAAAATAAGGCCTTAGTTGCAGGGTCTAAAACATTTGCAAGAGTCACAACTTCAGTGCAAAAGCAAAAAAAAACAATTCACTGTTGGATTATTCACTTCAACTTTTTGGCTTTTGAGAGTCTGTATAAAAAAAAAAAATCCTAATAAATCTCAACTGCATCAAACTACTGCAGAAATGGCTAGAAAGAAGCAACTGAGTAGAGAAACAAAAGTACAGATGTGTACATTGAGGAAAGAAGGATGCACAGAATGAGAAAATTGCAAAACGCTTAATGGTGTCTAACAAAGAAGTCCACTACACTCTAAGGAGACTAGAGGAACCTGGAAGTTATGACGATAGAAAAAGGCCTGCACTACTGCACCATGCTGTTCGATCTGGACTCAGACTTGTGGCTCAGAAATTTGTTTTGCAGCAAGACAATGACCCTAAGCATTCTGCCAAGCTCTGTCGGAGTTTCGTAGACAAAAAAGAAGAGGAAGGTGTTCTTCAAAAGATGGTTTGGCCCCCTCAGTCTCCAGACCTTTCTCCAACAGAGCTTGTGCGGGATGAATTGGATCGATCGGTCAGAAAGGCGTGTCCCACGAATCAGCAGTGCCTTTTTAATGAACTTAAGAAAGCTTGGAATGCAATCCATGGAACATACCTGAGAAAACGTGTGGAACGAATGCCTCGTATATGCCAAAATGTTGTTAAAGCCTGAGGAGGTTACTATAAAGAAAGCAAAGTCTAAGCAACTATAACTCAAATACCTAATAATTATAGTCAAAATGTCTCCTGATAAATTACTCTTTACACAATAGTCATGTTTATTGTGTTGCAAAGTATATTAATGAAGCTATGATCTTTTTTTGTACAAATCTGATCTTGCTTCCAAACTTTTGGCCTGTTGTGTATGTACAGTACATATTTTAGTTAGAGGTATTACAGTCATCCACTTGCTTTAAAGACACTTTAAGTAAAAACTGGCACAACTCACCCCACTCTTATGGAGCCAGATCAGGCTCAAAAGTATTGAAAAGTAGTGTAAGTGAAAAAATAAAAAGTGAAGTGAAAAAATAAGATTTGAACCTGAAAAAAAATAAAATGGTACCTGAAAGTCTTGAATTTCGAAATTGAACTTTGAAAAATCCCATAATGCATGAAAAAAATCTGTTCAAATGTAACTTTGATTCTGTTTTTTAATACTTTTGAATAAATTACTTTTTTCAATTTTTCACTTCAATGTTTATTTCGATCTTGGAGTACTTTTTTTTTCGATTGAATTTTATTTATTTATTTCAGATTCAGATCTTATTTTTACGGATTCAAAACTTTTTTTTTCGGTTTCAGATTTTTTTTTTTCAGATTCAGATCTTCTGTTTTCGGATTCAACTTGAAAAGTTTCAGGTTCACTTTTGACCCTGTTTTTCCGTGGGGGCGGGCCTCGACTGAGAGGGGCGCGGTCTGCCATGAGTGACAGGCCTCCCCCTCCTTCCCCACCCCATCACCCTGCGTTCAGGAAGTGGCATGAATACACATTAGCTTTGCCTACAATTAGGCTGTACTGGCTGAATGAGATCGTGTTGGTTCGTTCCACTTTAGTGATGCAATATAAACTGTGATTCATAAAAAAGCTCTATTGATAGTAAGTACTAAAAAAAATATATCTACTCATGCCATCCTGTCGATTTTTAGTAATCAGTGTTTCAGTGTCGAACTCTTTCCTTTCTGCAGTGCAGTGATACTTGCACAAGCGCAATCGAATATGCAGGGGGTGAAGCGATTTTTGTCACATGGACCAATAGGAGCCGAGTCTCGTTGCCATAGTATCAGAAATAAACAAACATGGCGACGACCGCATCTCGCAGCGAGACAAGCGAAGAGGAAGAAAAGAAAAGGAACAAAAGAAAACCGCCTTAAAAAGTGCATAAAAAAGGAGCGAAACGATGCTATATGCGTCTGTCATCTGTCCAGAGTGAAGACGTTCTCGACTTTACAAGGACACGTTGGGAAACTTACAGAACTAGTATTAGAAAGTGGCTTTCTCTACAGGGTGAGACAAAGGACCTTGCAGAAACTTATAAACTTTGCGTTGATATCAACTTTGACAACGTTCCTGATGACGCTGGGTTTCACATGACATGCTACCAGCGATTTATTTGCAAAAGGGGTTTGAGAAACATGAACGTGATGCAGCCACGGGTCAGTCAAACCCTTAGCGCAGCATCGCCGATGCATCCACGCGAAAGAAACTTCGCTCGAGGTCATAAGCTGTATTGGGACAAAGGAAAAAGTGCCTAGATGAAAAGCGTCAAATGTTTCCTCACTGAAGTGGAACGAGATTCACTTTCTAAGCACTTTTTCCTCTGTCCCAATACAGCCTATACACCGCAGAAAGGAAATAGTTCGACACCGAAACACTGATTACTAAAAATCGACTGGATGGCATGAGTAGATATATTTTTTTTAGTACTTACTATCAATAGAGCTTTTTTATGAATCACAGTTTATATTGCATCACTAAAGTGGAACGAACCAACACGATCTCATTCAGCCAATACAGCCTAATTGTAGGCTAAGCTAATGTGTATTCATGCCACTTCCTGAACGCAGGGTGATGGGGTGGGGAAGGAGGGGGAGGCCTGTCACTCATGGCAGACCGCGCCCCTCTCAGTCGAGGCCCGCCCCCACGGAAAAACAGGGTCAAAAGTGAACCTGAAACTTTTCAAGTTGAATCCGAAAACAGAAGATCTGAATCTGAAAAAAAAAAATCTGAAACCGAAAAAAAAGTTTTGAATCCGTAAAAATAAGATCTGAATCTGAAATAAATAAATAAATAAAATTCAATTGAAAAAAAAAAAGTACTCCAAGATCGAAATATACATTGAAGTGAAAAATAGAAAAAAGTAATTTATTCAAAAGTATTAAAAAACAGAATCAAAGTTACATTTGAACAGATTTTTTTCATGCACTCTGGGATTTTTCAAAGTTCAATTTCGAAATTCAAGACTTTCAGGTACCATTTTATTTTTTTCAGGTTCAAATCTTATTTTTTCACTTCACTTTTTATTTTTTCACTTACACTACTTTTCACTACTTTTGAGCCTGATCTGGCTCCATACACTCTCCCCTATTGTGTTATGGCAGTCGTTATTTCCCTGTTTCTCCAGCTGCTCTTGTCATTCAGGCTTACATTGGCAAACGATGTTGTAATTGCAGTCATCGTTGTTTCTAAAATGTGCCTGAGACTCATGTTCACTAAACTTTTCACCAAACTTTTTCGTCATGCACTCCTCATGCAAGTGCCTGTGGTGATTTATTTAAGTGCCAGTATAAGTTGGTTGTGTTTCCACTGGATGTAGCAACTTTAGCACAACACAGTACCCGTTTCTAGTGCACATCTGCAGCCTCAAATCAAAAATACTCCCAAAGGACTGCCGTGACACTTTTCTTGGGGATTAAATCACCCAACTCTGCTCTGGTTGCGCTGAAGCCATTTTAAAAACACGTTTATGTTTCAAAACATGGAGAGCGGGTTAATACTAATTATTTGTGACCTGTCCATGAGTAGCATATGCCGCTTCTGATGGGTGAGTCTGGCAGGACAGTAGGGAGACAGCATGTATATGTAAAGTTGTTTACATAACTAATTCTGGGTCAGTCAGGAGCACAGCAAAAAATAAAAAATAAATGAAAAAGCAGCTTTGGCAGTTATATGATCGTGCTGTCTGAAATCGCCATTTTGACCAAAAGATGTTAAACAATTCAGCCCTACTCCAGATGCACTAATTGGTTGCCATGGTGAAGGTAAATGCATCAGTACAGCAGGAGAAAGGGTGCTCAAGAGTCTTCCTCTGTAAGTGCTGTCCCTATTATAAGGAACTTGTGAGAACCATAAGACTCTGCTGAACAAGATACAATTTTTTTGTTTGTAGAGCCAAAAATGTCTTAACGAAGACAAGCTAAAAACATGGCAAGTTTATGTTTTCCCTGAAAATCCTCCTCTCACTTTTATATTGGAGTCAGTTCAGTGTGTGGAAGTGGTGTGAGTGGGTAAATGTGACATCTAATGGGAAAGCACTTTGAGTAATAAGAAGCCCAGCAAATGGGCTCTATGAAAAAAGCCTATGTACAATTTATCACACGACACAAAGGGCAGCTGTTGCGAAGTAGATGTATGTGGTGGTAACAACTGAATATGTTTAGGTGCTTTGAGTGGTCAGAGGATGAGGAAAAGTGACATAAATAAAGTCCATTAAACTAAGTGCAAGAATTTGAAAGGGCTTAAATTACCGCTTCAAATATATTATTTTGCTTTCTTAGCATGTTGTAAAGTTAAAACCTAAAAACAATCTAAACTTTTTTAGGTCACTTTGTTTGATACAGTTTGCACCTTATGCTGTACGCAAGCTCACCTTAGCTGAGTGACGGGTAGAGGACTAGAGAAGACCTCTCCTAAATAAATGTTTCCCACCAGTGTATCTTAAGAGGCTGTCTTTGCGTCATAGCAAATCTATTCCTGTTAATGACCTGAAAACTTTAATAAATAGTGCAGACAGGCCACCTTTGCTATTGATTTGTGATACTACAGCATATTTTAGCCAAGCAGCAAAGCCAGACAGGACAGCAGCATGAGGCACTCCACATGCGCTTACAAGGACTTACCCCAAAATGATACTAGGGGACTGGCAGGAAATATTATACAGAATATTATATTCTATGTAAAATCCTGTTCACGCACACAGCCCAATTTGGTAATTTCTGAAATTTTTCAGGAACTGTGTGCATATCCGAAAGGGGCAAACAGTGGCGGTTCTAGACCAAATTACTCCCCGGGCGAGCAAGAAAGCTCTCTTTTAGTTTTGCGAACCTTCATCACATTTTTGAAAACCTTGAACAAACAAACTCAAATGAAATAAAGCGGCTGTATAAATAAAAGTAAAGGCTCTGCGCTGGAGAATGACAAATAATTTGCTTTCTGTAAAACAAGTGGCAGTCATGATAAAGTGTCCATTCAATACAAATGTAAATATAGAAAATAAGGTGTTGAAAGGGTATACAGCTGCCCCAGTATAGTGCCAGTACAAAAGCAGAACTAAAAACTAAAAAATGAATAAATAAATACGTGGCTGACAGTGTGTTCATCTCTGTTCTCACCCAAAGTCATGCAACACTCACAGAAAACGCTGATACTGTGAGCCAAAGCACTCCATATGAAGAGGTTGTTCACACTGCTGGATGTTTCTCCTCTGAAGCTGCTCTCTGCCTCAGTCATTGTTTACTTTACTCATGAAGCTCATCAAGCACGTAGCAAGATCCGAGCATGAACCCGAGCGCTTTATTCGCCTATCAAAGGCAGACGGGTAAGGTGATTTCATTCACCGCGACTCCGGAAATGATTAAAAAACTACAAAATGACGTATCCGCGCTCCCGCTGACATGCGTACACAGAGCAGAGCTGTCCCCCCGCGACTCTCTCCCCGCCTCGTCTCACACAGTCTGTCAACCTCTGTGCAGCACCTTCGGAGCAAGCAGGGGCGCCTACAGCAGCGGGAGGGCGCCAATTTGACAACAAGAGTTAATACAAAACCGCTTTGCGGTTAAGATTTATTATTATTATCTTTTATTTTATTTTTTTGGAAGTGCTCGTGCCGCCCCCCATGAGTCATGACACAAATGCCGCCCCGGGCGGCTGCCCTGTTCGCCCGTGCCTAGAACCGCTACTGGGGGCAAAACCTAGCTTTGACCAAGAAAATAGAAGGGAAAAAATTGAGTAAATGACATATCCTTTGCAAGTGATGTCAAAATGTCCATGAAAATTTCCAAAAGGTGAAAGGTTAACTGAAATGTATAAGTTATCGTATAAGTTTTATTAGAACCAATCAAAAGCAAAATTGTTTCTTCCTTTTTAACATTCACTGGTGTCTGCAAAGATATTAATAAAACAAAAATACTGAATCAAACCTATTGGTGCTATGCAAAACAAAAACTCTCTCCAATGTAATCAAGCAAATAAAAGACCGGAGTGCATTGTTTGACAAATCAATACACTGTAAAAAATGTTTTGGCTTGTGTCATTGATCTTTTCAAATACAATTTAAACATTTGAAATGCTTTATAAAAGGGCCAGTGCTCATGCCAAATCATCATCATAAACTTATTAAAGACCCACTCCAATGAAAATCATGTTTTTTTCATGTTATTTATATGTTTATATGGCATTTTTCTGATGCTACAGGACATATCATGAGAAAACTAAATGCGAAATTGCTTTTCTGAGTATTTCTTCACTCAAATCACTGTGAATCTCTGGCAGACTTAAACGACAGGTTCAGAAACATTGAGAATTCATAAGTAACCAATCCAAGCTCCACCCCCGGAGCCCCACTATGCAGGCCAAGCATGTGCGTTGGTGGATTGCAATGCTCGTAAGAAAGCTAATTGTGGTATTAGCTTTCAACGTGTCCCTAAAGATGTTAGTGTCCAAGAGCTCAATAGCTCCTATGTTACCTGCCACTTTGACTACACCTGCAATGTTAGGCTGCAAACTAACGTGAAGACGAGTGTGCAGAGCAGCGCTGTCTCCGCCCACAACTCAGAGGTGAATTGCTATTAATCTACTGGAGCTCCCCAGAAGAAAAGTGGAAAACATGATTTTGGCTAAAAACTTCAAAATCACAATTTAAAGACCACTGAGAACACTTTAAGTAGCAAAAAAACAAAACGATCAGAGTTGGACTTTAAGAACTCAAGTCTGGGCAAGGCTTACTTGTTAAAGCCAGCTTCTCAAAATTATGTAAACAGCAGAGTTACTCATTGCGCGGCTCCCGAGCCACATGCAGCTGGTCAAGCAATAATTGGTGGCTCGCATCCTATGAGGTAACACAGCCAATAATTTTTTTTCAAATGTGCTACATAAACATACAACACTGCAAAAACGCAAACATCTGAATTATACTTCTCCCTTCACCCAAATAATGAAGGTGCAAGAAGTATTTCAAGCCTTAATGATGCTTTCTAAAGGGGACATTGTCAAACCTGGCAACACAGCCTGCATGCCATGTGGCATTGTTACAACACTTGACTGCAGCGCAAGTTTGCAGGCAGGCTACGTTAGCTCCCCTAGCCAGCATGAAACACAAAACTGACTGTTTATTAATAATGAGCTCAAAAACCAGAAGGACAGACACACAGTGTTGTAACGAATAGAGGCCTGGATGAGGAAAATTAGTCTGAGGAAGCAGCAAACAAAAATCAGCGGAAAAACACTAGAGAGGGGACGAGCAGGCAAACAGCAGGTGTAACTTTACCTAGTAAGAAACTAAAAATACCAAGAATACAAGATGAGCACGGAAAATTTCAAGACAAGTGGACAGACAAATTCTTATTTGTTTTGCATGCCATGAAACCTGTGTTTAATATGCAAACAAACCCATGCCGGTTTTAAACAAAGCAACTTGGAGTGCCATTTGAAAACGACGCATCCAAAATTCCATGAAAGTTACCTGCGTGGCAGTGAACTAAAAAAGAGGAAAAAAGCACAGCTCACAGCTTCACTTCACAGCAAAAATCCTCTCCACCAGACAATCTCCACTGCAGAACGTTCAACAAAGACGTCTTATGAAATAGTGTGGATGTTGGTGCGGGCCAAAAAACCTCATCTTACGCTCATCTTAATTGCCTAACCGTGATTGCAACAACAAACTACAAATGAAACATGAAGAGAGTCAGGGACATGCATGCCAGGTTCCGCTCTTCCCAGTATTAAGGTAAATCTGGTCTTAAATGAAAATGTATTAGCTGTGTTATTTCTTTTTTTGTGGGATGTCCAATTTATATGTAGAAATGCACATTTGCAAAGGTGACTTTGTATGTTGTCGTAAAAGTAGCTCTTCTTTTGATTTTGCACTGCCAATGTGGCTCTTGTGAAAAAAAATTGTGAGGAACAATGTTTTAGAGCATGTAATGGAAGCAGCACAACAGCACTTAGCTGACAGGAATAAAAGGATTTGCCAAGTTGTTACCTACCTGCTTAGTTGTTTTTTGAGGCTCGGGACTGTCTGGAGAAAACATATTTCACAGTTATTTACTGCTAAATTTACTTTTGCATCATTGTGTTACTTTAAAACACTGTGTGTGGTGGCTAATGTCTACCTTTTTGTCTAAGTATTTTTGCAATTCCTGAATCAGGAGTGTCAGGAGAGCCTTCCTCCACAACCTGGATCTAAAAATTACAATGACAGACAGGAAAAAGGCTTTGATCAGGACATGGTAGACCACAAAGGAATCGCCTGTGTACATGAAAGACAGAATTTTTTAATACAGGATTATACAAAAGTACAAAGTTTTACAGTAATTAATTCTACAAGTCATTTTTTATATGTTGCAGAATTAAAAAGTAAATAATATTCATGCCTGCTTACTTAATAGTCCACAGGACAAACCAGTTTTCAGTACCACTCAAGGTGCCAAAACTTGGCAATCATTTTTTAAAAGGTCCACATATGTAGTTAACATTTTGGCATGATAGACTTTCCTGAGTAGCAGCTGTGTCACAGGTATCAGCTCATAAAATAAACCACCCCCTGATGAAAAGTTCAGGCTGGTGTACATCCTGGTTTGGGCTCATGTTCAGGATAATTGTAGTGTTTTACAGTACTGCCTCATACCAATTACAAACCACTGACGTCTACTTGAAAAAAGAGACCCTGTACATGAGATTTTCGCCTGATTCATTCTTCTAACTTGTGGCTCACAATAATATCTCACTACAAAATAGTATGGGCACATACATTTTCTGAGACCTTTGAGTCATTGAGTGTTCCATATCCATGTTTTGTGTCACTGGTATTCCTATATGCCACAGGGTTAAAAGAAAAATAAGTAATTAAGGGAAAAATTGAGGAAAAATGTATGTCACTAACTGCTTGAAGAGACAAAGTTACATCTCAGTCTGTCAGAATGAATCACCGTTGGGCTTAAATGAAAAGTCAGTGGGTTTTGACACCTTGAGCGGTACCAAAAAGTGAATTTTGGGTCTTTGCACCATACACTGGCAACTGAACAAAGTTGATGCATTACTCTTCCTTTCAAGGGGGTGTATGAGTAATATGAAAACCATACTCTCAACCTAACCCTTATCCATGTAAGTCCAGTAGTTTATAGGATCACACAAGTGTAATTGAAGGCTTCTTCACCATCAACCAACCCATGCCCTTTCAACTTTAAATCATTAACTCATTTTTAACATGCATTATTATTCATTTCTTTTCTTTCCTTTAATGTTTTTTTTTTGTAGTCTTTACTTATTCTATTGTTCTTAGAACTAGAGCTGTTTTTGAAATTGTTTCCATCTTCTAATGATATGTATCATTTTACCTCTTTGGTTCTCTTGGTCTAGATTATTGCTGTTAGGTTCTTGTATTGCTGGATGCAGCCTGGGTTAATCACATTTGTTAGGGTGCAAAATGGATACATTTTTTTAATCATCATTTTTATCATCATTATTCTTGTCACTTACCTGAGACTGTCTGACAAATATCCCATGATTTTCTTCACAAGTAAAGTAGCGTTTCCCTTGAACAGTGCCATCATTCTTGCCTTTGGGCTCATTCAGTATGACACCTACCCACTTTCCAGAGGCAAAGAGGGTGGCACCAATATAGGCAACAGTACCACGCTGACCCTTCCCTATCACCTCCACAACAGATCCAATCTAAGACAGGAAAAGCAGAGAGAGGAGGGTGGTGGACATAATTAATGAAGTGAATGTAATACATGCATTTTCAACTTATTTTTTAATGAGTTGATGAGAAAAAATGAACCACCTTTGGAGGTTTTCCACTCTCCACTGTTCCTGTGCTGCTCATTTTGGTGATATGTGGGCTTGTCAGCTGAAAATTTTGAGACACATATTGAGAAGTAGGGACAGATGTAAGAAAATGAAGAAAGGAAAGATGTATTTGCTACCTAGCCTGCACAACACCTCAGACAGAGTGGCACAAAGCACAAGTCCTTGTGCACCAAGTCATATGCTCTGGACGTCAACATACTTGGTAAACAATCTAATAAACAAGCCACATCACTGCCCTGTTTACTCAAAGATACTCATTCAAGACAAACTAGAGCTGCAGTGGAGGCTAATCTATTTATGGAGCTGTGATGACATGTGACTTCACAGCTTGAGAATTCTTAACCACAATGCAACAGAAAATTTATCTCAGTGCTTTATAGTGGACATAGAATCGTGTTTTTTGTTGTTGTTGTTGTTGTTGTTTTATCTCTAGGAGATAAATAGGACATATGTTTAACCAAGATAGTTTGTCTGCTTACAATGTTAAATGAAGGTACATTATTGCTAGCAGATTAACAATCAGGACAAAGACAAGGACCCCTACTCTTACTATATCTATCTCTACATAATCTATACAAATTCATTTGATAAGGTTCCAATGTGCAAAAAAGTCGTAACTTAATCCTCCTTACGGTGATCTCAACAAAAAATTTAAGAGCAAGACAATCATGTTGTGACTTAAGTCAGCCCATTTCTCAAATTTCCATTCAAAAAACGTACATTTTCCATTATATAAGTGTGATACTTACCCGTGGAGTATACGAATGTCGCCTGTTCAAAGCCATGACAGTAGCTAATACAAGATTGTTTGACCTTCACCAAAGAGAAAATTTAAGCTACTTTTTACCTTTAATCCGCTACAACTTTTACAGGAACAAGAAAATCCAAAAGAAAATCATGACAAAGGGGAGGGATCTTTAGGACACCACAAAGCGTCACTGCTTACTGCCTAGAGCAGGTAGTGCAAACTATCTCTCCCAACTTCCAACAAAAGCCTCATGGATACTCCATGCGCTTCAAAGTGCGAATTAAACAGTAACAAAATAGAGAATTTGAAGTCCCACATGATGGAAGTCTATTTCAGCAGCATTTAGTTGTTAGAAATATTTCTTTACACTTCACGTGTATGCAACGCATCTAACCTGCCATTACCACTTATCATCCAAAGCATTGCCAAATAACCAAACTAGTCTAATCTATTTTCGTCATGTGTGGTTTGGTGGAGGACTTAGTGCCCAATGGTTGTCCATTTGTTGGCTCTTTGTTATGAAACAACACATTTGCAACGGAGACCGCACTTCCGAAGTGTGCAACGTAAAAGGACTAAAAAGCTTCGAAAAAGGAGGCAGTTAGTGGTCCTGTAATGGCATTAAACACAAGTCAAGTCAGTTCAGGTCAAGACAGGCAGCCATATAAAAACACGTTCAAGCAGATAACCCTTTTGTTTACTTGCCTCTCCCAGTTAAGCGACTGTGTGATCAACAATCGCAACTTTGCGAGCAAGCTAACGCGTTTGTTCGTGAAATTAAAGCAAGTACTGGTCGACGAGGCTTAGAGTCGGCTGTCGTATTTTGCCATTGGTTCGCCTGGCATTGACGGTATATATATATATATTTATCAAACAGAAAAAATATTCTTTTCATATGTGCCCTGGGATAATAGTAGATATAGAAAATGTGAACCTGCTTCTTCTTCTACTTTTTCTTTTCCACCTCATCCTTCTTCTTCTTCTTCTTCTTCTTCTTCTTCTTCTTCTTCTTCTTCTTCTTCTTCTTCTTCCTGGAGTTTAACAGCGGCTGGCCAACTTTACTATGGGCATTACTGCCAGCTACTGACGCGGGTTGTGGATCACGCTCCAATATCCCTTCTTCCCGTCATTTTCCTAGCCCGAAGTGAATGTGGGATATGTACAATTAATCTATACAAATTAATACAAATTATAAAATATACAGTATTTTCACTGCACTAATCTGAAAACAAAAAACTCAGTCAAGAATATAGGACATCAAAAATAAATCAATAGATGACCATATGAAACACCTTCTGGAAGATCAATAATAAAGTTATTGGGTCACCATGGATGAAATTTCCGATGTTCACGGAACCTAGTCTTATATTATTGTAAATGTGGCGCCTAGGTATGATACCACTTAAAGATTCATGAATTATTTCATATTTCACATTTTTGTGACATTTGGCCAAAACAGAAGCCAGTATTTCATTGTTCAGTAATGTGATGCCTGGCATGATTACACTGGTTTTAACACTTGAGGGCACCATAGAGTCATTTTTTGTGTGTGGAGTCTCCCTTTCCCTTCACAGAGGTTGGGTGGCTCCTCTTCAGCTTAAGCTTCTCCAGCACCTTTGCACCTGCTCCTGATCAACCTAATCACCTTCTGCTCCTAAGCTCTGCTCTCAGACAGCTCATTGCCAGAGTATTCACGCTTCAAAAGTGGCATCTTGGCCCTTCAAGTGAGTAATTGAAAGTTCTGAGATTTTTCAGAGAATGTTTAGCCTTGTATTAACCCCTGCTGTCTTCAGCCGCCAGCACCTGCTCAACCTCTGTCACAACTGCCATGCTCTTTATTCAGACCCACTCACCTGTTGTCTCCTCCAGCTCACACACTGCCTCTCCCCCTCACCACGGATCTCCTCCACTCATTGGACCCCAGAACTCTCACCATTCCACACCAATCTTTGTTAATAGAATCAAGCTTCCTCTGCCTCCCCTGCCTGCTTTTTGGTCCCTTCAAAAAAACAAACCTTAACAATGCCTCACCAGTACGGCTACAAATAATTAAAAGATCCTTATGACAATTTGGAAGTAGTGATAAAGCGACCCATTTCATTATGGGGTGCCGTTTGTAAAGCAGCCCATTATAAAAACAACAGCAAGATTTGGTCATATTTAGCAAAACAACAGCAAGATTTAGTCACATTTAGCTTCAAACAGCACTTAAAAAAGTGATGTGAATTTTCGGCAGTCATTTTTTTGCACATTTACAACAACATTTAAATACTAAAACTAAATGTTAAATGTTAAATCTAAATGCTAAATATAAATCTTAAATATATATGTTAAATCTAAATGTTAAATCTAAATCTAAATGTTAAATCTAAATCTAAATGTTAAATCTAAATGTTGAATCTAAATGTTAAATCTAAATGTGTTGGGCGAAACTAAATATTTAGCTAATATGCAAATTCACGGTCGGAAACCGGAAGTGCCAAAATTAAAGCTCCAGAAGGTCATATTGATGATTCTTGTGTCGAAGAAAACGAATTAAAACCAATTTAAGGGGGGAACAAATACTTGGGGTGACGTTTCGTGTTAATAACTACCTACAATAGCGACAGCAACAACAAAAACTTTATTAGAAAGACTCGAGTTTTCAGTGTCGCTTCTCCGTATGGCGCGGACACTGTACGAACACACGCACACACACATGCAGGCGCACACGTCATACTACTCCATGGCACCTTATCTATTCATGAAGTGCTTTGGCCATACGGGTAACGCGGACGACTGGGACGCAGGAAGCCAGGGTTCGAAACCATACACTGCATATAAGTCTATATGTATAGCAGTGGCGATTGCTCTAAGACTTAAAATGTCACCCCCCAAAAAAAAGAAAAAGTGGTGAAATACGTACGGCTGTGTGTACATTTCATTAACTAAATACGCACTAGAAAGCCTTCATCTTTTGTTCAGACACTGTGATAAGAAGCTGATAATTACAGGTAACCGGCATAACTTCGTTCTCATTCATCCTCGCAGCGCCTCAGCGCTTTAAACAGCCGGACGCTGGGCTTCTGCTGACTTCAATGTGGAAGCTAAAAGTGGGTTGTTCCAGCAGCGAAACTAGACGCTCATTGGATAAATGCTGGGCTTTGTCCCGCCCATCGGAAGCCCAGCTTCACTGGAGTTCTATGGCGAGAGGGCGGTCCCGACTGTCTCCCGGACGCCAAGCTTCTGCATCCATGATTGGATGAGCTGTCTGAGGCTAAATCCTTTTTTGATTGACAGCTAAACAAGCGAATCAGCGATCTTGAAGAATAAAACATCTACCAGAGCATTTTCCAAGTTATTCATTCCGTTGTTCTTAACTGCTCCGGAGACTTTACCGATCCTCAGCGACTTCTGTCTTTGTTAAAAACGACTGCCGTTGTGTTTGGCGACTCTGTTCTGTTACATACTAATAAACAAATACAATTATGATGTAGGCCAGAAAAATGAGCTTCCCCTCCTTGAAAGACCAGCAGCCACCACTGATGTATAGACTATATATATGTATCTTATATACAGTCTATGGTTCGTACAGTGTCCGCGCCATACGGAGAAGCGACACTGAAAACTCGAGTCTTTCTAATAAAGTTTTTGTTGTTGCTGTCGCTATTGTAGGTAGTTATTAACACGAAACGTCACCCCAAGTATTTGTTCCCCCCTTAAATTGGTTTTAATTCGTTTTCTTCGACACAAGAATCATCAATATGACCTTCTGGAGCTTTTATTTTGGCATTTCCGGTTTCCGACCGTGAATTTGCATATTAGCTAAATATTTAGTTTCGCCCAACACATTTAGATTTAACATTTAGATTTATATTTAACATTTAGATTTAGATTTAACATATATATTTAAGATTTATATTTAGCATTTAGATTTAACATTTAACATTTAGTTTTAGTATTTAAATGTTGTTGTAAATGTGCAAAAAAAATGACTGCCGAAAATTCACATCACTTTTTTAAGTGCTGTTTGAAGCTAAATGTGACTAAATCTTGCTGTTGTTTTGCTAAATATGACCAAATCTTGCTGTTGTTTTAATAATGGGCTGCTTTACAAACGGCACCCCATATTTCATTGATTGAAGTACATTTACTAATCTATTCCTTTTGTACAGGGGACAAAATTTGGAAATCTAAAGGTCCTTACACACCGGGCGAGAATTCGCCAAGCGAATTATTCGCCTTTTTTTAAAACAGCTTAAAGTCAATGCAAGTTTCCACACCGGCGGCGATTTCCCCGCGGGCCGAAAAGCCGCTTTTATTTTTTCGCTCCTGTGTCGAATTTTTCGGATATTCGCAGGCGAATATCTGGACCTGCTAGACCTCTGGCCAATCAAAAGTCATGTTGTTGATGACATCACAGACCCATACGGCTGGAGGAGAGGGAGAAGTTTGAGATTATGAAAACGCAGAGAAAGACAGCTGAGGTGCATCCAAAACTCTTTCTAATTACTAATGAAATAGTTTTCTCACAAGATGACACTCTCATGTCTTCCTTAGGAGACAGGTGTCATGCACACTTCACAGGGTGACCTCCTCATCATTTTGACATGCCGATGATCTGCAGCTAAAGATCACTGCTCAGCCTTCGCCTCTCTCTCAGCTTTTCCTCCTCTTTCTCCCTCGCTCATAATGCTTGACATGTCAATCAGCAGCCGTTCACACGACACACACCATCACTGGCACCAAGAGCAACGATGGGAGAGAGGCTGGTAATTGCGGTACAGGACCACCCCGCATCTCCTCTCATCCGTGCCGCAAAGCGACTTTATTAATTCGCTTTGCGAAATTTATACGCATATTCGCTTCGCGCCCGGTGAAAGCGATTTTTCGGACCAACGAATATTTTCGCATTTTCGTCTCGCTTTTTCGCTTCGCTCCGCAAATTCGCCGGTGTGTAAGGACCTTAAAAGAATGCTTGATAAAATTCTGAAACAAAGCCTACATTGACAGGTGATCTATAATTGTCTTTTACTTTGCTAAGGTTAAGTTTCTACTTTTTCACTGAACTAATGCAACTTAGGTCAACAACACACACACAAATTTCATAGCACATTTTAGTAAGACCATGTGAACAGTGGTTGGCCTGTTCATGTTGGAGATAACTGGCCAATGATACTCAGTTGAGTTTAAGTCCAACTTCTGTCCAGAGCAATCCTTCCCCAAGAAGATAAATGTGAATGATACCCAGAAATGGGCATTCGTTGTGATGGAGATCCTAGGAGCTCTGTCATCCCAAGTCCAGCACTGTACAACTTTTCATGTGACCTAAATAAATGTTATATCTAAGAACTGAAGAGTTCTCTGGTTGTCTTTGAGCAGTCAACTAAAGAACCAATTCTTACACTGACTTAAACTGTTTATCCTCAATTGTTACTGTTTTATTGCATTTTCCAAAGCTTGTGGCCTGCTGTAATTTTTAATTTCTCAAAGGGATTCTTCCCAAAAGATCAATAAAGTATGTCGAATCTAGATGGTAGTTTTACTATGAATACATAATATTCTTATGAACATATCATTGCCCCTTTTTTATTTTTAAATAACTGAGCTGCCAACTTTATATTTTAACACCACTGTCAGGGGGCTATCTTTTACATGTCAACACAAACAGTAACTAACTGCAAAAATTACCGCTTAGAAATATAGAATAACAATCTCCAAGCATGAAACTTTGCACTGTTTGCAAACTCACAACCCATGAAATGTAATGCATACAATAGTGTGAAACACGAATTCAACAACAAAATAATTTGTTTTCAAAAACTTTACAAAACCATTCCATTACCGAACTTAATACCGATCCTCACACTTGTGAGAGGTCCAACTGCTACAAGCGTAAGCAAAGTTCTTCAGATAAGTGGGAAGTTGCCTGTTGTGTCACGAGGGGTATCTTGGTGTTACTGCATTAATTGTGGCATCACTGTACTTACAGATAATCAGTACTGCAGCTTGGCCAACCTGCCCTCCATTCCATTCAGGACTTGCACTTGTCCAGGGTCAGGAAGTGAGCAGGTAACATCACTGCAGTTGCGCATAAAAAACACTAGATAGCAACAAAGTAAAACAAATATGACGGGCACATGTTGTAGAAATTCAGTGTAAAGGTTTTTTCTAACTGTATCACATCAGCCTAAATGTAGATATTCGTGAGCTCGTATAAAACCACACGTCACGTCCTCTATTACAATTGATGACAGTGGAGCAGGCGGCACAGCCGTGACCTGTTGCTCAAGAGATGAGACAGAAGGGAGAATAGAGAGGGAAGGGCTGCCTCCCTCACCAGAGAAACGAGAGAGAGAGAGAGAGAGAGAGCGAGAGAGAGAGAGAGAGAGAGAGAGAGGTATGGGGATGTGGGAAGAGCTCGTAGTCTGACTAGTGCAAGGAATAGGGGACGATTCAGACTTTATCAACTCATCTCATCTTTTTTATTAAGCACTTTAAAACAACCACAGCTGAACAAAGTGCTGTACATAAAAAGAGAAAAAAAGAATATAAAAAACAATAGATGACTTTGACCAGCGGGAGTCAAAGACAGAAATCAGTTACAATGAACTAGGGTGGTCTCTAGGCATTGTACATGCAACCCAACATTATGGCCTTTTTAACATTTGATAGTTCAACATATATAAGGCAGTTGTTCATTTAACAGAAAAAGTATGATCAAAGAGAATGTCTTTGGTGTCGTTGGGGGTCGGGGAAGTCAGTTAGGTCATAGTTTTACAAAATAAAAGTCTTAGTAGCCTTGCCATAATTAAGTCTCAGTAAAGTTATTACATTCTAAGGATAAAGTCATAATGTCGCGTGAATAAAATCATAGTAGTTGTAGAGTTGCAAAGTCGTAAGGTTACCAGAATAATGTAGTTATGTAGCTCATATAAAAAAGTTAGAAATTAGGCTGAGGTTTATACAGATATTTTTATGAGGCATACTGTGATGCGGTAAAAGGACTGTTGATAATATTTTGTTTCTTTGAACAACGGTGGGCTTTTGGACAAGACAGGATGTGTCACATGCACGTTGAAATGTCATTAGTGATTAGTCAGAAGCCAATACACTTATGACCAATCAACTGACAGAGAAGAGGCTGCGCCCGCACCAATTGCTGAACAGTCAGAGAACAGAGCTGCAGCTACAGCTCAAAATTGTGGCGTTGTAGCACTGTTGCGACTACACCGGATTCTGACTTAACGATCTCTTCTGTTCAGAGCAAGGTAGATGGTTCATCTCAGCTTCTGATCTGACATAGTTGGGTTTTGGGGTTCATTTTATCGGCTGTACGTTTTATGTGGACTGAAAAATCATGGCTAAGTTGTGTTTTTATTTTGCTCTACCGAAGGGGACATGTTAAATAGATTTGCACTTTCTGTAGTGACTTTCAAAATAAAATGAAGTGACCGTTAGAGTTCTATACTTCATCTAAGAAACCAGGAGCGTCTCCTCAGTTTTATTATGAAGGCAGAATATAAGGTTTCCGGTCTCGAACAGTAATTCCCAGCCACCTGAGCAATCGGCTGTCCCATAGTTTACATGAGGTATTAACTTGATAACTGTGTTTCCGTGAGTGGACTTGTTGCCTGCCTCGCATGTATTCAGTTTAGTCACTCACTGGAGTCGACGTCAGTTTTTTTTTCTTCTCCGGAACATTACCTCGGGAACCTCGAATTAAATACCGGTAGTTAAGTTTCCACGGAGGGTGTGAAGTCGAAGTGCGACACGTTACGTCACGCAATTCTGTGTCCTGTCAGTTATCAGAATGAAGAGGCCATAAGTGGCTTTTATCAAATACTAACACAGTTTTCTTTTAGATCTAAGTTGTGTTGTTATAACCCTCCATGTTGTTGTACTTATTTTTTACCCGCTTCATCACAGCCCCAACCAAAGTTATATTGTTAAAATTTTAATAAGCTTACATTATCCATAGCTACTGCAGAGACCCCAAAGCCCTGCGCGGATATGTATTGTGAAGAAATTGTTGTTTTCGGCGAAAGTTGTTGTACTGTAAGTACACAATAATTTGGTTTTGCACACAGAGTATTGAATTTGCGCGCACATTATTCACTCGCACATTGGCACAATATAATATCTCAGACGATAAAAGTCTGTCCAGATGGATAGCCTACTGAAGTTGTGGGCTTAAAGAAAAGAGGTGAGTGCACTAAGATTATCGATAGACCTGGATATGCCTTTTTCTAAGACCAAACAGTGTTATGGTGTTTAAAGGCCTTTAACAGCCTTTCATGTTATGCAGTTTGTTGTAGCTTAAATTGTAGACTTTACCAAAGAAACCCCACTTTCCCCCTTCAAAAGCCTGTTGCACTCTGTAGCATGGTTTGAGCCGAAGTGATATGGTTTGCATCGGAAATCTAATTAATCCGCAGTGAAAATTTACTCGACCGTAGTCCAGTGGGCCACCCTCAAAGAAATCCTTCAGAATTTGATCAGGATTGCACAAAGACGCAACATTATGCTGGAGATGGTTTGGGAAGACAAAATTTTTGTATTTCATGAAAAAAAAATCAATTTATATTTTTTCTGTTTCCTCGTCAGTTTGTTTGCATTATTATTATAAATTGTTTTATTCTCAAATAGTCCTACATCTGACAATATACGTGTACGTTTTTATCCATACGATGTCTGTGTTAAAATCTTTTAATAAAGTTAGTCTTATTCACTAGTTAAAAACAGCTACCCCCTGACCTTTCAGCAGATGTAACTGCCACTTTTGTTCATTTTCTTAAATTTTATGATTTTTTTTTTTTTTTCAGATGGCTGATGTGGAGCTGGTAAAGAAGATGGTACAGGCTGTTCTCCAGGCCAATAAAGGTGGAGTTTCATTGTCCTGTTTAAAGTCAGAGTACAAGGAACTGACCGGAGAGCAAATACCACACAAACAGCTTGGACACAGCCACCTGGACTCCTTGCTGGCCAGCATGCCATCTTTGGTACACTTGGAGCGAAAACCTAATGGAGAGGTGTGCTTGTGTAACTCCCATATAACTTAACAAAAAAAAAAAAAAAAAATTGGAAGAGTGTCAAAATGTTAATTGTAGGCCTATGCAATACAGTAAGACTGATGAAACTATATAACCCCCCCCCCAAAAAAAAAAAAAAAAAGAAAAATAGATAAATAATAACTCTATTTGTGTTTTCCACACTCCCTAGACAGTTTGTTTTGCATCACAGGCCGAAGACACAACTCAGGTGGCCAAGGTGGTGGCTCGTCAGCGCAGCTCCAAGAAGACAGGCCGACCCCATGTAGTCAACACCCAAATGAGGGTCAAAACAGCTGCCCCACTTGTCCTGAATGGTTAGGCATCTTAATTTATCTTTTTCTTATACTACTACCACAAAAACTACCATACCTGCAAATCCACAAACCACTCTATATATCCACCAAACATTAAATGCAAACACATCTAGTAAAGTGTGGTGCCCCAGAATATTCTCAGCTAGTTCGATTGTAGTGTAGAGAAAAAGAATGTCAGCAAGAGGGCCAGAGGGATAGAAAAACAGGAATTGTGAAATGGGAGGGATGAGCTGGACAGATGATGATGGAGGGGTAAATCAGAAAAGAGAATGGGATGTAAACATGAGGCTGTTACAGTTTATGGCTATTGAGACTGCCTGCTTGCTTTTTAAAAATATAGAAAAACAAAATTGCTTGCTTATACTGGCAAAATCCCATGAAATTCAGCAAGAACAGGAAATAATAAAGGAAAAATTTCTACAACTTTCAAACAAGAAGGGGATGAAAAATCTACATAAAGAAATGCAATAGAAGGAAATCATGGAAAATGTGTTATACTGTCACTTTGTATAAATGCAATGTCATGCATGTTATGCTGTGTGAATAACAAATCATAACAGTGATGACAGGCCTAACCTGTAGAAGTTTTACTTTGACCTCTGGGGTTATCTTCAACATACCATTACTCTCATGGATAACAGATCAGTTTTTGCGCTTGACATCAAATAGCTATCCTACTTTACAGACTTATAATTCAGATATGGGTTTAATGAGTGTTCAACAATAGAGTTTTTAGTGGATACTTGGCTAAAGTATGGAGCATTCATATACTGTAACCTTAAAAGCATAGGATTCCTTTTTCTTGTCAGTAAAGCTCTCAATAGAGCCCCAATTCATATTTACACACATTAAACTTAACACATATTTAAACAGTCTCTTGAACTGTATAAATACCAGGATTCCTACTTCCCTTTAGCTCACAATAACATAAGATAAAAATTGTAGGTTTTGCAAGAAATACCTCCAAAATGTATATGGGCTGTTACTTGTGGAAATGAGAATCAGCTTCAGAAAACGTAACACCTAACAACCCTTGAAAACCCAAGTTCCACATTCTTTTGGTCTAAACTAGGTACCAAACTAAAGGCAATGTCTGAGAGCAGCTGTAGATATGAGTGCAATATACGAACACTGAAATAATGGGTAGAGTTTCCTTTAGAGTCTGTTGGATATATCTGAGTTAATTATTATTTTTATTATTATTATTAGTTTTACTGCTTGTTTTTCATTCTTTGTATAGCCAAACCTCAAACCTCTCTGAGGCAGCCGAACCTACATGGGCGGGTCGTGGGTAGAGGAGGTGGTGGAGGCCGAGGGGCAGGACACGGAGACTTAAGGCAAGCAAGAGACACGAGGGATGGTCCATCAGAGGGCAAGACCGGGACACACCCCAATAAGATGTCCAGTCAGAACACACCTAACAAGAAAGGGAATTTACCTGCAGAGAAGTGAGTGAGGGGAGTGGTTCGGAGGTAACATTTGATCGAAAGGGACAAACTCATCAAAAACACACACACAACATTCTTAACTTCTAAATTTGTTTATGAATAAAAAGTTAGGTTAAAACAGAGGGCTTATTTTTTGTTTGTTTGTTTTGTCTTTTGGGAATCTACAATTTAAGATAAATCATTGTATGATTTAGTGCCAGTCTTCAGTAAGAAAATATGATTTTTGCTTGCAGCCCAGTGGTGAAGTTTCAGGTCTTTAAGTCGGTTGGTTTTTATTGTACAATCACATTTGGTATTCACCAAGCTGCTTCAGAATTCAGAGTAGGAAGGTGAAAAAGACCATCACACTTTAAAAAGACTTCATCATATATCAGAGCATTTCTTTTAGATTTATCCAAAAATTTATTTAACACTTAAAAGTCCCACTCCAATTGTTTTTTAAAACTACTTTAAGTGTTCTCAGTGGTCTTGAAATTGTGATTAGGAAGTTTTTGCCCGAAATTACATTACTTGTGTCATTTTCAAAGGCTTTTTCTCTGCAGAGCTCCAGTAGCTCATTGGCAATTTGCCTCTGTGTCATGGGTGGAGACAGCGCTGCTCTGCACACTCCTCTTCACACTCCTCTTCACGCTAGCTTGCAACCTAAAGTTGCTGGTGCAGCAGAAGTGGCAGGTTATGAAGCTATTCAGCTCTTGAACACTAACGTTTGGGGGGAGAAGGGGGCATGATGAAAGCTAATACCATTATTAGCTTTATTACAAGCCACTACTGCACATATTTATTTATTTTGTATATATTGTATATTTATACACATGTATACACACACAATTATAATATTTATAATATGTGTGTGTGTGTGTGTGTGTGTGTGTGTGCGCGCGCTTGTGTATGCATGTGTGTGTTTAGGCACATGTGTTTGTCAAGGTTTTGCATGTCTTTGTCCTACCCCCCCCCCATTAAGAACTCGGAACTTTATGTTTTCCGTAGATTTGTCTGATTCTTTCTCCACCCTTCTGTCATGTTTTTATTTTACCCCTCACTGTCTTCTCCTCCAACTTCTTTCTTGCACTTATTTGGCATATTTTCATTGTTTTCCTGTTTTTGTAGATGTGAGACTTTTTGCTTGTTATATGCTTGAAAGAGTTTTTGTCTTCTTCTATTATGAATACCCCCACTTTCTGTAGACATGGGCTTCAGTCCTAGTGTCATTCAGCATGGTTTAAAATGGATTTTAAAAATCTGGCATGTTATGATTAAAGAAATCAGCTGGTAGTGTTTATATGATCTGGCTGTAGTGCCTAAACAATGAATTGAGAACTGTTCAGGTCATCCAAAAATGGCTCTGTTCATCAGTCAGCTGTGAAAATGTAACTGACACCAGTCCTCTGTCAGGGTAACCACAGTTGTCCCATGTGCCACTGGCCTCAACAGCACAATGGGCTATGGGGAGGGAACTCTAGTGTGCTGGCAAGGGACACAAGCCTAGAGCGGGGAGGATGTGAGCCATTTCTAATCCCTGCCCTATTCTCTGCCAGATCAACGCTTCTAAACTGAAACAAAGTGAATCAGCACATCTCTCTGTAAGCCTTTGGATCTTCCACTGGACAGAATACTGGCATTGCAGCATGAGCATTACTGTGTGTGGGGAAATGTGTGTGTGTTCAAGTGTACTACAGGATGCCTGGTTTGCACAATTTGTGTATTCAGTGTACAAAGTTGGGAGACCCAAAATTGAATTTGTGAATACAATCAAAACACAGGAGACATATAGTTGTCAGACAAATGCTGCCTATGTCAAGACATGAGGTTTCAGAAAATTTGGGCAGTTCTATAGTAAGTCCGAAAACTTCCAACAAAAAACAAAACAAAAAGGGAGACAAAATGAAAGCGCTGTCTTTAGCCAAGCAAATTTAATGAAGGGTTTAAGGTTATCTGGTATCAGATTATGTAGTTTGATGCAGCATTCACTGTGACATATGTCACAGTCTGTTTTTTTAGGATTGAGATTTTTTTAAAGACATTAGTCCCTGCTTTTCTGTATAGACATTGAAAGGAACTTTGCGTATTTTGAGCATTATTCATCTATAAGGTGAGTGGTGCTAAAATACTGACAGATGCTTTTTGTGTCTCTTCTTGGCATATCTTTTAAGTATGTTCTTCCAAGTTTATGTTTATTCCAATTTGTCATAAACAGTTGCATGGCGACAGGTTTGTGTTTTGATTTGAGTTCCTACCTAGATTTATATTGATAGCTAGTTACAAAACTAGTCTACACAGTATAACTTACCCCCTCTTGTCACTGTCAAATATATACATTGCATTAATAGGGTAACAGGGTTGAGAATAGTGCTTACACAAGTTTCAGATTTTAAAGGCCCAGAAAGAGCATCTTGCAACTTCTCAAGGTCCTTTTTCAAGCAACACAAATGCTATCAGATTAGCTCAGCAAGAAATCAACAGTTGCTCTACAAAGCTGGCAACCTGGGTTTTCATGTTGGCTCGAAATGTAATTTTTTTTATTTTTTTATTTTTTTATTTATTTAGAAGTCAGGACATGCAAATTAATGAACATGTACAGCAGTACCTGTAAATATGCCAGATTATACCCCAAGGGCTAATTTCCATCTGGAGTCCTCTAGGCAGGTTGATGTTACATTATAAACAAATGAAAAAAACATAGAATACAGTATAATACATTTCAAATGAATATAAAAACAGCATAGATCTATACAACGGTAAAGTATATTACAAGTATAAGACAAGAACAATAAAGTAAGAACACAGCAATAAAATGGAAAAGATAATTGCAACGAGGAGGCCCATTCAGCTTAGCAGGCTCAGTGTTACCTTTTAAACCCCCAGGACACAGTTCCAAGGAAAAGAAACTTTGTTCTTTTACCTGGTTGAATATTTTGCCCTAACTTACAGCGGATGTGTATATGTAATAATAATAAAAAGCCACCAGAAGCAGCAAACCCTAGAGTGAGCAGTCTAGATGTGAAGGCTAGAAAAAGCAAAAATCATCCAGTCCTCTGTCTGCATCAAGATTATTAAAAACTTTATATCCAAACAGTGCCAGTACATTAGCACCTCCCAGGTCCATTACAAGTTTTGGTTATAAGAGTTGATACAGTAACTGAATGTGGCTGAATTGAAAAGTTGGACTTGCTATAGGGGGAGGGTACCACTGCTGAGTTGGACAGTGAATGCATTTCAATAAATCCCAGTAGTGAAGTGGATCCTCTTGAGGAAAAAAAAAGGCATCATCACTAGGCGTCATTAGAGAACTGCTTCATTTTCCTAAGAACAGCAAACAAGTATATATCACTGTTATCAACTACATTTACTGACTGGGTATTCACTTTAAATAGATGCAAATCTTAAAGTAAGACACTCCAGGGGTGCAACTGGCCTAGCAGTCTAAGCATACTCTAGATACAGGGGTCCTCTTATGGACAACCAGGTTTCGATTTCAGCCTGCAACCCCTTTCCTGCATGTCACTCTATGCTCTCTATTTCTGTTTCCAATTGACCAATTACAGGCCAGAAAAGAGAATGACTCTCCCGTCACGATTCCAGAAGGAGGTACATGCTCACCTTTCCAGGAACTCCCAACAGAGTAGTTGTAAGTAGGACAGGCTGCTTTTTATTACACTAAAACACTGTGTGTACCCCAAGGAAGCCTGAAATAAATGGTACTATAGCTTTGAGGCACCAAATTGTTGCTTTTGTGTTTGGAGTTAAACCTGACACAGTCAGCAAGTTTAAGGAATAGCAAAGTTCTAGAAGCAACATGCTACCATTAAAAATGTTTAATATCTCTGCACTTCTGTGAACTTCTTTGATCTCTTAGCACCCTTGAACTTAAATGAATGCCTCACTTCAGGGGAAGTGAAGCCCTACAATCCTCAGCAAGTCCAGACCCACATCAGGGAGATATTGGGGATGTATAGTAATGGCTTCTGGGTTTCAAAGCTACCACAGATCTACAAAGAGATGTACAAACAGGACCTACCTACTGAGGCAATCAAAGACCTGAAGGAATGGACTCACATATGCACTGTATGTACTTCTTTGTGTTAGGAAAGTTATTCGTAACATTTCATTTATAAAAGGGGCATCTCTATTTTCCTGAAAAGACCACACTCCTGCCAACAATAAATTAATACAAATCCTGAAAAAGTTTTTAAGCATCAATTCTTAGTCTACAATATTCTTGTCATTCACAGTCTGGACTGCATACCAAATGGTCTTGTAATAACATGTCTGTTTTATCTTTAAGGTTGAGAAAACCTCCAGCAGCAACACATCAGAACTGTTACTCTACCCTGCCAAGGATCAGAGCACTGCATCCCCCCCTTCACATATACCTAATCCAGGCATCCCCTCTTCTCCTTTCCCTACTCCAGCCCCTTCTGCAGACAAACCATTATGTTTTTCTGCCCAGCAGGGACCCATCCGCACCCACTTACCTAGCTCTAGTGCTCTGTCTTCTCAGTCTCAACTATTGTCGTCTTCATCCTTTAGCCCTCCCTCATCCCCCACTCTCAGTCCCAACCTGAAGTTGAAACTGGAGGAGCTACTGGTCAAGTACTCCAATGGACTGTGGGCTCATGCACTGCCTAAGCTTTTCCAGGATACTTACAAAGTCAGTGACAATATGATACATTTTCATAACCATACCATTCCCTAATTCACTGCACTAAATTAAAAAAAAATATGTATTTATTTACAAGATCAAACTGCCCAAACATGTTCTGGAGAACCTTCACCTCCTCTCAGATATCTGCACTGTGGACTACCCAATGCCAGACAACCCAAAGAGAGCCATCTTATACAGGCGGAACAGCAGTGGGTGTGGGGGAGAAGAGGACAGAAACTGTAATCAGAGGAAATCTGCACACAGTGAGGAGGAGCTGATTGCGATGCATGTTCTTGCAAGAAGGCTAAGTAATCAGGCTGTACCCTCTATGCAGATTCCCAAAGAGGAGTACCCCTCTGTGCTGGTGGTGGAGGCGACCAACACCAATGGGGTTATAATAAGGTAGATGTGAAGTGATTGTGTGGATGTTGCTGTAGGACTTGGCAGTTCATTTACATCACCTGTCTCTCGCCCCCACCCTCAGGTACATTGGGGAGGGTTACTCCCAGGCACAGGAGTCAATGGAGGATGAAATGAGGGATTTTTATGGTTTGAACCAAAGAAGTCCATCTCTTCTTTCATTTCCATCCTCTGGGCAACTTGTTGCTGTAAAGGCTGAAGAAGAGGAGGAGATTCTAAGGGCGCAAGTCTGTGAGGTCATGGCGGACAAGGTCAAGGTGAGAAATCAAAAAAACAGCCAAGCATTAAACTTAGTGTTTCGTTAAAAGGCGTGTATGGAGTGCGTTACAGCCATTGGGTATGGGTTAGGGTCGGGATTAGGGTTAGCTGCAAAGATTTAATTGCATACTCCCTTTGTCATTGGTACACTGAATGTTGTTGGTCTGTCATATCAATCAATCAATTTTTATTTAGATCGTGCCAAATCACAACAATCATTATCTCAAGACGCTTCCAAAAAGAGCAGGTCTAGATCAAACAACAGCAACTCATACAGAGCCAATAATGATGGAAGAATATGAGTTCCATTTACAGGAGAAGTAATGACAGTAATGACAGACAGATGTTAGACTAATTTAAGGTGATTAAAGTCAGCAGGTCTAATGGTAGTTAACTCTTTAAAAGGACAAGAAGATCTAAACCAGCCATACATGTCCATTTAAAACTTCATGCCAAAGAGCTGGTGCACTACTCTGTGCTTGGGCCCAAAATTGTATACAATCAAATGCACCGTGCATGAAAGTAAGTTATTTTCATCAAAATAGAAAGAGGTTACAATATTTTCTGTGGTCTGTCACCCCTGTGGTCTTTGCCCTTGGATCTGTAGGTGTGGTATGTGGACCATGGCTTCTCAGAGGTGGTGTGCAAGACTAAATTGCTTGAGCTACATGAGAAGTTTTTCCAACTACCTTTCCAGGCAACCAAGTGTCAACTAGCAGGTAAGTCAGTAACTAGGATATGTCATCAATTATCCCAAAAGTTTTGTTAGATAACAAAACAGGAACTCTGTCTTCCATATCTATCTATCTATCTATCTATCTATCTATCTATCTATCTATCTATCTATCTATCTATCTGTCTGTCTGTCTGTCTGTCTGTCTGTCTGTCTGTCTGTCTGTCTGTAATAGTATGTAATAGTTTTAGAGTACTTAAGAGCAACTACTTAGATGGATGGATGGTTAAATATGTATATTTATCTAAATATCAGTTATTGCTTGTTGTTTTATTAACATAAAATTATGGTTTCAAATATTTTTTATCCATATTATTTTAGCTAAGGACCAAAAGTGTCAATTAGGAACATAGAGTTTACTTAAGGACTGTGGATTTTGTTTTTTTTCAAAGTTATACCTAGGAGTTTACCTGATCCGGATCACATTAGCTTTGCTGTGCTGTGTGTGTGTGTGTGTGTGTGTGTGTGTGTGTGTGTGTGTGTGTGTGTGTGTGTGTGTGTGTGTGTGTGTGTGCGTGCGTACGTGCGTGTGTGTGCATGTGTGCGTGCGTGTGTGTATAGGCCTGGAGCCTTTCTGCCAGGAACCTGCTGTGCTAAAGATGCTTGACATTATGGCAAGTGGAAAAATCCTTCTTGCTGAGATCGTAGAAAGAGGGCAGACTCCTATTGTTGTTTTGTATGACACATCACAAGATGATGATGTCAACATTAATGCTGCCTGCATGAAAGCCCTGCAGGACGTGAGACTCACCAGCCCATTGCAGGTACAGTAGAGTTTGGGTATCAGTGTGTTTGGTAAGTGTTTATTTGTACTCTGCTCTGAATTTTTATTACGGGCTCTTTGCAGATCAACAGTGCCTACATGAATGTAACAATAGGCAGTGTCTGCTCGGATGGAACCATCTACTGTCAGCTGCCCTCCAGAGGCCTTGCCAAGCTGCATGACATTCTGGAAAATATTGACACATACTTCCACTCACAGGTTAAGACCATACTACTTATAGCTTTCTTTTGTTTCTAGATTCACCCTCAGGCAGTCCCTGTCCTGGTTTATCTTTCTTGTGCTTAAACTGTTAGAATGGAGAAAAAAATATATTTACATATTTTTTCTCCATATATATATACAGTATATGTATATGTATATGTATATGTATATGTATATATATATATATATATATATATATATATATATATATATATATATATATATATGTAGATGATAGAGAGAGAGAGAGAGAGAGAGAGAGAGAGAGAGAGAGAGAGAAATATACACTACAGGCCATTACAGGCCGAACAGTTGGGAGTAACTTCAAGTTTTTGTTCACAATGCTTTTTTTGAAATCCAGCATGAGTTTTATGTATTTTGGGATGTATTTACTCCATGATCAGATGTTGCTTTCATGGAAATGCACCATTTTACTCCATTTACCTTTAGATATACATTGATGTTAGCAGACCATTACTAAATATATGTCAGCAAAAGATAATAAGGGCTTAGTTTTAGGGTTGAAAACATTTGCAAGAGTCACAACTTCAGTGCAATAGCAAAAAAACAAATCACAGTTGGATTATTCACTTCAACTTTTTGGCTTTTGAGAGTCTGTATACAAAAATCCTAATAAATCTCAACTACGTTCAAACTACCGCAAAAGTGGCTAGAAAGAAGCAACTGAGTAAAGAAACAGAAGTACAGATTTGTAGATTAAGGAAAGAAGGATACACAGAAAGAGAAATTGCAAAACGCCTAAGGTGTTTAACAAAGGAGTCCACTACACTCTAAAGAGACGAGAGAAACCTGGAAGTTATGATGATAGAAAAAGACCTGGACGAAAGAGAGTTACTACAAAAGCAGAGGATAAACATATCATTGTCATCAGTAAGAAAGATCGGTGAAAGACAACACCACAAATAAGGGAGAAAATCAACATGATAAGGTCGAAACCCATATCTCTGACAACCGTGAAATGATGTTTGAGAAAGCTGGTCTGAAGGGTTGTGTATCTGCAAAAAAAACATTACTTCGTCCACAGAACAAGAAAAAGAGATATGAGTGGGCAAAAGCTCACAAAAAGTTTGCACTGTTTGGTTCAAAACGCAGAGCCTATGTCCGCAGACAAACTGGTGAACGTCTGAACGCACCATGTGTTACACCCACAATTCAGCATGGAGGTGGTAGTTCCATGGTATGGGGATGTTTTGCAGGTGATGGAGTAGGAGATTTGTTTGAAGTAAAGGGTATCATAGAGAAGGAACAGTACCACTCCATCCTCCAGCACCATGCTGTTCCATCTGGACTCAGACTTGTGGCTCATAAGTTTGTTTTGCAGCAAGACAATGACCCTAAGCACTCTGCCAAGCTCTGTCAGGGTTACCTAGACAAAAAAGAAGAGAAAGGTGTTCTTCAAAAGATGGTTTGGCCCCCTCAGTCTCCAGACCTTTCTCCAATTGAGCTTGTGTGGGATGAATTGGATTGATCGGTCAGAAAAATGCATCCCATGAATCAGCAGTCTCTTTTTAATGAACTTAAGAAAGCTTGGAATGCAATCCCTGGAACATACCTTAAAAAACTTGTAAAACGAGTGCCTGGCATAGCCAGAGAAGGTTTCTTTAAAGAAACCAAAGTCTAAGCAACAATAACTCTAATACCTAATAATTATAGTCAAAATGTCTTCTGATAAGTTACTCTTTACACAATAGTCATGTTTATTGTGTTGCAAAATATATTAATGAAACTATGATTTTTTTTGTACAAATCTGATCTTGCTTCTAAACTTTTGGCCTGTTGTGTATGTACAGTACATATTTTAGTTAGAGGTATTACAGTCATCCACTTGCTTTAAAGACGCTTTAAGTAAAAACTGGCACAACTCACCCCACTCTCCCCTATTGTGCTATGGCAGTCGTTATTTCCCTGTTTCTCCAGCTGCTCTTGTCATTCAGGCTTACACTGGCAAATGATGCTGTAATTGTAGTCATCGTTGTTGCTAAAATGGGCCTGAGACTCATGTTCACTAAACTTTTTACCAACCTTTTTCGTCATGCACTCCTCATGCAAGTGCCTGTGGGGATTTATTTAAGTGCCACTTCCAAACTTTTTGGCCTGTAGTGTGTGTGTACATATATATATATATATAGAACTTTCTGAAGTTCTTCAACAGATTAATACTTTTTTTACACAGCTTTTCCAAACATCCTAGTTTTATTTTGGATCCGTACATTATTTTACTTTGCACACAGAAACAAAATTATTTCACAAAAACCAAAAACTACCAGGGTCAAAAATATTAGCCCCCCTGAGGCTGATAGTCCATTGTGGGTCCTTTTTGTTGGATAACAGCATGCAGTCAGTTGCTGTAGTTTGTAACAAGGCTCTGGCACATCTTCTGAAGAATCCCAGCCCATTCCTCTTTGGCAAATCTTTCAAGCTCCTTCAGATTTGATGGTCTACTAGCATGGACCCTGGTCTTCAGTGCAGCCCACAGATTTTCAATGGGATTTAAGTCAGGGCTTTGTGCAGGCCAGTCAATAACGTTCACTTTGGTTTCCTGGAGGCAGCTCCTCACCAGGAGTGCTGCATGTTTTGGGTCATTGTCATGTTGGAAGACAAAGTGACAACCCAGACCCAGTCTTGCTGCTGACTGCTTGAGGTTTTCTTTCAGAATCTTCACATATCCTTCTTTCTTCATTATTCCTTCAACCTTGACAAGATTCCCAGTTCCAGATACACTGAAACATCCCCACAGCATTATGCTCCGACCACTGTGTTTAACTGTGGGGACAGTGTTCTTGGGGTTATACACCTCTCCCTTCTTTCTCCAAACATAAGCAATGTCTCTGTGACTAAAGAGCTCTAGTTTGGTCTCATCTGACCGAAGAACACATCTTCAGTTTGAACAATCTTTCTCCAGATTGTCAGTTTGATTTGAAGGTGTCTCTTTTGTAGAAGTGGAGTTATTCTTGGCCTGCATCCTCGCAGTCCATTTCTGTTCAGGGCTCTAGAGACTGTCTTGTTTGACACTACAATTCCTGTCTTGGCTAAGTCACCAACTTCTGTTTTGATGGTTGTTCTAGGTTGTTTAGACACATCTCCCACCAGTTTTTCTTTCCAGTTTCTTAGAAATTTTTTGCTTCCTACCTCTCCCAGACTTGTTCTGTGCTGTGTGACTCTCCTTGAATTTCTTGGTGATACTTCTCACTCCACTTCTTGATACTTGGAAACGCAGTGATACATTTTTATATCCTTCTCCTGCTTTGTGAGCATCAACAATTCTTTTTCTAAAGTCTAAACTGAATTCTTTTGTATTTGCCATGATGCCTTCTCAAGTGACAGCTCATACGCTTAACAAGGTTTTTATACAGTGTGTAAAGTGTAGGACAACCCTTTGTTTTCACTTAATTGATTGATTGATTACAAGCTGTGAACACTCGAAAGTGAAAGCATATGACTGCACAACAGTGGTTTTTGTTTTGGCTCAATAAAAACATCAATTCTTAAGGGGGCTAATATTTTTGACCCTGGTAGTTTTTGTGAAATAATTTTGTTTCTGTGTGCAAAGTAAAATAATGTAAGGATCCAAAATAAAACTTGGATGTTTGGAAAAGCTGTGTAAAAAAATCATTAATCTGTTGAACAGTACTTGGGGAATTTTGGAAAAAAACTTGAAAATTCATGGGGGGGGGGGGGGGGTAATTATTTTGGCCTCAACTATATATATATATATATATATATATATATATATATATATATATATATATATATATATATATATATATATATATATATATATACGTACACAGAACAGTGTTATTGTGTGTTATTGCAGTAAATGAGAAGAGGCCAATTTTGTCTCTATATCTGTCCTTATGTCTTACCAAAGGCTTATAGCTGTGTTAACAGGCTAAGACTGTCCTTGATAGAAAGTAAACAATTTTCAGCAGGAATTACACATCCTTTTCCTCCTCTTGCAAAAATTCAAACTGTGTTGTTCTTTCAGGTGGATTTCGGGGCAGATGGAGATTAGGTTGATAATCTGCAGTTAAGACATTGCCAAGCCCATTAATCTATTAGTGGAATGGTTGCTTTTTTTAGCAGTGCTTCTTCTGCCCTTCAAAGCAAATTGCTCTACTCATTACCCCTATATGTGGTGTTTATGTGGAGCATTTCAAAATATGGTGACAGTGCATTTCAAAACATAAAACATTTGGAGTAGTGATATGTACATTATACATTTTTATGACTAACTTTTTATGAATAAGTCCCATATCCCCGGCATATCCTTACAAACTGGATGATGTTGTTCTTTTTATTCTAATCTCTTATCTGAAGGGGGTTCAGGTTAATGCAAAATTTAATTTTTGGTCGGAAAATCCAAAATTGAGACCAGTGAAATGCTAATGTTTATCTGTTTGGATCATTTTCTGCATTTGGTTTTAAACTTTGGTTTTTATTGTTTTTATTGCAGTTCATGGTGTAGCAGACTAGGTTGAGCTGTTAAATGTATGCATAAGCATTTAATTGATCAATTCTTTCAATGAAAAAAATATCTGTAAACTCAAAAATATTATTTCACAAGAACACTAAAATTCTTCATGTATCATATTTTTCATCCAGGTAACATCAGAGTTCCTGGTGTCCAGACCCTTCTGTGGAAAAGAATGTCTGGCTCGCTACAAAGGCAAATGGTCCCGTGTAGAGGTAGGATACCCCAAGAGTAGGAATCAAACAGAGACTTAACAAAAAGCTTATTGATCCAAAATACTGTACTATGTCCTCTACACATGAAAATGGTCTAACAACATTTTATGTATTACCCTGTCCTTCCATACAAGCTTGAGGCACAATTTGTTTATTTTTTCCAATGCTATGGTAATCTGGGCTTTCTTAAACTGGCAGTTCTTGTCTTAAAGGGATATTCCGGCGTAAATTTAAGCCATGGTCAAATACATTGTAACACTGAGTTTTGTGGAAATTTAGGGAGCCCCCATGTAAAAAGGCTTATGTTTCTCCTTTAGATAACCAACCTACATGGCAGCAGAGTGCTTGACATCTTGTTCATTGATGTGGGTGTCCAGGCTTCTGTAGAAGTGTTTGAGTTGAGAGAGATCCCGCAGTCATTTCTCCGTGACCTCATCGCAATCCCACCCCAGGTCAGCATTGATACCCACAAAAAAGGGGGATTTGATACAGAGTCAAGAGCAATAAACAAAGACAGTTATTGTCATTCACTGTTGTATCTTAAGTATTATCTACAAAATAACAACCTCTGTTTAGGCTGTGAAATGCTATCTGGCAGACCTGGCTGTCAGTGTTGGATCCTGGACTCCAGATGCTATCCAGTGGCTACGAGAGAAAGTACTTAACACAACAGACTGTAGCATGAAAGTAAGTCCTAACCACTACTGGTTGTGTTTTTCTTGTGTCCAGTGATGTGCAAGCTGCTTGTAAAGTGTAGTGTGCTTAGCCAGTGGTTTGTCTTCATTAACAACTAGTTAATTTTAATGTGGTTAAACATACCAGTCTTTTAATATAATGAAATATGACAGCCAAGAGCTTTTTGCCAATCAGTCAATCAATCAATCAATCAATCAATCAATCAATCAATCAATCAATCAATCAATCAATCAATCAATCAATCATTTAAAATGTTAACATCTCAAAGTGATATACTGTAAAAACGGCAGGTCTAGACAATACTCCCTGTTGCATTGTATTGTGGAAGTTTCACAAGCCTCTTTTCCTCATGGAAATGGTGCTGTCTTTCCTGTTTCCGATTTAACTCATGACAACTTGTTTCCCAACTAATGTTCACTATATGCTCAAAAAAAGTGGAGGTCTCCTCATAGATAAAAATGGATTTTGCATTAAAGGTCCCACATTATGCAAAATTCACTTTAGAATGGTTTTCTAACAATAATATGGATCCCCAGCCTGTCTACAAACCCCCCAAAATGAGAAAATTCTATCATCTCCCTATCTTGCTTGTTCCATCTTTAACTGGCTTTCAGTAAATGTCTGCTCAAATGGGCAGATTGAAACTATTGCCTCCCATGACCTCAGGGATGGTGATAACTCCTCCCCTCCAGGTTGGTGACCCTGTCCAAGCAGCAAAGAAGTCTGTTTCCGTAGAGTCCAAGAATATAGTCACAAGATAAAACTATACTTACAATATTGTGCATTCACCAAAAGAGCTCCAAGTAACGAGAAGATCGCGGAGATGTAACCATTAGCAGGAGCTAATGTTACCTAGCTACATGTAAGTCACTGTCTACCAACACACAAACAAAATAACAATAAAAATATTGAGACACATCATATTTGTAACTGACCATTCAGAAACGTCCTGCTGCAGCCATAGAGCTAGAATTTCTTGAGGAGCCTCTCCTTCTGAGTCAGACTCTGGATCAAACTGGTACGGCTTGACCACAGCACTTCTACGAGCCATACCTAGCACTCTGTGTAAACATTAGCGCATGGTACTGTCGCACAAGCTACACCCCCCTCTTCCAGAGAGACAGCTTGCACTGAAGGAGGCATTGACAGGCGCGGCACACAGAAACAGCATGTTCTCGATATGGCTCACTAGAGAGAGTTTTCAGGCTGGCTGAAGTCCAGGAAAAAAATGGGTTTTTAGACAACAAACTTCAAATTAGCTGTTCTGGGACCTCTGAGACCTATGTGAACCTGCTGAAAAGGAGTATAATATGGGAACTTTAAGGCACTGTTTGGGCCAGACCAACTTGAACAAAAAAAAATCGCTGAGCCTTCTAGATTTTCAGTGCATGACACACTGTTCATGATGACAGCATGACTGGTCTGTCATTATCATGCATGCTAAAATGAAAGCCAACATACTGGTTTCTCCTGTCTGATGCATCCAAAGGTACAAGGAAAAGCCAGCAAGTACAAGGTTTACCCTAATTATTTGTACAAAAGTGGGCTGCTTGCCAGAAATCAGTAGTGTATGATCTACTGACAAAAATATGCAGTAATAAAAATGGATTGGAGAGCTCAACCTGTTACCCGCCAAAAGCTTCAAATTATCTTTTAATGTATTTTTGGCATTTCACTGTGATCAGATAGAACAGCTGAAGTGAAACAGGAAATATGCCTTAAGCACAGTTCCACTCTACTTTTGGTCTTTGGTCTTCTCCCTCACTCTCCTCCTTTTTTCCCCTCTGCATGTACCTCCAAACTTTGACATCCCTCCAAGGTTGCCAAAGTAGATGAAAACAAGTGTTGCATATACATCTACCTTTTCACTGACAAGAACTTCCATGACACGACCCGCAGCCTCAACCATCAGATGGTCCAGTCTGATCTGTTCAAACATAAGCCAGATGTTTTCCTGACAAGCCACAGGTTTCCACTGCTTCTAATTCTTTATAAACCTCTCACTTCCAAATAATGTAAAGCTAAATTTATGCTTAATCATATATTTTATATCAATATTTCTTAACCTATCAGCCCTGCCAAGATGTCTGCACCAACTTCATCTTCCAAGACTTCTACCAGTGACTCAGCTAATGGGAGTGAAGCATCATCTATTGTTCCAAACAATCCCGATGTCAAGAGGGCTCTATCAGGACCAAGAAGAGGCACAGGAGGCAACACAACCACTTCAAGCCCACCAGAGACACCATTATTCCCATTTTCTTTTCTCCAGCTTCCACCATTGCTAGAGCTCCCCCCAGCAGGTGGTATAAATTACTGTAATACAAGAAAGAAAATTATCCACAGGAAAAAAAAAGATCAGTTATTCAAAATTTTACTTGTTGTTACTGTACCTTAAAAATAATTTACACATACTTTTTTTGTTCTTAGGAAACAACATGGATGTTTATGTTTCAGTGGCTTGCCATCCAGGCCACTTTGTGTTGCAGCCCTGGAGAGATATGTACAAACTGGTGGTGCTGATGGGAGAGATGATTCTTTACTACAACAAAACTGAGGAAGAACTACTTAACATTAAGAAAAATCAGATATATGCAGCAAAAGTGGAGAACAAGTGAGTTGAAAAGTGATTTTGTTTTATTTTAATAAGAATATTGATTGTTAGCTTTTTTTAACCATTTTTTAATTCAAACATCTCTTTGATTTCCATGAAGTACTTGTGGCACCTGAACAAACCAATAATGCTGAATTTTGTCTGCTCCATAGATAAGATATTTAGGCACATTCCTTTTTTAGTCCCACAGGGGAAAATTCAAATCTATCTATCTATCTATCTATCTATCGATCTATCGATCTATTGATCTATCGATCTATCTATAATTGTATTTTTTAGATATAAAACAGAGTACTTCAGAGCAACTCATAGATTGATCGATGGATGATAGATGGACTATCTGACAGAGAGAGAAAGAAAGAAACATACATAAATACATTGTTTTATCAACTTAGAAAGAAAGAAACGTTATTTGTAGTTCAACAGTTGTATTTTGTTATTAATATTTTGCTCATCCTTCCTCTCCCTTCCCAGCTGGTATCGTGTGTTAGTGAAAGGAGTTCTATCCAATGGATTGGTGTCTGTGTATGAGTTGGACTATGGTAAACATGAGCTAGTAGGCTGCACCCAGCTCAGACCTTTGATTAAAGATTTTACACAGCTGCCATTTCAGGGAATCACTGCTCAGCTTGCAGGTAGGTGTTGGGACTTGGTGGGAGTGATTTCATTTGTTAATCAGAATAATAAGAATCAAATCTGCAATCAACAATGAACAGACCCTTACACTATATTGCATGTTGGGGCCTGTTGCTGTTGAAGGATGTACAGCAGAATCAATCAGTTTTATTTACAATATTTAGCGCTAAATCACAACAGTCATTCCAAGATGAATGTTCCTGTGCTGCTGCAAAAAGTTTGAAATCATAAGCGGTACAATCAATATAAGAAAAATGTGGATGTGAATAGGCTTAGGGCAATATCATTAGCATTACTGTTAAATTTTAGGCACACACGTCAGTGAAACTTGATATGGGACTTAACACCACTTATTTTTGAAAGCTGATGCTTTGATTTAAATGTATATCGAGATGAGGTCAGACTGGCATCATTATCAACTGTGTGAAATTCAGTGCAAATGAGACATAGTATGTCGACATTAATACTATGTATTTCACAGGATGGAGCTATAAGTGTAGTTAAAATGTCAGATGTGTTTATGGATAGATCTTGATCATGTGTATGAAATATCAAATAGTTGGGGTTACTGGCACTGACATCAACAAAACCAACAATCTCACCTTCAGGGTTACACTCTTTCACCAAAACTCACAGCTTAAACAAAAATGTTTGACCAAGGTGTGAAGACTATTACTGATGAGGATATAGGTAGCAGAGTCAAGATGGGACCTTCTGTTTTCTAGCATAGGGCACTATAGTTATTAGTGAATGTTTATGCATTGTTGATGCATTCAGCTCTGGACAGTGCATGACACTTTTAGATCTGATCCAACATTTTACTTATAAAAGTTTTTTGGGGAGTTTTTGAGCCTCATTCACAGCCACACCCTAGGAAGGGAGATCAGAAAACACATGGATAGAAATGTCGTTTGATTTTGAGGGGTGATAATCCAAACCAAATAAAACAGGAAGTTAACACATAATGTAAGGTTTTCAAATATGGGGAAATGACTGCAAGACACTGAGTTGAAAATGTATCCTTCGTTGTGTATGACAGCAACCCCACCACCTCAGCCAGACAGCCTCTATTTCTGAGCATAGGTAGGAGGAAAGTAAATTGTGGAGGGATTTCTTCATTCAAGACACTACATCCCTGTGTTTCGGAATGTCATGCAAAAACTGTGTGAAGTTGTTGGAAGTGATAAAAATCATTGCATTAAAAGAGTTTTTTTTATTAATGAGTGCACATTTTAAAGACTGACTTTTTCAACTGTGCTGTGGTGGAGTGCTTAATGGGACGTAAATTAAATTATCTGTATTTTTACATTTCCACTGGGCTAAGTTATTTGCTTTATAGGTCTGTTGTGAAAGATGTTGGGCTATTAAGAACCACCAAACCAGTCAGAGGGGCTAGAGTAAGGGGTAGCACCAGATGACAAGGAAGAGCTCAAACTGTTGTGTGGAGGAGAAGGTGTATTTAGCAACCCCATCTGTTGGACAGGATCCTTAGGCATTTGAAAAGTAAGGTTTGGTGCCAAAACAGGTAAAAATTGTGCACAACAGATTATGAGAACTGTATTTGGGTGTGCACACTAAATCACTCAGCTCCAGATCCAAGTGTAGGAACAGGGTGAGAGACAAAAATGGTCTTTCTTGGTGAATTCAGACTCAGGACAGGATGTGTCAGTTGTCTCTACATGAAATATGATTCTTGTGTTGGAGAGAAGGAGAGAGGGAAGTATTAAAAGGGGAAACCCCTTCTTAAGGGAGACCCCTTTGGCATCTACAAAACAAGGATACACACTTCTTGAAGTATCAGAGGTCTCAAATCAATATATCATTAAATCCTTAATTCAATTAAAAGATGTAACAACCAAGGTAAATCTTCTATGTTGCATAAAATCTTTACAATATATCAATGAACGTCAGATAGAACTCATTCCTCATCCCTGTGTTTTTGGCAGGAGTGAAGCCAAGACAGTGGTCGGAGGAAGCTTCCATTGTTTTCAGGAATCATGTGGAGAAGAGACCTCTTGTCGCACAGCTGGAAGCTGTGCAAGAGGCCCCTTATCCCTGGGATAGGAAGGCAGTAGTCTTCCTGGTAGACACTTCACAGGAGGAAAAGGACATTTGGGTGCATGACATCATGGCTGAATTTGCAGAGGAGCTGGCCAATGAGCTGTAGAAAACAGATGATCATGGATGAAATTTTCTTTCTAAACAGTTATCTTGCTACTTTGCATAGCCATTTCTCATAGTTAAAGCGTATCCATTTTCATCTGTCTACAACTGGGTGATAAAAGAAATTTGGTGTGAAAAAAATAATGAATTACTAAATAGAGATAGCGTGGTTTGATAACATGATCCCAACTGGTACTGACAGAATGACGCGATGTGTAGGGGGTTTTAGACACTTTGGATTTTGGAGATGTACACTCAATAAACTTGGGATGTAAATTTGAATGAATGTAATTTAATCATTGGACAAAAAATCTATACATCCACCACTGATTGCATCAATATTTAAAATGTATTTAGCATATATTGAGAAATATAACAACTATCAATATTAGTCTCTCAAGAATGTAAAACATTTTAAAAGTTATTGTTATGCCAATGGAAATTGTTTTTAATCCAAAACAGCATCTACTTAACAGCTCTGTGATTGTATTTAGCACTAGTGTGTATCAAGAATTGTATACACACCAGTCCAACCACAGAGTTTACCATATGGTACCTCAACCTGCATAGTGAGTACCATAAACAGTGGATAAATTGTTAAAATGATCTCAAATGAACATTTGCTTATGAACAATAAAATGTGTTTTTGGATTGTATATCTAATAACCACAAAATTTTCAAAAATGTTTTTTTTTTTTTTTTCTGAAAAAAAAACAAGAAATGGATGAATCATGGAAAGCAGATATGATGAAGGGAACAGTTCATTTTCTCAGTTGTGATTTTCATGATTTGGGACATTTATTGGATCTAGGAGACAAACCTCTTTATGACTCAAATCTTAAAAAGTGACATTGCCAACTGAAATTAAGACATGCTGTCTTGAAAGAGTCAAGAAAGAAGAGAAAAAAACCTTTCCCTCAAGTAAAAGTTTGGAATTTGTGTAGGCCAGTTCCTTACTTTTGCTTCATTACTGTTTTTCTCAGTTGCTTTGGTTCATTTCTGACATCACTTTTAAAATTGCATCTTTGTGTTTGATACTTTCTCCCCAGCAGACTGCAGTGTAAAAGAGGCGGCTCTGCCCCTTTCTGTAGATGAAGTCTATATTCTTAGACCAGTCCAACTTATTACCCAGATGTACACCTAGATATTTTTATGATTTTCACCACTTCAATGTCCACGCCACAGCTGTTCACTGGCTGAAGAGGAGGTTTGGATCTACGGAAGTCTATGACCATCTCCTTTGTGTTTGAGGTGTTAAGGAGGAGGCAGTTTCTTTGAGTCCAGTCACTGAAGGCTCTTATCAGATCTCTGTATTCGGCTTCTTGTCCATTCCTGATACATGCCACGATAGCGGTGTCATCTGAGTATTTCTGGATGTGGCAGGACTCATTACTGTATTTGAAGTCTGACATGTACAGTGTGAACAGGAATGGAGCCAGGACTGTCCCTTGTGGAGCCCCTGTACTGCTCTTTAATGTCCCAGAAACAAAGTTCCCCAGCCTGAAAAACTGTGGCCTTCCTGTCAGGTGATCTGCGATCCAGGAAACACAGGCAGGATCCACTCCCATCTCTGTGAGTATGGTGGGTTGGATGGTGTTGAATGCACTTGAATTGTCAAAGAACATGATCCTCACATAAACCCCAGGTTCCTCCAGATGAGACAGGGGATGGTGAAGCACGTAGAGGACAGCATCATCCACTCCAATGTGTTCTTTATATGAAAACTGCAGGGAATTCAGTTTGTATTTGACCACAGATCTCAGAGGGTGTAGAATCAGCCACTCCAGGGTTTTCATGATGTATGAAGTGAGGGCCACTGGTCTGTAGTCATTGAGTTCAGCAGGACATTTTGTTTTTGGTACTGGCACAATGTAGGATGTTTTCAACAGAGTAGGTACCCACCCCAGCTGTAAACTCAGGTTGAAGATCCTGTGGAGAGGTTGACACAGTTCTACAGCACAGTCTCTAAGCGGCCATGGACACACACCATCTGGACCAGCTGCCTTCCCAGGGCAAAGTCTTCCAAGCTCCATCCTCACCCCTGTTTCAGTGACAGACAAGGTCTGGTGTTCTAGGAGGGAGGTAGTTGAAGTGATTGAGACATTTAAACAAGATGGAGGAGAGAAGTTGTAATGGAGAGAGAGGAAGGTGGAGTAGCAGTGGGAGTGAGGTGACAGCAGTGTCAAATCTGTTGAACAGGTTGAGTTCATCAGCTCTTTTCACATCACCCACCACTGGCTGTCTTTTCTTTTTATTGCTGTGTCCAGAGATGGTACTGATTCCTCTCCACACTTCACAGATGTTGCTGTGTTGTAGATTCCTCTCAATCTGTTACGGTTTCCCAAAACATGTTAAATAGGACCCAGAAGCAGACCGGAGGTAGTAGGGAGTGTAAAAATATTTATTTAGAGGAGCAGATGATGAGAGGAATGGGGGCCCAAGATCTGATGCAAGAGTTCTGGTGGGGTGAGGTTAAGTGAGTTTAGCGGAGGAGGCAGGTGAGAGATCCAGGAAGCAATTGTGGCTGCATGGCAGCGGTTGGGGCTTAGGCTCAGATGGCTCGTGAAGGCACTGGAGGGGAGAGGAGGAGAGCAGGAATTAGGCACCAAAACAACACTAGTTCACAAGAGATAATGTCTGAATAGCAATACTCAAACTGGCAGAGATACCACGGGAGGAGTGGGAATAATCTGGTACCATCCAGACAGAGCTTAAGTGTAGCCCCTAATTGCTGGTGATTAGATGTAGGTGCGCCGGTGCAGGAGGAGCCGCCCAACCTCTGTGGAGGAAAAAGGGGGGAGAACCTCCACACAAACTCACTCACTGATGCCACCAAATGTCAAAAACAATATATAACCATGACACTATCTTCTTTTTGTATTCCAGCTTTGCGATCTTCAGTCTCCTCTTCAACTCTTGTTGCACTTGTTTGAGTCGTTCTTTGTCACCATCTGAAAAAGCTTTCTTTTTCTGGTTAAGGATTGCTATAATGTCACTTGTGATCCAGGGTTTGTTGTTGGGGAAACAGCAAACAGTCTTTGTGGGTATGACTGTGTCTCTACAGAAGATGACACAGTCAGTAAAGCAGTCAACCTGTTTGTCAATGTTCATACTATCCACATCTGTTTCCAGCAGCACATTCCAGTTTGTTGATTTAAAACAGTCCCTTAGAGCTTCACTGGCTTGAGGTGTCCATCTTCTGATTTTGACTTTGGTCACAGGCTGCCTCAGCACACAAGGTCTGTAACAGGTTTGCAGATAGACCAAGTTATGACTTGACTTGCTCAGTGGTGGTAAAGCAGTGGCTCTATAAGCTTTGACGTTGGCATACAGCAGATCAAGGATTTCGTTTTCTGTGGTTGGACAGTTCACAAACTGTGTGAATCCAGTCAGGTGAGAGGAGAGGGTGACTGGTTGAAGTCTCCTGATATTATTATCATTAGTGCCTCTGGGTGTTGAGTGTGTAGCAGGGCAACGCTATTAAGCAATAGATCGCATGGAATTTCTGCAGTTGATTTGGTTGGGATGTAGACAACTATTGTTATGATATGACTGAATTCTCTTGGAACATAATATGGAAGAGCAACTGTGAACAACTTCTCCTTGACAGTTATATGCGAAGGGTTACACCATCTCTGGTTGACAAATAAAGCCAGACCTCCTCCTTTCTTCTGCCACTAGCTTGAGCATCTCTGTCTGACCTTATGAGAGTGAAGCCAGGTAGAGCCACACTGGAGTCCGAGTTGTTTTGATTCAACCAGGTTTCGGTAAAACACAGGATATCTCCAGCTCATCGCTTTTGTTGGGCAGAGAGTTGACGTTTCCCATGATGATTGATGGAAAAAAGGGTTTATATTGCCACCTCCTAGCATTCAGTTTTGCCTTCACCTTTGCACCAGCACAGCAACCATGATAACACCTCCTGGTGTCCTCTGGAATTGTATGTTGTTGTCCATATTTGCTTTTTCTCAATGAAAGGAGCTCTTCTCTTGTGTAAACCCTTCGCCCAGCACAAGTGTTCATCAGCAGCCTAAAAAAGACAATAAAAATATGAAAAAAATCTAGCAAAGTTACAGATAATACAGAGATACCAGACTTGAAGCAACCTCTCGGTTCAAGCGCATCATTTGAATCATTATTACACATTTCTGTATTTAGTGAGGTAGCTCTAAAAAAGCATTTTGTATCTCTCTTAACCTTTTGGCATTGTTTGCAATCACCATTGCAAATGGCATAAAAATGGCTTCCTCTTGTTGCAGAGTAGAAAGGGGCCCTCAGGTACAGTACCATACAGTGAATATGGGAAATCTTTACTGTAACACTACTGTACACTATAATACAATATAGCAAATCTGTGCTGCAGTAAAGCTGTAAGTCTAAATGTAAAATGTAAAAAGTTCTTCTCTAACTGTGAGCTTCACATATAACACAATGACAGTAGTGATGATTTTTTAGAGCTGAATTACTGTCCAAGAGACACACCTGATCTCTCCACAAAATGAACAATTTAATTTACAGCATCTCTTCCAACATTTGGCTGCTCTCTTCGACCAGCTTCAGCCAGTCTGAGGCCATGATTGACAATGTGGTCCACAATTGTAGCCCTAATCTCATCAGGAATCTGCCTATGTACTTGTCCTTTTCTTCCTCTTCCCCTGTTTTGTCCCCTTCCCCTTCCTCCCAGCATCCTCTCCCACCATGCTGACCTTACATTTCTGAAAAAGTGGGGATCAAAGATCTAACATCCACACTTCGTGACCGGCTTCGCAGGCTGAGGAAGGCGGAGCAGACACGGAGGGAGAGGAGGAAAAAAGGGACCAGGAGGGCGCAGTTCATAAAGGACCCCTATAGGTTCACCAAGGCCTTATTAGGGGAATCTAGATCAGGAACTCTGACCAGCTCTAAAGAGGAGGTAGAGGACACCCTCAGATCAACGCACTGTGACCCACGAAGAGATGAAGATCTGGGCAACCACCCAAGAATTATCAATGTCCCACCCCCTTCAAAACAGCTGGAGACCAGTGAGCCAACATGGAAAGAAGTGGAGGAGGTAGTAAAGAGGGCAAGAACAGCATCAGCTCCTGGACCAAGTGGATTACCCTACAAAGTCTACAAGAAGTGTCCACTTCTGCTACGTAGGCTATGGAAGATCCTGAGGACAATCTGGGCAAAGGGCAGCATACCGGCATCCTGGAGGGTGTCAGAGGGGTGTTTTGTGCCAAAGGAGAAAGACTCTTCTGCAATCAGCCAGTTCCGCACCATCTCCTTG